ATGGAAGCCAAACAGTGGAAGGGCACCGGCAGTGGGAGGCCTCATTAGGGAAAGCACGCCTCAGTTTAAGAACGGCTTTGGTTTAAGAACAGACTTCCAGAACGGATTAAGTTCATAAACTGAGGTACCACTGTATTTCTACTACACAAGCAAAGACAAAGGAATAGAATCTGCCTGCTCATATGATGCTGTTGTGAAATTCTCCAAAGTAGGCAATGCAAGAATCTGTAGAATGATTCTTAGCTCATCCAAAGAAATTTTCTAGATGCCAGGGAGCTGAACCAGCTATAATATCCTAAACAGATAGTGATAACATTCAACAAGGCAGAACAGCCCGAAGTAACATTTCTTCAAGCCATGAGAACAGGAAAAAACGGTTCATTTGACAGATGAAAAGAATTACAGTAGAAGGCAACCCTGGAATATAAATGGACATGAGGAACTGCTTTTTTTTAAAGCATGTGGGGAGGAGATAAAGACCAGATATAAATATGAGAACACACTGACCTTATGCAATATTTCTTTTTGTTGTTACAGAAATAAAGCCATAAAAGCAAATATTATGTCAGAAATAATAATGATTCCAAGAGAGTTTTGCATACAAGCCAATGAGGATTGTCAGCTAATATCCATTTAGAATGACCTTGTTTATCTCTCTGTTGTAGGCCAACTTCTCCAAGCTGTTATGGGCTACAATTTCCATCAGCCCCAGCATGGCCAGTGGTTAGGGAGGATGGGCATATTAGTCCAAAACATCTGAGGTTACCAGCCGGGGGAAAGCTACTGTATGGTTATTTATTTGTAAACCGCAGGCACCCAAGACAACTCTCACAGTCCTTATTAAAAGGCAAAGGACCCCTGACTATGGGGTGCAGCGCTCATTTCCGCTTTCAGGCCAAGGGAGCAGGTGTTTGTCCGCAGACAGCTTTTCCTGGTCATGTGGCTAGCATGACTAAACAGCTTCTGACACACAGAACACCATGATGAGTGCTAGAGCGCACAGAAACATCATTTACCTTCCTGCCACAGTGGTACCTATTTATCTACTTGCACTGGTATGCTTTCAAACTGCTAGGTTGGCGGGAGCTGGGACAAATCAACGGGATCTCACCCTAGATTCAAACTGCTGACCTTATGACTGGCAAACCCAAGAGGCTCAGTGATTTAGACGACAGCGCCACCCGTGTCCCCTCAGCAAATAAATGACAGAGCTTCTGTGACTGCTGGATAGTTCTTGGTTGTATGCCACCCCAGTCTTTGAAAGGTGAGAGATTCCAGGCACTTACCCAGGGTTCAGTTTCCTTGGAATGAGGGCCAGTGGAGACTGTGGTCTCTTTAGGATGTATGGTTTATTTACACATATATACAACCTGAGTCTCAGGCAGAGGGGTTCACAGTGGGAGATTAGCAGCTAAACCTAACAAATGCATATTCTTGCTGGTTTACATGAGAAGCAGCTAATGCCATGGAGCTGTATTGCTGATAATCAAATACTCATACCATAGAAATACAATTGGTAGAGAGGGCTCTGTGTGATGTCATATTCCCCTCCTCTCCTGGAGAGGAAGAAGCACATAGTACCTCCTGTTATTCTCTCTTCTGTTGATCAGAGTTGGATGCAGACATGCCTCTGCTTGCTCGAGCTTTAGACACATGCCTGAACCTGGTTATACTGTAAATAAATCATTTTGGATAATAAAGTAAGTATATCTTAAAGTTGTTGCCTGATTCTTTGATAAGTGGAGTAAGAAGGAGGAAGCCAGCTTACTTTGCAGCTGGACTTCCTCAAAAACAGGGGTTTACAGCCTCATTCCTATCCTTTTAAATTGGCTGCTGCTGATGGGATTTTGAAACTCTGTTCTACCTACACACATGGGGGCCTGGAGAGATAAACTGAATTACTATATCCTCTCCTGTTCATTAAAACCCATCCCACATTAACACCCCAACAGATCTTGCTTCTCCACTAGCCACAGCCTTGGGTTCCAGAGCAAATCAAGCACGGGTCTGTATTCAGCTTCTCAGCCTGATTTATTACTGCTCAGCTCTCTCACACAACTCTGACCACTGTCTTTCTAGCCACCAGCCAGGCAAGAGGAAAATCCCACCCATTTGCCCTATGGTACACAGCAACTTTTTTGGTTATGCTAATCATGGTGTTTAAGTGGCCAGCTAAGACCACTGTATTGCAACTGCCTAAAGGGACTAGTTGCGACAGCTTGCTCTCATACCTCTATCCCCAGAGATAGTAAAGGTAAAAGGGCCCCTGAATGTTAGGTCCAGTCACGGATGACTCTGGGGTTGCGGCGCTCATCTCGCTTTATTGGCCGAGGGAGCCGGCATACAGCTTCCGGCTCATGTGGCCAGCATGACTAAGCCGCTTCTGGCGAATCAGGGCAGCGCACGGCAATGCCGTTTACCTTCCCGCCGGAGCGGTACCTGTTTATCTACTTGCACTTTGACGTGCTTTCGAACTGCTAGGTTGGCAGGAGCAGGGACCGAGCAACGGGAGCTCACCCTGTTGCGGGGAGTCGAACTGCCGACCTTCTGATCGGCAAGTCCTAGGCTCTGTGGTTTAACTCACAGCGCCACCCGTGTCCCCCCCCAGAGCCACCCGTGTCCCATCCCCAGAGATACAGGAACCCAATAATTAGAAGGGACTCAGGGCATGATGCAGACTGACCCAAACCAGCAACAGTATATAACTGATGCACATTTCAGCTTCTTTTACTGCTTCAACAGTAGAATGTGATAAATTGGATCTGCCACAATTCTGCATTCTGGGAAGTAGGTTGAAGCTCATTTTGTTCATGATGAAGCAGTAGCTTAAGTATTTCACTACAAGCCCATATTGTGAGTCAGTACATCAACCTTCAAAAAGTGGGTTGACTGATAGCATGCTGCCTTACAAGCTGTGTTTATGATGCAGAAGCTCTCTGTTCCCTCCTTCCTCTTCCTGCAAGCAAAACAGCAACCCAGATGAATCATTTCAGTGAAATCCCTAGCCTGACTGGCCTACAGGTCACATCCTAGCTCACACCAATGAACAGAGTAACTGATTCTTAGAGACACTTCATGTTACCTCAGGAGAAAGCTGTGTCCATACAAAAGCACTTGAAACCAAACCCATGATAGCCCTTAATCCATTGTGAGAGTTTTATACATCCTTCACCACACGAGATTCAGCCTTCAGACCATGATGGGAAATGTCAGAGAAATAGTGCTTCCCAATATTATTTCTTACAAAAATATTGATCACTCTTTCAGTCCTACTTTGATCCCCCTGTCTTCTGTCCTGCCAGTCCCAATGGGCACCAGTCACGACTGGTGTTAGGACTGCAGCCACACAGGTTGAGCTGCATTATAGTTAAAGGGCTTGGAATTAAGCCAGAATTATATGAATAGGACCTGCAAAACTGAAATCCCTATAAAATGAGCAGATCCCTTGCAAACTCTGTGGCGGCCCAATGGCATCTGTATGCAGAGGGGATTAGATTAGTTGATCTGTATGTCTCATTTACAAACATTTAATGCCCAAAGCTGTGTGTGTTGAGCGACGGAGAACAGATATAGTGCACTGATATGGACTGCACGCCAATCTAAAGCAATTGGCATCACCTGGTGGCAGACTTTGAGAACAATGTGGACAATTTTCAGCCCTTGCAACCCTCACTCCAGCAGAGGTTTATGTTATGACGCTCACTGGGTCACCTTGGGTCAGTTATTATCTCATCACCAATCCACATGGCTGTTGTGAGAATAAAGCAGGGAAGGGAATCATGTATGCTGCCCAAAGTTCATGGGAGGTAGATTGGGGTAAAGATTAGATGTTCATGGTTGTTAGTCAACTGCATCTTTCTAATGCTGCTAATGAATATATTTATAGAATCATGTCTAAATAATAAATAGCAAAACTAAGGGGCTTTCTCTTAAATTGAAAATGTAAGTCAAGCTGGCAATCACTGATTATACAAAAACAAGGGTGACTTCAGAAACGCTCCTTCCAGAAACTGGACACTCTTCCAGCAGCACAACCACTCCAAGTTGTCTTACAGCAGTGGTGGCCAAACTTGGCCCTCCAGCTGTTTTGGGACTACAATTCCCATCATCCCTGACCACAGGTCCTGTTAGCTAGGGATGATGGGAGTTGTAGTCCCAAAACAGCTGGATGGCCAAGTTTGGCCACCACTGTCTTAGAGGTTCCATGCTGCAGTCATTGCCTTGTTAAGTTCTGTATAAGTAAGGCTATCAACCAGCACTCTCATGCAAACGCAAGCTCCAGGACGTTTTGAGCTCTTAATAAGAAGGAAGCACCCACGGTGCAAATTAAGTCATGGCAGTGGGTACTACATAAGAACTCCAAAAAAGATGGGAGTTGACAGTTGCCGGTCAAAGTTGCTCTACGGGAGTGTTAGCACTTCCATTACGATGGGGACTTGATTTTTTGTTTCTCCCAAAGGTATCCATTACTGATAGAACACAATTCTACCTTATTCTTGCTACGTGAAAGTTGGAAAATGCAGAGTCAAGGCAGAGTTCCAGTCTCCCACCAGATTCTTCCCCACCAAGACCCCACCATGGTCTTGGAAGTCCACATTCTCAGGGAGTCCCATCCATGAACTACAGTATTTAGCAAGGGAAAAGGTACAGTTCTGCCAAAGAGGGTAGTGTGTATCATAACAACCTCCCTCTTCTAGAACTTTTACCGATTTGCAGCCACTTCACTAGGCTACAGTAGAGACAACATGGTCCCAAATGAGTCAGCGGATGCCTAACTGCTATTTAGCTCCTCCTCTTCCAGAACTATCTTCCCTGGTCATTAAACATTTATGTAACTCATTAATGCCTATTTCCTTTTCAGACTGCTTCCTTCCTACTCAACAGAGCAAGACTTTCATTTTGTAACCATTACTACAAGGAATGTGTGATGTAACTTGTACCCAATAAAACATTTTTCATATGCCTTCTTTCAGAGAAATAATGGTTCATGGCCAGCTTTTAGCTGAAGACTATTTATTTTAATATTACAGATTCTCCATTTTATAGTTACTGAGATAGGCTCTGTGGTTAAATGTTTACAAAAATACCAGTTTTGGGAAAAATTCAGAAAAAGAGAGAATGTACAGTAAAAATGAAATCTGGCATTTCTTTATACTTTTTTTTAAAAAAACATTTCAGCCTATTTACAGATGTATTAAAAGTCAAATATCCAGAAATCTTGGTCAATGAAAATGTGCCCATTTCATTTCAGGGTTTCAGTTGTCCTCTCGATTACAAAACACTCTCTATAAAATTCATAATCTTGAAATATTATTTACAAAAATCCCCATACATAATTTTCCAGACTATATTTGAAACAAAACTCATAGAACTGTTTTAGGATGTACTTGGATTTGCCTTGGGGCCAAACACATATATGGAGGATGAGAGGAAAGAGATAATGATAAGAAAGGTATTCAGTACTTTGAAGATCCTTGCTGATTACTTACGCAGAGTTTTCCCTCTAATTCTTCGATGCCTATTGTTAAATTATAATGCATACGTACAGTCCCTCCAAACCAGCCGTTTTGTCAAAAAGTAAGGTGTCTTTAGTGGTATATTTTTCTGTCAGACCCCTATCTGGATTTTTTAAATAGCTTGATACAAATAGATGGTAGCCAAAAAAGGGCTGAGGGAAGAAGCAGAAAAATTGAGGAAAAAGTGCCCCAATGAGAAGTGGAGTTTCTAGCATACTGGTGGTGTCAGTGCAGACAAAATGGGAAATTAGCCAACTGAACTAATTTTGATCTCTAAACACAGAAGTGGTGGATTAGATTTTAACCAAGCAGGTTAGGATTACCATGCTAAGTTCCCTTCCAAATCCTAAGGCACTGAATGAACACCATGAAGCATGCAAGAAATGAGAATTTACAAAAGACTGAAGACTACAGAAGATACTGAATTGCTTCCTCCATTACACTGACAAGATCCTGCATCCCCATCAAGAACTTTTACTTTGTAGAATTACAAATCAAATCAAATTTAAAGCACATTGCTAAGGCTACATTTCGAAGTGAAGCTCTGGCATGGAGGGAGAGCATGTCTTAACCATTTCTCATTTTGTATCCTCTATCTTACCCCAAGCTGCTTTTAGCCCCATTAAGAAAAATATATTAATATCTGTATCTTTTCCTAGTGCAGGTAAAAGCATTTGGCTGCAATTTTCTGTGAAAAACTGAACCAGGCAAGAGAATAAATCCTAGTTTCCCTGTGCTGTTTTTTTTACTTTAAATTGGGAGTTTCAGTGGCTACACAGTACATTTAATCAACATCATGAGAAATGATAATGAAACTACCCATCATGTGCAAGTCCAACCCAATACACCTAACCTACACACAGATGGAGAGTGGGAGGGGCTTAATGTATAACGCAGGACACTTTCCTGTATGAGCAAACTGGACCTTGTGTACTACTTTCAGCATGTATGCAGAAGACTGCCTATCGCCAGCTGGTTGAGCCTGGAGATAGGAGCTTCAAATATGAGTAAATCACAACAGGGAGTGGGAAGCCTTAATACTTTCTGCCAGGATAGCTGGAACACAGATCTACATTGCTTTGTACAATTATGCAAGACAAGAAAAATGCAGCAATTATCAGATTTAACAGTTATTGACCTGCTCAGAGCACTCAGATGCCATGTTAGTTCTCAAAATTTCTTATTTACAATCATTAGAAATAATCATTAACTTTTTGATATATATGAAATGTCATTATTTTATGTATTTACAAAAAAAGCCTGTGTACAAAAATATACAATCATTTTATAGTATGAAATCCCTTCACATTCACTAGGTTAAAAGCGAAGCCCCCAAACTATTCAATTTATAGATATTAGAAGAAAAAATACATCTTGTGCCTCAAATGCTTGCATGAGGCTCTTGAGTAATATGTTAAGATATATGTATATAAGCTATTCACAGTCCTGAATAATTTTTCTGAAATGCTAAAAATGTTTGAAAATATCTCAAATGGATGCTTTCTGTGACTGTCAGAAAAGGGCATAATTTATCTGACTAGTCTCTTACTCTTTATTGAATGTCATCTTTTACCAATCAAGTTCAAACATCTAGCCTCATATATTACATGCACACTGGCACATGCAACCTAAGAATCTAGATGTTGGAGATGTGTCATAATTGAAGTTCTGATTAACTATGAAAGCCTCTGAAAAATCAAACATTATTACCAAAAAGCACCTGAAGGTAAAGCCACAATACTATTTTGATTCTGCAGCCGCAGGTGCTAAAGTGAGTGTTTCATTACCGTCCTGACTTGGACTAGTCACTGGCTGTGCAGTTTTTATCTCTTTTGAAGCAACGGGTGCCAATGAAGGCATCACCTTAGTATTCTGTCCCTCTGATTCTAATGGAAAGTTAGCAGCTTTTAATCCAAGTGGTGCCAGTTTGGGCATAGGCCTCCATGCCATGTCAGCTTTGCCAGCTTCCAGGTTAGTTTTCATCTGCAGAATGGGAGGTGACACACTTCTTGTCTTTGCCGCAGATTGCTCAGTTTTTCCACTTCCACAACTATTTGCCGCTGAGTGATCAGGATTTGGGTCCTTTACTTCAGATCCTAACATGATTTTTAAAGCATCAGAATCAGACGAAGGATCTCCCGAGTTCTTGTTACCATCAGGTAGATCTTCATCATCCAAGTGAAGCAGAAGAGGAGTTATGGAATCACTGCTCTCTTGAACTATTGAAAGGTCCTTAAAGCTCCCACTCATGGCACCAAACGGAAAGGGAGAGCCTTCTGCAGTAGTTGATTGCCTGCGACTTTCCATATCTCCTAGAGAAAAGCCAGAGCTCAGGGAGTTGGGGAGTTCTGATATGTCTGAAGCATCGTCATTCAACTGCTGATTAAGAAATGCAATTTCATTCAGCAGAGAGGTGAGGGTTTCATCTGTGTCATCAGTCTCCTCTATGCCCATTAAGTCATTTGCATCCAGTGCTGGTTCATGTATTGCAGAGGCTACTTTTTGCAGCTCCATTTCTATCCCGGAGTCATTGGGTTCATTAATTTGCAGCTTTTGAAATGAAGACTCTTTTGATTTTTGTCCATCACTTCCCTTGTTCATCTGTTTTAACCTTGCCTGATTTACGGCTAACTCTTCAGGTTTTGTTGCAAGTGGTTCTGGGGATGCCTTCAAACTAGAGACATTTGTTACTTGTGGGAAATTCTCTTTTCGCTTAAGAGAATCATGTACTGCTCCAGTAGTGCCTCTCCCTTTTACAGAAGAAGGTTCTGCTTCTTCTGGTGACTGAAGATCAGTAGTTTTATGTGAGACTACCTGCAAGGAAGACTCAGGTGTCTGGGAATCAGTATCCAAGGTTACATCAGGATTCTTATTTGCATCCAGGTTTAAATTTGTATCTTCTTCAGTAGCCAGTGATGTCACATTTACTATTCTTGGCATCATGAATGAGTCTTCAGTTTCTGTAAGCCAGAACAAAGAAAGGCCTGTTAGAATACTGGAGACAGGATCTGTCCTAAACGGCTTCTCCAAATGTAAACCACTTATCACTTCAACAGATCTCCTTCCTTGTTAGCCTCTGCCCGTTCAGGCCTTATAAACATACCCTGAAGGTTTTTTTTGGGGGGGGGGAATTGCCCCAATCTGCATCACTTCACAGTTATTTATAATAAACCTCATTTGCCATTTTGTTGACATTTGAGAAACAGGGGGTCAGCAGTACTTAGCTAATTGGGAACCACTGCTCTAGATTATTTATGAAGTTAAAAAACACCAAAGTATTACTTGGGGGATCCCAAGATTTCCCTTCTCCGTAAAAACTATCCATTTATTTCTACTCTATGCTGCCTGCTCTTTAAGCAGTTACTGATTCAGAAGAGGACCACCCTCTTTCCATAACCCTGATAACCAATACTCTTGAAGAACTCCAACAGCTGGGCGAGGCAGGACTTCCTTTTGCAGAAGTAGTAAAAAACATTCTCCTTCAGCAGGAATCAGGGTGGCAAGCCACATTTGGCCTGAGGGTCATTTTCACCTCTGGCCACCCACTGCTCTCGAATGCAAAACTCATGTATGTGCACAGTGTACACATACAGTACACACAGTGTGCCCTCTTCCTCAGCTGATGAATTCAAACTGTCGCCTCAAAAGTGCAGTTTGCATCCCTTTCAGGGTAAGGGGCTGGGTGTGTTTACTTTATTTCTCTTTTTTCTTTTTACAGTCCCAATCAGTGGACTGGCATGTGGACAAAAAGTGGAGTGGGGGGACGACAAATTAGGACCCTGGACTGGGGTAAGGAAGTCCTGTAAAAAAAGGTATTTAAATAATAATTTCCACTATTTTAAGCTGAGCAGATGTTAAGCTAACTGGTCTGTCATTTCACAGATTCTTCACTGGACCCATTTAAAAAGCTGTGTTACATCAGCTACTTTCTAATTCTCTGGTGCAGAGGTCAATTTTAGGGACAATCTTCTGCTGCCTGTATCATTTCTGGGGCAATTCACAGTATGGCCACTGACAACAACTACTCATAGGTCCAGGCATACACGCCTTATCCTCAGACGTGCTGGATGCCAGTTGTTCATGAGGTAATCTTTATACTGCCAAATACACCCCTACCCCAGCACTGTACATGTGAATATAATGAAGTTTTTGTTACTGCAGCCACATTTTAAAGCAGCACAGGCCACATTTGCATGGGAACACCTGTGAGACTTGAGACATACACTATGAACTTCTTTAACTATAGTGATCGCATATGTTGCGAGTTCTAACACAAATCATTTGTGGGCAGTGCTGGAAAGTCTGCACTGTACATTTTTGGCAACAAAGGACTGTTGAGGTGAGACAGTAATATTTATTACATCCTGACAGGCTTATGTAGTTGTTTACATTTCCTTGAGTAGCCAGTCATTTTTGTGATCATTCTATGCTTCTTTTAAAGGTTTTTTATGTTGCTGTACACCGCCCTGATCTTTTGCAAGAGGGTAGTATATAAGTATTTCTATAAATCAATTAAATACAATAGGGAGAAAGAGGAAGCATGTAAGTTATTGCAGTTAGAATTCATTTTTTCAGTGCCAGAAATTTAGTAAGGAACTAATGCAAGTTTACCTGAAGTGAGCTCTGGAGCTGTTTCTGCAACTGGAGTGAGTGAGTTACTGGTTACAGCAGACAAGGTAATGGGAACTGTGGAGTTCGGAAGGATACCTTTCACTTCCACTGGTACTGCTGAGCCTGGCAACTGAATCATCACAGAAGCAATACCTTATATTAAGCGAGAAACAGTGAGTTAACTTTCACACATACTGTCAAGGAAAAAAATATTAAGCAGATTAGCTATTATGGTAAACACATGGTTTCAGAGGAACATTTTGTTTCATCTCATCTAGTAACAGGTACCATCCACAAGATTCCTTGTACTATTTGTATATCAATATCTCCTTGATATTCCTTCAGCAAAAATCAATTATCTACTTCTCTAAGGCATAGATACAGAAATAAGTATTACATTTTTTAAATATCAAGACTGGAAACTGGAAGAGACAACCTAAGAGAAATATTTTTCACTTTTTATGAAGAATGCTTGCTTTGAAAAGTTCCATTCAGAAATAGTCACGCATCCAGCTTTGATTTTTCAGTCATTCTGTGACCCTTACCTGGCTGTCCTGTCCCATTACTGCTGTCAGCCTCTGATTTGAGTTCAGTTTGCAGGAGTGTGGAAGGGAAGGCAGCAACTTGTCCTGGCACCAAGGGACTCTTGAATGCAAGCACCTGGCCATTTGCTGTCATTACTAGGCTAGCATTTGTTAATGTCATGGGTATGTCCCCTACAAGGAAGTCAAAAGAAAGATGTGTGAAGATAAGAGTGTAAAAAGGGAAGCAGCGTTATATATATCAATATTAACTTCACCAATCAACCTCGTAGCATTCAAAAATGTAACCCACTGTTACCAATACTAACAAATTTAACATCACACAGCAAGTTTTAAGCAGCAAATGTGAAAACAAATTAATTTTGCAGAAAATATTAAAATAAGATGGCAGTAACAAAGTACTGTCTTACACAGGCTGAACTATATACTAGAGGTATGAGAGAATTACATGTTTTCTATTGGTAAGTCTCCTTACTTTTGTTTTAATTAAAAAAAACTTGCACTATGCATAATATAACAGGCTATGTGAGACTAGCAGATACAATGCTTCCAAGAATTCCCATTTGTGTGATATTCAACTAATCCATGTTCACTTAGCCTACCTGTGGCACAGCTTCCTTTCCTGGAAAGTATCAATGGTTTTGTATGCTTGCTGGACAAGGTTGCTGGTTTCATCTCTTTAAAGAGAGAAGAGGGGCTGTTTTCCACTGAGGGCTTAGCAGTCTCCAGAGTTTCAACCACATCCATAGGTTCTGCTTGCTGCTGCTTCTTTTGTGCTTCTACCGCTTTCTGTTTTGCATAAATGTATTCTAGCTTCTTCAAGACTACTTCCTGTGTCTTGCCTACAGAAGAAAGGAGTAGTCAAGTTCTCCCTCATATCTAGCATACTTCCCGAAACTTAAACATGCAGTGTTTCATAGAACAAAACTTACACAACATTACTTGACATACCTAGACAACTTTACAGGTCTTGAGGTTTAATTTCCATGGAGTAAAAAACTTCAGCAACTTAGTACCTTTCATGTATTTGAAATAGTAGCTCTTGGGACAATCCCAGCATCCCCATATCCCAGAGGCTCTCTTCAGGTTTTAGGGCTTTCTCTTTAATGTCAACTCACCTGAAAGGGCAGATACTTTACGGATCAAGGTGTCCTGCTTGCGCATCAACAAGTTTTTCTGACCCAAGAGTTTGTCTGCTTGATCCGTTAGCCCCTGTATCTCTTCCAAGGCCTGAAAAAGGACCAAGGACTCACTTTTAGATTCCAGTAGAATATACCTAAAAGTAAATAAAGGCAGCTTCTCTTTCTTCCTACTTATGTGGAAGAGAGATTTGTGAAAAGTTAAACAAAAAAACTGCAAACTGCTTCTGCTACATTCTGAAGATGGATCTCCTGAGAGCGTTTTAGAGGAAAAAGCAGCACTCTACAAAGAAGGCAAGTCAAATACCAGGCAAAAACAGTGTGAATGATAAACTGCAGTTGTTTTGCTTTTGTTTTTACCAAAAGTGCTATGAAAAAGAATTGATGAGACACAAAATAGGCACTTAAGAGGTTTTCAATTGCTATTCACATGTCTTTTGAGTTTCCAGTATGTAATGCAGAGATGAAATGCTCAGTTGATTAATCCATTTGATTAATCAATTAAAACTTTTTCATAAATTAAAAATGTGTCTCTACTTAATTGGGAAGATCTTTTGAAAAGTAATAGTTAGTTTGACAAGCAAGTCTTAAATATCTCTGTGAACTGCCCTCATAGAAAAGGGACCACTCCCTTCTCTCACGCAGAGGATGGGATGCCTTTTCTAATATAGTTGCGGCCATGAGACATACAAGCTTTAAAAATCCAAACAAAGCATTTTCTCTTTGGAATGACTGTTCTTGCTCAAAAATCCAATTTATGCTGATTTATACCACTAAAAAATCAATTAATCAATCAAAGATTCTTTAGTCAGTTTAGTTGCCGTGATAGTAAGTTGATGAATAGTAACTGCAGAAATGTCCATCTCTTTTTCTGTCAACATGCAACTTTGTCCTACTGCCTCCCTCCAAGCTATAAAATACCAACCTGCTTCAGGATGAAACATTTGGAAACCTTGGGGACCATCTGCAATCCTAAAGTAACCTTCAGTTTTTCAAAGAGTCTCCTCATTTCCTTACGACGGCGACGTTCATTTGCTGTGTGTGTTTCGCGGTAATTCGAAAAGGTTTCTTCCTCATTCTTTGGTTTTTTGTTTGGCAATTCAGGTTGTGGCTGAAAAGCAAAAACACAGCTCCTCTTGAGAACTGTTCAAAACATATAGACATGCAGCCCAAACAGTGACTCGTACATGTATATCTTTAAGTCCTGGTCCAGCATTTCAACAAAACTGAGCAGAACTTTTAAAAGGTGGAGCTTAAGGAGGTATCTGACTCTGGAGATGCTGCACGGGAAATGAGTGAGCCATGAATGAAGCAGAGCAAAAGCTATTGATTCTCAGTTAGAACAATGAGTGTTACCAAACCTAGGCACAACTACATGTGCCAGGAATGCCCTCAGCGGTGGTGGTCACAAATCAAGTCCAAAGTATATAACAAATTAATTCTGCAGAAAACATTAAAATAAGATGGCAGTAACAAAGTACTCTCTTATACAGGCTGAACTATGAGCAACCCACCTGAGCCAATGATTCAATAAAACTATTAAAATTGGGACAGAAACAGCAGCAAGCAAAAAAACCCCAAATAAAGGAAAAATCTCCAGGTGTTAGAAACGAAATACATTTTTAAATATTGAATTTCTTGCACTTGGATTCCCCCCCCCCTTTTTCCTCTCTTCTCTAGTAACAGCAATGAGTGCAAAAGAGAAGCATGTAGCAATGCAGACTCTTCTGCAATAGCCAGTCCTTGGAACCTTCATTTTCTTGTTCTCGATATCTCATAGCCAAGCTGGCCCCCTATAGCTTGAGAGAAGAACCAGATGCTGTTAACAATGGCACCCCCATACAGAGCTCTCCTGTTTTTCCCTGCTTTTCGACATTCATACTCTGTCTCACTGGACGAGAAACACTGGTAAGTCTTACTAAATATTATGGAGGTGGAGCGGGGCATGATACAGGATTTGCATATTAGGTACTAAACAGAGGCACATCTTGCTCCACCCTTAGAGGCACTAAAAAATAAACTGGTGCATCTTTGGGACTGGCAACATGTATTACAGAGAAGAAGAAAAACAAGTAAGCAGACGTGTATCTACCTTGGGAGTCTTGGCAATCTTCTGACTAGAATGGTCATGCACAGAGTTCCTGCAAGACAAAAATGGATGTCATTTTGGTTGTGCGGGTTTCCAGTCGGGTTTATCTTAAGACACATGGATGCCCCTGTCCCTCAGAGGAGCAATTCTTTGTCACAAAGGACTAACTGCTTGTCCTGGGTCCCTACGAAGGATCATCTTTTCCCCCCTTCGGAATGGCACCCAAAACCCTCATTCTCCATGGCAGTGTGGTGCAGCTATAATGTCTCTGAAGGTCTCCAGGTCAACTACCTTGGCCTCAAGAAAACAATCTTGTTCCCTGAAGCACCATGTCTTCTGTGGCAGGGGGTGCTACATGGGGCCCCAAGCCTCTTCCTCCAAAGAGGTCTCATTAGCGCCTAGGTCAAGTGAGATCATTACATTTTTAATGATCTAGAACTACATAACTGATGGTAAAAATATTACAATTATTATTATTTTAACTGCTTACAATTGTTTGGATAGTATGACATGGGCAGCTGTAGCTTTCAGCCGAGCAATGTTAATTTGCTCTGTGAGTTCCTCCACAGTTTCAATGTCCACATTCTCCTCTGATCCATTAGATTCACTTTCACTCTGAAGCAAGATTTAAAAGACAATGATCAACTTACAGACAATTCACAGCAAGACATGCTAGTTCTTTTTAAAAAATGAGTACGTAAGAAAAAACTACATCTTTAAGAAGTGATGATATAATTCACAGCAATTTTTCTATGCAACAACTGCATTGATAAAATTAAATATTTTTTAACACTAAAGCAGATATAACATTGATATAAAAACAAGTATTGAATCACTGAGGAAGTATAGCTGAATTCATAAACGTAAAAGTATAAGCAAACAATAATCAGTTTAATCTGAAACTTTGTATCATAACAACTGAAAACATGATAGTTTGTCCATGCAGTGTCAGGCACAATCTTTTGTTACTACTCTCATGTAACTGCGGAATGCATTTACATTCTGTAGATATAACAGAAATGTTCCATGTTGTAAAAGGAACAGGCAGAAAAAAGAAAACAACTTCATTCTAAATTGCAAGTATTTTCTTTTTAAACTGTTAATAAAAATTAAAAATACAAATCATACAAAAATAAACAAGTTATCCTGAAGCAAAGAAAAGTTAGCAATGGGGGAAGAAGTATGCTGAATCTTGATACCAATTAAAAACCCACATATGTTCAAGGTGTAATAGAAAAATGGTGCGCGGGAAAATGGATATAAGTCAGTAGGTTTTTTTTACAGGTACTATGTAACTTACATAGTTACACATTTTAAATACATTTTGTTTCATCATGTACATGGAAGCTTAATACAGTATATCTTATGATCTACATCCTAGATATTACCTTGAGAAGCCAGCATCACTACTCTTGCAGGTTAGTTCTTTTAAATGGACAATTTGCCCAGACTTGAAACTTAAGATTAGAACCAATGTCAGTACCCAACTAACTTGTTCCACCAGCACAAGGCTTTCTGACTGTGCAACATAATTTCCCCCTTCACTCACACATGCCCTGTGCCCTCTCTAAATCCACTCTGAAGGACTAAGTGAAAACCCAGAACATTATTTTTTTTTTTGCGGGGGGGTGGGGAGGAGTTACATTGTGCAAGCAAGAATACTTGCACTGACAAGAAGAGTTTCTTAGCGCTAAAGGATATCAAGATCAGCAACATACTAAAAGGTAAATAATATTTTCAGAATTGCTCTTCTATTTAAACTACTCACTTTGGAAAACAACCCATTATTTTTTGTATAATTGGCCAAGAATTCAGTTTTGAAGTATTTAAATAGTTTCCTCCTTTATAAGGCAGTGATTTATAACCCTAAGTCCACCCCTGCCTTGCAGTTCTTCGTTGTTCTTCCTTCCCACTACCTGCTCTGTCCTCATCACAGTTCTTAATGTCTTACCTATTACTTCTTTTTACCTACTTAATGTCTGTGGCTTTCAAACTTTTACTGACCTGAAAACCAATACATACATCTGATCACAAACTAATAATCAGGAATAGTACAAAATCATAGGATGCAGGCACAAACCAAGGGCTGAGTGAACATAAAAGTCTTTGGCACTATCGTTGGAGGGAAAGAAAGAAATGACAGCATGCAAAATCCATATAAAACCAGCAAAACAATTTTACAATGACTTGTGCTTCCATTTTAAAGATGTACTCACCAGTGTTTCTACATTCACTATATCTTCACTTTGATAGCCAGATGCTTCATCGGCCATCTCATCTGCAGAATCATCTGTTTTTTCATCTTTTTCTGTATTATCCATGGTAATATTAATAATGGCAGGCAGAGAATCCTTTCTGTGATAGCTGGTTTTCAGTATATTCTGTTGTTTCTCACATTTAGGAAATTTCTTTACAAACTCATCAGCACCATTCTTATTTTTGTTTTCCAAAGCATCTGAAGGCCTCGATGTTTTGCTCCAAGTTTTGCTAACTTGAACAAGGCCATCTTTAACAGTCAAGTTATCTTTCTGAACACCAGTATCTCTTTTATATGAAAATTCTAGTGCATTATTTACATATTTGCTTCCCAATGTGGTATTTTGACCATTTGCACTAGTAACCTTATGCTTCCTTCTGACCTCGCCTCTATCCCTCTGTGCTGCCACAGAATGACCCTTTTCCTTCATGTTTTGCCCTAGTAGTTCCTGGTCTTCATTTCCCTGTGGACTCAGATATGATTTCGTTTTTCTCTCCAGTTTTTCTGCACAATTCGTTTGTACCTTGCACTCATCCCAAGGCTTCTGAGATGGTTCAATAATCATTTCCTCATCTGTTTCTAACTGTTTCTGTTCAGCTCCTTCTGAATCAGTTGCTGTGCTTTGTGTTTGCTCAGAGTGCGCTTCTTCCTCATTTGAGTTCTTTAGTTGTGCTACTTTCTGCTTGTTTAATGCATCATGTGCTAGGACTGCAGTTTGACTGCAACTCTCAGTAACGCTCTCAGAACTACATGAAACTTCATTTGGGGTGTCTTCAGGATGTTTAACATTAGCCATCACTTTATTTCCCCCAGACTTTATTTCCTGGCTGATGTAGGAGCGGTCCAATGATGCAATCTCAGGTTCAAGGATAGGATCATCACTTGCTAATTCTTCCAAGATTTCTGCATCCTTCTCGGCTGTCTCTGAGGTTATAGCATTCCTGTCACACGTGAGCTTTTCACAAGAGGGCTCTAAATGGTTTTCTGGCAACTTATTTTCTTCCTGTCTGGAATCTGACATTGTGACTTCTGACCCCATAGCCTCCACCTCTTGTAAGCATCTTGTCTTTCCTTCTGGCTTAACTGAACTCAAATCATCTTTCTGAGATGTGCTATTTACCTCAACTTGTTTCAAAATGGAAGTTGGAACTTTCTTCTGCCCTGGAAGCTGAAGCAAGGCAAAACTGCCTGACTGAAGAGCTATTAGATGATCTGTACTATCTGGTGTGCTGCGGGTGTCGCATGTTATTTTAGAATCTGAAGTTGTCTGACTAACCCCCAAAGGAGAAATCCTCATAGTCAAAGTGCCAGCCTGTGAGACAGGAGAAATGACCGGTTCTGACTGAGCAGCTGAAATAGGAAGTGTGGGCCCAGATCCAATGGCCTGCGACGTCTGGTCTGTAGGTGGGGCCATGGTTGAAGCAGAAGGAGCTTCAGCAGCACAGGACACGGCTGAAGCAGAAGACATGGATAACCCTGAAGGAGCTTCAGTGGCAGAAGATATGGGTGAAGCAGTAGGGAGCACAGGTAACATTAATGGGGTCTCAGTGGTAGGGGTTCTGGGTAATACAGAAGCTTCTGTGGTACTAAGGGGCATGGTCAAAGCAGGAGGGTCCTCAGCAGCAGTGGGCACAGGCAAAACTGAAGGAGTTTCAGCAGCAGGGGGCATAGGCGTAATGGAAGGGGCAACAGACGACCCCAAAGGAACCCCAGCAGTAGGGGGCACAGATAACATCAAAGGGGCAGAGATGGTTTGGATTCCAGATAATATAGAAGCAGCTGCAGTGGTTGCCGTCTCGGGCAAAACAGACATGGCCTTTGTTGTTGGAGAAACAGACAATACAGGAGGCGTTGCAGACAGAACCGAAGCAGCCAGGGTGGTTGGGATCACTGATGAAACCACAGAGGACTGACACACAGATACCTCAGGAAGCTTAGAAGGGCTTGGCAACCGGATTTCTACAACAGATCCTGCAATGAATTGAGAAATGCTATTAGTAATTCTTGCCACCTGATAACTCATTTTTGTTTGATGAAAGCAAACTGTGGAAGGGTAGTTTTGAAAGGGGGGAAAATTGTTTTGTTTTTGGCTCACTGCTCATGGTTTCTCTCAAAACAAACCATGAGACTGGGTTCAAACATATGACAATGCTCTTTGGGGAGGAAGGGTGGGATATAAATTTAATAAGTAATAAACTCCGGCTTGTTTCTGGCAGCGCAGCAGCCAGAAATGCATTAGCTATGAGCACCTGCACGTCTTCAATTGGGTTATACCAAAGTTTAGTTTCAACTATGGTTCAACATTTTGTACAAACCAGGCTACAGAAGTCATTGGAAGACTTCCTTTGGGCAGTCCTCTTGCCCCCTGTGGACTTGGATGCAACTAGCTACCTTGGTGGTGGGTGATGGCCCTATTATCAGAATACTCTTCTGAGGGAGGCTTGCGTGACACCTACTCTGATGCCTTCAACCGTAGTACTTAATTTTCCTAAGACTTTTATTTTATGCTGCTCTGATTTTACAACTATTGCCGCTGTGATGTATATTTATATCATATTTGAGACCTGTCCTGGAAGCATTTTATATTAAAAGGCAGCATATGAATTACAATAAATTTTTAAAACTAACTTTAGGCACTGAACAAAAATAGATGCACAATTATAGGAAACTATGCTTCCCCTCCCCCAGTATTTAACTGCTCTCTCTCAGAAAATAAAATAAATAAGATGTGCAGCATTCTGTACCTGGATTACGTAACATTACGGGTGATAAACTAGGTTGGGGTCCTGCAGGTTGGAACTGGTGCAGCGGAACAAGCTGGATAATCTGCCCATTGGGGTGTCGGTAGAGATTCACACCAGCAGGATTCCTTAGAGGCTGCAAAATCATTCTCTTCCCCTGAGCAACTTGCGTGTTTTGTTGAGGTCGCAATGTAGGAGAACTCTGAGGTACTGGAATCAAAAGCAGCTGTGGTCCCATGCGTTTCTCTGCTCCAGGAGACAATCCTGGAGGGCTTGTAGTACCTGCCATATTAGGAAATAACACTCTTCTTAACAAAGTCCCATTTATACAGCAAGATTTACAGAGCATTTTTAAAAAAACAACAACAAAGAAGAATCTATGTGACCAAAGTTCCATCAGTTCCGACATTCTGCTTCCAGCAGGTATCAGACAGATCATTATGAGGAACTTGTAACAATAATATGAAAGCAACAGCTTCTGCTGTTTGTTCTAGCAACTAGTATTTAATTCCCCAACTGGAAGCAACTTCCCAAGAGCAAAATTGGGCTTGAAAGAATACAAACCCATTTCAAACAGTTCTTACCAATTTTTCCCAGGACATCTCTACACACACAAGTTCATGCCAATTCACTAAAGTCCCTTTTATTCTAAAACAGATATTCTCATACTTTCTACCCACAAGGAAGTCTTTTTGCATCAACTTTGCTGTGCAGAAGTTATTTGGCGGACAAGTATTGAACCACTGCACACAGCAAAGGAGAGATATGAAGGTTCTGGGGGAGGAGGGGAACAAAAACAAGGAAAAGTTTGGAAAAGAAACTGCCATCATCTCCGCACCCCCCTTGGAGGTCCTTTTATTATTATTTTTTGCAGCTGAAAAATCTGACATTTTGATCAACACTGAGAAAACTCATGCGAAGTATTTTCTCATTTGAAATGAGTGAAATGCATTTTAAGACAAGGCTTTATTCACTCAAAAAGTCTGCCAAGCACTTCAGTCTCTCATAACAGACAGACAAAGTGACAGGTGTGTGGACCAGCAAGAACTGGTCCATCAGTACGGGTACCTTACCTGCTTTTTGATTCGATAAAGGACTTTTGTTAATTCCTGAGAGTCCAGGAGCAATACAGCTAACTGGCGAAGTTGGTGTGGGCACCGAGGTCACAGATGCAGTTGTGGTTAAGATTGTAGATAGAGATGCTGCAGAAACTGGAATACCAACGGTTGATGGGCCTATTCCAGGCAAAGCTACAGTCGCAACTGGCGTAGCAATTCCAGGTGATTTTGCTATTTTAACAGGAGTCCTAGTAGCTGTGGTTGATACAGTCCTGTTTTCAGGTTTTCCAACAGCATTTGCTTTGGCGGTGCCAGAAGAGCAGGGAGCTTTGTTACAGGGTGCAGGGCTAGCAGTAGTTCCAGCAAGTGATGACACAGTAATAGCAGGAGGAGTAACTGTAGTTGCCCCAGGGGAGAGCGGCATAGATTTGATATTAAATTTCTGTGGTCCCGTCAGAGGTTGGGTTATTCTAGTTCCAGGAACCTTCTGGTGTAGTGCCCCAACGGCGCTTATAACCAACTGAGACGCCACATTGTGTAGTAAAGGCCGAGCAGCTGAAAAGAAAGGTTTTCAAAGTCAAAACTATTAGCAGTTTTCATCTTTCCATTCCGCAAACTATAACAGCACTCAACCTAGTTTTATGCTAAGGCCTCACTTTCCCAATTAACACTTACTGGTTACAATGCCTCATTTTCAACATATTGCACCTAATCATGCTGCATGTGGCAAAAAAAAAGTCTCAAAGCAGCTTGATGAAGGATATTACAGTATATAAATAAATATGAATACTATACTCTCACCTTCCATGCTTTTTATGCTTTACAATTCAGACAATTTATAATACAGAAAATAAGGTTTTGACCTACCTATCTGCTTCTGTGTTGAGGCTTGAGCATTTGGTGATGTTACAGTGGAAGTGGATGTAGTGTTACTGGAAAATGGTGTTTTGGAAATTTCTGTTGTGGGCACTTCAGCTGACTGTGGCTCAGAAGAAGCAAGCTTAGCATCGGACTCTGCCTTGGAGATTGCAGTACTGAGTGTTGATAGGTCAAGCATTGTTGGTCGCAGCCTGCCTGTGATATAAGCAGCAAGTCGATTGGCTGGATGTAATGCTCCCATCTGTCCTAGAAGCAGTTTGGCTTGAGGGTATTTTTTACCATTAACCTGCAATAAAAAGAGAAATATACAAACAGTTGCTAACCCTGTCTTTTTTTCTTTTCTTTTTAACAATGCCTGGGATCCAAAGCACTAATTAGGCTCACACAAGGAGCTCTAGCCCAGTTCAGTTCCTTATTCCTCCACCTTAGATAGTTGACTGCCAATGCCACGATATGTTTGAAATTTCATTCTGTCTTAAAAGGTCACCCAGTAAGCTTCATGGCTGATGAAGATTTAAACTTGGGTTTTCCCAGTCCAGGTCCAACACTCAGTCTAGCCATTACATAGACTCAGAATACAAATTCTATTTACATGTACAAGCAAGGACAACCTAATTTTATGCAAGTTTGCAATCTGTTCAACGGAGCTTACTCCCAATAAAGTAGGAACAGGATTGTAGCCTTGGTCTCCAAAACCCTGAAGTGCTAGATTTCTAAAGAGAGTGGGCTAAAAGGTTCCCAGCTGACCACTCCTCTATCCAGCAGATCAGGAGAATCCAGTGTAATATGACTATCACATACCACAGGGTATTTATTTTATACTGAGAGAGACTACTGGCCAATGCCAATGAATGTTATCTAACCAAGTCATACATTACATGCACTAAAATCAATGGGCTTACATAATTTAAGTCCATCGATCTGAATGGGTTTACTCTGCGTATGACTAACCGTGGTTATCACCCGGTATCACTGTAGATAATAATTGGTTTAATTCAGACACCGGTCCAGTTTGCACATACTGCTAAGCCAAACCATGGCTAAGTGAGAAAGGACTGAGCATATGGGTACTCACAGGAAACATTGTGGTTGCTTTCCTCCACCTCTGGTACTGCTATTCAGAGCTATGTCATGGTTTAAATTAGCATTATGTCTGAACCTGGGCCCATAGGTTGCCTCCCAGAGATAAACTATGAGCAGTAAGGCAAAGAAGAAACTATATCTACAGCTTGTAGTTTATCTGGAACTAAATGAACCTCAAGCCTCAGTTCAGACTTAATGCCAAGTCAAGCCACGGCTTAGCTCTGGGTACCGGGGCAGCAGCAGGCTTCACAAGGAGCAACACTGGGCTGCCAGAGACTGGGGCAGGAAAGAATTTGTCAAAGGATCCTGTGCAATTCCATGGCATATCTCAGTTTCACCCTCTCCAACATCCTACAACCGGAACTGAAATATTTTCAAACCTGTGCCTATCTCAAACGTGGACCCAACCTTTTACTGCACACTGGGGATATGCGAGAATGACAAGATACTCTGGACAGCTGGCCTTGGGGTTCTGTTGCTGCCTTCTGGCCAGGGAGTCAAGGCATTGGCCTCCTCTTTCTCCTCCAGTTAAAAGATTGGGAGACTGCCCTCCTGGCCCCACAGGAAAGGCCTATGCCATGCTAGCTGTATTTCTCCACTCAATGAGCAAAAGATACATGAGGAAAAAAACTGGCTGGTGTCCTAAAAATAACACATTAAAAAATCATCAAAGCATAAGAAATGCAACCCACCTGAATCAAAGATGAGGAATTCAAATCAGATTTGCATGTGTAAGCAATCAGCTTTCCAGCAGGAGAAAGCCCAGCATAAAAAGGTAATCCTTTCTTCCTCCTCTCCCGTAACATGCCAGCTGTTAAGAATGTGACTTTTTCTGTCTTTTTGCATGGTGACAATCTATTATCAGAAGCCTCCAAAACAGAAATATGAGCCTTTTCATCCTTGTTTTGACTGGATAGCATGGAGATTTTCACCCGGGAGGAATAGACAGGAGTGTTCTTCTCATCCCACGTTTTGGTTTCAGATTCTAGATCAATAACAAAATTTCCTACTTTAAGGGACTTGGGCATCTTACTCTTGACATGCTGTGACAGGAGGTTCAAGATCTCATTGCGATCTTCCTCCCAGTTGCAATCAGAAACAATCTCAATTAGTTTGGTTGTTCCACCTCGTGTAGTATGATGTACATATGAAGTTGATGGATCCCCAGCACTACAGGAAAACCACCAGGTTTTATCTGAAAAAAAATGGAAACAGGTTTCTTTAGTGTTGTAGCAGCAGAGGAAACCAAGCAAATTAAAGACTTGGGCAACATTTCCTAATTAACAATGCCTAATTAGTCCCCATGTCTAAGAAGTGGGCCCTGTTCTCCACCCCTTGTTTTCAATGAAATACCGTATTTCTATCTGCCAGAAAGGTACAGTGGTTACATTATCATTTCTTACCAGTGGTTACATTATCATTTCTTACCAAGTTGCAACACTATCAGTTTTAAAGGTAGGATGGCCAAAAATGTATCAAAGGGCTGGGGAACCTTTTGCAGTCTGGGGGCCACATTCCAGTCATGAGCAATGTCAGAGGCAAAAGTGGGCTGAGCAATGGATGTGACACAAAACCTTTGCACACTAGGCTACATTTTAGCTATGCAAGTCACAGATTTCTACGTATATCTTTCCAATCTCGGCAAGCAAGAGACATCACCACAGTTCAAGGATACGTGGGGGGCGGGGAGGGAAGGATGTTTCTGTATGTCTCTGTGTGTATAACTGCAAGTAATCAAGAGTGCTTGGGTCAATCTCCTGAGATGTGGCACAACCAGTAGCATTTTAACATAGGCAAAACAAACAACTAAGCCCATCTTTGTCAAACAATAGGAACTTGAGCTACTCTTCTGAACTCACTTAGGTATACCCCTCCACCACAAATGCTTGTTCCACGAGCTGTCCTGGGAACACCAATAGGTGTTAAAGTACAGAAAATGAATTATACAAGCATGCAGAGCCCCTGAGCATAATTAATTGTAAGCATTCCACTGCTGTGAAAAAAAATCTATGGCCATAATCTAACAATGACATTAGAAAAGAATGTGATAGCCTAACACAGCACACAGGGAAACATTCAAAGACAGCAGCAGCTCTTCCCTGCTTCTCTTCTTCCCAGGTTAATGGGAACGCGGTCATTCCCTTATAACATTATGGATAAATTGGGGTAGGTGAGTTAACCACCCAGTTCCCTTACTGGAACACTTTCCATCCCTCTGTTGTCCCACTGCAAGGCTGCCATGCCTGTTTATTTGAAAAAGCAGAGGTAGGTTCAATTGTCAACTGGCCAAAAGGAAGGCTTAATGTATCTCATTGTCACCTCCCTCCCCAGAATGTCTAGGAGTCGCACACTCATCACCTATCCCGAAAGAGCTACTCCAGAATTTGGGAATCTGGGGACAAAGTTCATGTTTTTAATTTTACCTCCGGGCTCTTTATCATCTTCCAAATCAAGAGGCTGGGGCTCAGGATCATGCTCCTGGGAAAAAGATTTAAAAGAAGAGGAAAAGATAAGACGGGGGGGGTCACATTTCCAATAATAATATATATTTAAATACAGAGTTCAAACCCTGGAAGCAAATGATGAGAAATATGGCAGTTGTGCAAAGCTTTTCATCATAATATAGTTCACAAAGGGCAGAATACCAGGCATGGCTGGACCCCATTTTTTGCCATATGACTACGATATATGGATGCCTGGGAGTATGGACAGAGAATGTTATAATGTTTCTTGCCAGCTAAACTCTAAAAAAACCCCACCCCAACCCCTCCCATCCCCTTGTGGCTGATAATAGCTCCAGAGGGTAATCTCCCTTTAGTCTCAATACCAGCCATTTTGTGGGCAGGGAAGTGAATGCACCTTCCTCAGGAAAATAGAGGGAAGAAAAATGTTAAACTTCTCCCAGCATTCTGCAATAGCAATGAAAACCCTATCTTCTATTCATTGTTCTACAGCAGGGGTCAGCAAACTTTTTCAGCAGGGGGCCAGTCCACTGTCTCTCAGACCTTGTGGGGGGCCAGACTATATTTTGGGGGGAAAGAAAAAAGAACGAATTCCAATGCCCCACAAATAACCCAGAGAAGCATTTTAAATAAGAGGACACATTCTACTCATGTAAAAACACCCTGGTGCCTGGACTGTCTGCGGGCTGGATTTAGAAGGTGATTGGGCCAGATCTGGCCCCCGGGCCGAAGTTTGCCTACCCATGTTCTACAGCATAGGAGCTCAGGGCAACAACCAAATCTGTGATAAAATATTTACACATATTTAAAACATTCAAAGCATCTAAAAACTTTAAAAATAATAAACCCAGTAAAACATTTACAGATTTAAGAACAGATCATGGGTCTGGTTAGGCTTTAAACAGAAAAGGTTTTCTGTAGGTGTCTAAAAACAGTATAATGAAGGTGTTTGTCTGATGTCATTATTTTTTACTCAGAGTGCATTAATAAAGGAAATATGAGGGCACAACATTTTACCTTTTCAATGTGTTTTTCAGAATTCCAAGGGCACCTCTGTTGCTGCTTTTTCTCCTGTTTTTTACGATCATATATCCGAACACGAGCACAAGTCATCATGCTTTCAAAATATATATAGACAGGGTCCTTATCCTCTTCTCGAATCTATAAACCAACATAAATGGATTTCCAAGTTAGAAGTGCATCCACGGAAAAGCCTCACTGTTCCACCATTCCCTTTCTCCACTTTTATCACCAAATAACCTAGACAAAATGCCAAAGGGAGCACCTAGGTAAAGATTATGGCAGAATCCAGCTGGTCCTCTTAGTGATGTTGCTCCAGCAGATGTCCAATAACAAAAGGGTAGAGGTGATTTCCTAATTCCTCCTCACACTGTAGCTCCTAATGCCCCCCAACAACTGTTCTGGGGGGCTGCAGGGAGGAAATAAGTAAAACCTGCCTCCCTTTGTCCATTAGCAGATGCCTCCAGCTGTTCAAAACCCCTTGCACAAGGGTACTAAGTGGATACAACCATATAATGCTTCTGAGAAAATGTTTCCTCTGTGCAATGAATTTAACTTATAGGACAGACAGTTAAGTATATTTCACATACTTTATCTGCTGGATAAAAAGGGTTCTCTCTAGAGCTCTCTTGGGTCTCCAGTTGCTTTTGGGCTACAACTCTCATCATCCCTAGCTAGCAGGATACTGTTAATTCTTCACTTTCCACTCCCCCATGTTACCAGTTTGGTACACTCCCAATATGTTGGTTCACGTTCCCATATTAGAATTAAAGAACAAATGTCTTGGGTTGCCTTTGCCATAAACAAGTGGAATACTCCTGATTCAGCTTCAAAATCTCGTTTCTTTTGCTTACCACTGGATTGGGTCTAGGCGCATAAACTCGTGCTGATTTGACTCCACTGGTAGCAGGTTTGCCTTCACCAGCTGCAGGTTTGCCATCGGATGTTAAGACCTCCGGGACAGGTGGCATAGATTTTGTTGGTTCAATAGTTGATGGTGTTGGGATGTAAACTGGTTCTGGATCCATTTCTCCATCTACTTTAACCCACAGTGGAAAGCTCTTAACAGGCTTTTCTGGCTCTGTACCACATATAGCTAGTAGAAAGATTTAATAATTTATTTAATAATTTATTGTCTACTCTAATATAAAAATATCACACAAGCATTATCCAATGAGAAAGATGACCTATTTTTTATATTACGGAGAAAGAGCTCCAAGCTTGAGTAATTTATATGCCCCTGGGTGAAAGGGAAGTTTAGGACAGAGACAGAGAGGTACACACAAAACCTCCTGGTCCTATGCATGTTATCGCAGATGCAAGCCCCCTTGTGCTAAATAGGTCTTACTCCCAGGTAAGTATGTAAAGGATAGCAGCCTGTCCCATTAATGCCAAATGAGTCCGCTGATTAACATGCTCCACTAGTTTCAATAAAATTAAGTTGCAATTAGCTTTAGATGAACTGAAACCCATGAATACTGATATTTTAAATGTCTTATGGACAAGTTTTATTTCCAAATTCTCATTTGGTACTTAATTCAGAAACACACATAATTACAAACACCTACAAAAAGAAGTAGCTGCTTGCTATTGATTATACTTACTATATTCCACCTTTTTCTTCTTCTTCTTATCTTTAAATTTCAGTTTCTCTTTCTTCTCCTCTTTTTCCATCACCTCTTCCTGTTGTTTCACTTCACTTTCGCAATACAATCTATTCCTTCCACACAGAGACTCCTCCAGGATCTTCTTTTCCTTTGAACTTCCTTTAACTAGGACTACCTTTCTTTTTAGGCAAGCACAGCCAAACATACAGTCTGGCTTGCGGCAATGCGTAGGCTGACGTTTCTCAAGAGCTAAGCTAGAACAGATGCACCCAAGCCGGCAAAAGTCATTGTTGCATGGTGGTGCTCGCCTTCTGATTATTTGGTGGATAGGTTTGTTTTTTAGTGAAGCCTGAAAAATGTAGATACATAACTCTTCTCAAATCTCCAGATAAGTATCTGCATACATAATTACCACAATGTAGATTCCTGAATTACATGATACAGAGTTATGTATCTTAATAAGCTACAATTCAGATCCAGAGGCAGTGGCGTAGCGTGGGTTGTCAGCACCTGGGGCAAGGCAAGTAATTTGCACCCCCTAACCCGTGGATTTCCGCCCCCTAACCCGTGGATTTGCGCCCCCTAACCCTAACCCCCAGATGTTGCACCCGGCCCCTCCTGCACCCCCCACGCTACGTCACTGTCCAGAGGGAAGATGTATTCAGTCAATTGCAACAAAAACAACAGCTTTTAAGGTGCTGCAAGATGCCATTGTTTTTGCTGAAATAGACTATCTGCAATACATAATTCCAGCAATAATGTAGCCAATAGAATAGGGATGTGCATTTGACCAATGTATATATGACTGTATTTTTAATCAGAAGTGCATCTTATAATTATAGTCATTAATCCAGAATCCAATATATGCAAGTGTAAGTCTGCTTTAAAACAGCTGCACTAGTTTCCAGTTATGGGGTGTTAGAGGAGGGGTAGTACCTCTGGTGGGGGACGTCATGCTCCTTCTGGGGTAGTTTGTCCACCTGCGCTCAGCTTTCACCTGTGGGTCCTAAAACCTGTCAGCATGCGACAGCGGCCACATCCCAGGAATGGCTTCAATTGGCCAGCTTAATCAGGTGACAGTAGCCAATGGGTCTCATACCCTTGGTGAATTAGGGGCTTCCCTCGCATGCAATTTGCCATTGCTCTGGCAAATAGAGCAGATGAGACCAATAATGGGTCCCATGATCAAGGTGGGTTCTGCACATGCTGTAGAGGAGTTAGGCTCATCAACCTGGGAAGGTAGCCCATTTAGAAGAAGGAAAACTGATCCTAAACCTGCACTGCCTTATGGGATATCTTTGGAAGGAGAAAAGGCTAAGGACTAAACCCTACACAAATCTGGAGTGGAGTCCCTAAGATGGTTGGATGGCACCTCGTACGCCTCTTTCAGGCAACTCCTGTAGCTAAGCTGGTACCAAACGTATTGCTCTGCTTTCCTTTGGACCACATCAGCGAAGCCAAGAGGGGGGTTTTGTTGTCTGGGCTGTCTAGGAACTCCATACACACTACTCAGGCTTGTGCCCTGGAAAGTCACTTCGGTAAGCCTAATGCAGTGATTTGACTTTGCTCCCAGAGGCACACCCCACTGTCTCGAGACAGACAGAGGCCAACATGTAGTTGCCAGCTCCTGGACCCAATTCACTGGTGTTTAAGACCCTAAACAACTCAAGTCTTTCAGGTATTTGAAGCCTATCTCCATCCCAACAGACCCTCTTGTGTATTAAGATGTTTGTAGTTTCGTCACCCTTAAGAGTGCAGGGAATGATAACCCCAGGGATGACTATCTCTTTGGCTACCCCTAAATTGTAGAAATCCCTCACCATAGAGGTATGTCTATTAACACCATTATTCAGAAATGGAAAATATGCTGAAGGCAAGTCACCGTTAAACTTTCATGAACAGAGTAACTCACCTGAGCAGTGAGTAAAGTAGACAGAGATAGGTCTGCTCGTTCTTCAGTAATGTAAGTCCGTGGTTTACCATCCCACAATGCGCAAACCTCCAAATCCATCAGCTTCAACTGAGTCTTTGATAAACTTGGCAAGCGATTACTCTGTTGCTGCTGCTGTGCCTGACGCTGTTTCCCCTGTACATTTTCTTCTGTGCCTGATGCCATGAGAGCATCTATCTCACTAACTGCTTGACTACTTGGCTGAGACTTAGTGACTTTCTCTTCCAAAGCTGTCAAGTTGCGTTTCTGCTTTGTTACAACAGGCAAACCTATTGTAGCCTTCTGGGGTGACTTTTCTTTGCCTCTAGAACCTGCTTGCTTTTTATTCTTAATTTTCTCTCTCTTCTTTCTAGAGACAGAAGGCACAGAAAGAGGCTTGAAAGTATAAGAGCTAGTAGTAGTAACACTGGATTGCTTTTTCAGAACACTATCTAGTGTCCGTACATAACTGGTGCTTTTAGTTGGAAGCTGGTAAACCACAGGACAACTGGATGTACTAGGAGAGAATTCCATGCTCGTTTCCATTAACTTCCCTTCATTTTCCAAATATTCATCAAGCTTGTCACTGCAGAAGGCAGATCGATTCTTCAAGGAGCCTTCTAAAATGCTACCTGAATAATCACATAAATCAATTTTCAATTGAGTATTGTCAACTTCATTATGATGTGTTTGCATAGATTACATTGGTAAAAGCTTTAGAAACTGATGTACAGAGTAGCTGTGGTAAGAAACATTGTCCACTATAGAAGCAGAAAGGTGGTTTGGGGGGGGGGGGGGGTTAGTGCTGTTTCTGGAAGTCTTCCAGCTCTCAGAAACAGAAGTAAACAAAAGGGGGAGGCACGTTGTACACAAAAGCAAACTATTTCTCAATAAATGTCAAACTTTATTGGTGATTGTAATTTGGAGAGGATCCTTTCCTTCTTCAGGGGCTGATATACCGTAAACAATCATATCAACTCTATACATTGGCCCAGTTCATACAGAGCTCTAAGCCAAATCAAGGCTAAACACAAAGCAGCAAATATGTATGTTTAGGCAATAATTCTACCAGGTTACAGCTACTGATTAACAGTGTACTTAGGGGTTTTGTAGATGGAATAACCAGACACCCAACTAATCCATTATGTTAAGTGACTCTGGAGTGCAGGTGTCTGGAGAGTTCATTTCCCCATTTCATTTGGCTCAGAGAAAGTAGCAGGAAACACATCCTAAATCTTACCTTCATTTTTTGAAGAACTATGTAACTTCCCTCGCCATCCTTTTATCTTTGTGAAGTCATTCGTCTTTCCAGTCCTGGAAACAAAGGGAAGCCCAGTATCTGGTGGGAAAGACAGTCAAGCTAGTTTTATGTGCTGCTAGATAACAATTTAACAGATTATGCTCTTACACTATATTTTTACATAAAGAGCCTTCAGAACCATTACCTTTAAGCACTGCCCAATCCTATGAAGAGTAAGGTGTTTCTAACTCAACTAAAATTAGTATGGTAAAGGTGTGCTGAACTGTACATAAATATTTAGCCTCAGTTTACCCTGCCATATGGGACCAAACAATTAATCGTAAATGCATCTATTGAACAGCAGATCTTTTAGGCAAAGTCAAAATTTCAGTGCTAACATAACAGTGAAGTGTTCCTGATTTGTTCTACCAAAACAGAAATGCTTCTTCTAAAGACATAAAGCTATCCTGTAACTCAAACTCGAAGCTTCATTGTAGTATTAAGAAAGACGGTGACTTACCATAAGAACTGGAATTGGTCCTTACGTTTTTCCACAATGTGTATTCATCAGAATAACTTAGTGGTAGCTGCACACCCAAATATTTTAAATCAATGCTCATTGTTGGGTCCACTAAGTTCAGCTTTAGTCCCACTACAAGAAGAAAATGCCATATAAAAATTCTATACAGCATTTGTAAATGCAAAGCTTGTACATACTTCACAGTGCTTACACTTACCTTCCCGAAGACTAGGATGTATCACCTGCTTGTACTTATAAGATTTCAACTCTTCCAACAATTCTGTTTCCAGCTGTGGTATTCTCTGACTGTCTGTGAAATACATATTTAAATTGCTTAAATATCTTTACCATTTCTAATTCACTTGACTAAGCATCATTTACTTTCTACCCCAATCCCATAACACACACAATACTCTTCCCCCAACAACTCCTAAAAGAGAGAGAGAGGAACTGGATGAGGGCAACTGCACTGTCTCTCAACAGTACAGGGTCAATGCCAATTTTTTCTCATCTCTCACCTCACCTAGTGCTCAGTATTTTAAAGTCTTGGAGAGAGAGAGAACCTCAGAGGCTGGACCACATGCTTAGCATTTCTATGAAACTTGCAAACCTCTTGCAGCAGAAACAGTGGACTTAGGGACACTGTTGAGTATTAATGTAAAAAATGCATTATAAAAATGTGACACCAGAGGGCGCTGTAGAGCAGTGATCGTTTGCCTATGGGAAATTGCATTGGGAGCTAATTTTTAGTGTGTGTGTGTTTTTTTTAAATAGTGTTTTCCAGATCAGTGTAGATTCAGCCAGGGACAAAATGCCAAAAAGAACTGGTCAGGGCTCATCCAGACTTCCTTTTGTGCCATGGAAAACCTGATTGCTATTTGCTCTAAATCAGCGGTAAAATGTGGTTTTCCCAGCGAAAGTGCTGGGACTAAAAGACAGATGTTTGGACACGAAGCTTTAAAGTCCAAACCTGTGCCCAGAAATGTGGCAAATAAGGAAGTCAGGATGAGCCTTCAGCTCTGCTGCATTTGCTCGGCTTGGCAAACTTGAACATTAGACCACTTAGGGAGAAAGAGAAGTATCCATAGGGCCAAACTAGCTGAGAGTTAAATGATTCTCTGCATCTAACATGTAAGGTTTTTTGTTTTGTTTTTAAAGTAGACTGCACCAGCTGGGAAACTGCACACCTGATTTGGCCCTTAATAGGCCATTTTAATACTCCCATTATTACCTGGATTAATACATGCATCCAGTGAAGAAGTATGTATATTCTGCAATTCTTCTTTTTCACATGTAGTCAGAGAAGAAGTCTGAATATTCTGAATTTTTTCTTTTTCTTCCACTCTATCAACATTGTGGATATCCAGGGCTTCCTAAATGTAAAAAGAATAAAATATATGCATTGACAAAACACTATTCTAGGTTTATTCCAGAGACAATCAAAAGCTCCAGGTGGTGGGGAAATTGATGGTAGAGCAACTACTACATCCAGAGCCCTGCTGGCTACATGTGGTCAAGTCAGGAGCAGGGGACCCAATTCCCCACACTTGCCCCCTGCTTTTGTTTCTTTATTTCTTTTCTTTTCTTTTTGTTTCTTTTCCTTTTTCCAATGAATACAATTGTAAGGAAATTCACTATACTAGCACTAGGGCTGTTGTTTCAGGATTGGTTTTGGGTAATGTTGGTTGAATGGGGTGTCTTAGAATGTTGTAGATCTACATACCACCACCGCCCCCCAAATGTTCCCCAAACACCACATTTTGGTCCCCTACTAGCAGTCCATGGAGGTTTCCATATGTGTACCAGATTGCCTCTGGCAAAATGTATGTCACCCCACATGTGGATTTATTCTTCCTCTCTTCCACCCTGAAGACCCCTCTAAACTTTCTATCTGCTCCAAAGGTTTGGGGGACCCTCTGAAGCAGATTTTTGGGGACTGTAGAGGTGACGAAGATGAAGTCCTGCTGGGTGAAAACTCCACTCATATACCACCCCTTGATAAACAGTGTTGCATACCACCCCAAGCCTCGGAGTCCAAATCATTACATTTGGAGCTAATAATCAAGAGTTTTATAATATAGAAAGCCACAATGCAAAGCTTAAGCAAACTCCAAGATCCCATGGTTCAATGTCAATTAAGAAATACATCTGCAGATTTTTAACTTAATGGCTTTTATAATGTGACTTAGTACTTCTAACAACTTTAAATTTCAGAAATAGAATTACCTTGGATGCAAATGATACAAAGAGTACTCCGTCCACATCCTCAAGGTCGGGTTTAACATCCAAATGGATATTGCCAGGTCCAAAGGAGGCATAATTACTTGTAGTAATGGACTTTCTAGTATATTTAGGTGGTCTTCCAACTTCAGAAAACCTTATTTTCCGTGGTCTTCCTCTTTTACGTGGGCCAGGCAACCTAACCTTTTGGTTATCAACAATACTCTTGCGGGAAATATGGTTCTTGAATGCATTTGTCTTCCCTCCCACTAAGTTAGCTAAAGAAGGGCCACGGTATGCAGTGGCCTTGAGACCACAGCTAGAGACTTTCTTTGTTATGGTAAGACTGTTACAGGTTTCAGTATTTTTCCATCGCACATCTCTTGCCGTAGGTGATTTGTGTGGCACATTATTTTCAGATACCTGTTTTCTAGTTAGCATTTCCTCTGTTTCCAAAGCTGTAAAGGGGCTGGAGACACTGTTATTTTCAGAACAAGTAGGCAAATAATCCAATGGATGACTCAAAGGTGATTCTGCGCTCTTAGAAAGAGACAATATGGCCTGTGAAAGAGCAGAGACCTTAACTGTATTCTTGGTAACTGAACAGGGTGCTAGATAGACTACAGGCAACTTTCCACTATCCAGTTTCAACATCTTTGCTTTGGCAACACCCAGCTGGTTGGTCTGTGGTCGCTTACGGGATTCAAATTCCATTTCCTTCTTGCCTACTTCCCTGTGATTCTTTCGCCGCTTCTCCAGGATGGAGTCAACTCTATTTGAATATTCTTCTGCCATGTTACGCGCTTCTTCCTGCTTCACATCTACTTCTTCCATACATACACTTGGCCCATAATCATAGTCATCTGCGGGTTCCTCTTTAACAACAACACTGATGCCTCCATTTGAGTTCAAAGGGGATGCCACATGAGAGCGACTCTGACAGGGACTTGCTATTGGACTAGACAAGAAAGGGGGAAAAAACAATTGCAAAGTAGTAAAAACAAACAATAAAAAACCTGAACAAGCAATATATCGCCTTTTTTCTTTAAGACAAATTCATACCATACAAAAATTAATATCTACAATTCAGACTATCAGCAAAACACTAGCACCAAGGTGAGCTGTAACAAACTTTGCCTAACAGATATATCTACATTTAGGTCACATCCTCATTTAAATGTTTTCTTTTTCATTATTTATTTAAGGAAACTTTAACATACAATCTCTAAAGGTAGATAATCTTGAGAATACTCTAAGCACTAATTTGCACACATACACAAAATATGTCTCCTTTAAAAAAACCTATTATTCACAATGAACCAACAAGCAACTGTCACCTCGCATTTGCGAGATTGCTGGACCACATTAAATCACAATAGAGTAAGAACAGCTGACAGTCAGAAACACAGCTAAGCTACAGCAGACTGTAAGTTAACTGTGTTAACAAATAACTAACAGTAACTCTTACAACTGTATGTACGCATTCAATTACAAAGGCTTTCACTCCCCTCAGGTCAACTAAACCTAGTTAGATGATCTAGGGGTTCATGTCCTGAGGATAGTGGGCCTCGTATCTTTCTTCATGCACTAATTTTCCAGTAATTAATTGTTATTGTTATAACAATACACTGTACATATTGGGTCTTTGCTACAGAGCACTCAACAGCATGGCACAGTTAATTTTCAACTGTGTTTTCATCCAGACCTTCCTAAGTTTTGTTCCCCATGCGCTTTCTCTTCTCAACCCACATTCACTTTTGTAAAGACTAGTTTTAAACTTCTTTTAATCGTATTATGCAAGTAATTTTTTAATATCAACTTACTGAATAGGTGGCATGCAAATATGTTTTAACAGAATATCATTTCCAAATAGTCACTAACATCCTGCTTTCTGCCTCTGTATTCACAACTGGGATGGTGCAATTACTTTGAATTCAGTGCAACAGCATATTGCTTAAAACATAAGCTTTAGAAAACTCTTTTGTAGCTTTTTCCAAATGCATAGGCTTGTTTCATTTATTTATTTTAATAATAATAATAGTTTTATTTCAATGCTTGTTTTTAACAAGGGCTTTTTCTATGTTTTTAGCATTTGTCATTTTAAAATTTATCCGCTTTCGATCCTGTTGGGGGAAAAGGTTAATTATTATTATTTATTCAAAATATTTATTATTACTGGTGAGAAAGCAGTAAGAAAAGTCTACAGTAAATCTGCTTTTGTGCTGTTCTCGATTTAACAATCCGTTCCAAATGAGGTAAAGTGTTATTTCCATACACTGCCCTTGAAATTTTTTTTAAAAATTTTTTGCCTCATATTATGTGTTCTGCTCCTAGCCCCAACCCATGCTTTGCCTGAGCTTACACTATGAATCATGGGGCAAATTCCCAAAGGAATAAGTCTTTCTGTAACTTAACCATTATCAACTGACCATGACCAAAGAAACCATTCTTCACTGACCATGGCCAAAGAAAGAGAAGCTTAGGGGTGTACTAGAAAAATAGACTGCACTAGAGACAAGGAAGAGACAGGACTGTGGTACTGGCCCCAGGTAACTGGCTGTAGAATAAACATCAGAGTCCTGCGGTGTTGATGGCACCAGCGTGAGTTCTATCACTACTGCTAATTTTAAAGTCGAAGAGGGAAATTCAGAGTAAAGGCAATTAATTGGTACAGCATGTTTCCTTCAGCAGCTCATTCAATATAGGTTTTAATGAGTCAGCCCAAACCCAACATAGTCTTTTCATGGGCCATACTGTTTTCTTCCTTGGCTCAAATGCATGTAAGAGCCACTTTACTTTTTGTCCTTTGCAGCAGCAAATCAACAATACCATAGAAGGGCTGTAAGACAGCTCAAGGTTATCTGTTACGCACTTGCCATGTACTGAGTGCAACAATCACACTTGGTACCCGGGGCCACTCACAGTTCTACAGCCCTGAATTATTTCTCCTTGGTGCTTAAATGTTTTGAAATGTTTCTACAATGCTGCTGCTGAATATAGGGAATAGGCAGAATTTGGCTGGCTCCCACCACCTAAACCTGCCTGAGCTACTTGAATGTTTAGCAAGAGATTGCACACCCACATGTATTCCAACTGCTTTGGCTCAGAAGATGTTGATCAATCTGAGTACTTTTATAGCATACCCTTCATCAAATGTTCCCAGAGCAAGGCACATACAACACACTAAAAACAATTCAATTTAGAAATTAAAAAGAGAAAGGAAAAAAATAGCACATCCTTAAAATGAGAAAAACCCATGGGGAAACACACACAGGCATCTTTACTTAACATACCACACTAATACTGAATATTGAGCAAAAGCCCAGACAAGAAGATCCTTACCTGGCACAAACATGACAAAAATGTCCACATACTCATCCTGTGTCCCCACATAATCTAACTCTCCCAGAGCAGGACAACAAGAAGGGCTTCCTGCCTTGATCTAAGGAAATGATGACAAGCTGACATAGGATGAGGCATTCATATATTTGGGTCCCAAGTTATTTAAGGTTTCACAGTCAACATCAGTACCTTGACTATAGGCACCCAAGGCAGACCTTTTAGAATCAGTGTTGCATTATTTCAGTTCTGAACATTCTGGCAGCTGCAATCGTCAATGGTTGCAGCTTCTAGACCATCTTCAAGGACAACTCCAAATAAAGCATATTAAAATAATCAAAACAGGAAGTTACTAGAGAACGGGTAACTGTGGCTTTTTCTCCAGTAACTGGGAAAAGGCACTCAGCACCACTGAACTCACTTTAGCCTCCAGTGACATTGCTGGATTAAGGAATACGCCTGGAGTAGACTATGCATCTGTTCTTTCTAGGAGAGTCTGATCTCCTCAAGAATAGGCTGTCTATTCAATTCCTGAACCCCATGTCACCCACAAGGCTCAGCTCTCTTTATCCAACTCATTAATAATGTGAGGAACCATTCCAACATTACACAGCCTCGATTGATTCTGATGATGAGAAATAGAGCTGGGTATCTTGTTGACACTTTGCTCCCAATCCCCTGGTGACCTTCCACAGCACAACTGTCATGTCGCCAAGTAGAAGTTCCCAACTGCTACTTTCTGAAATCAGCTCTGCAGGTGGGACTGCAATTTCCCTGCCTCCAGCTTCCAAACCACAGAGCTGGTCCAACAAGATACTATGGCTAGTGCTAGCAAAAGCTACTGAGCGGTCTTGCAACAAAGGCCATTTTGGTGCCAAAACTAGACTTCCATCCAGACTGAAATAGGTGTCATCACCTTTCTAAATCACCTTGCCCCCAAATTATAGATTTTTTGTGTGACTAGGAAGTAGTTATCACAAACTGCTAGATCTAGGGAGTTTCTTAAAGAGTGCCTGCACCACTGCCTTTCAAGACAGTGGGCACTCCCCTCTACCTGTAAAGAGGAATTTATCGCCTCCTTGATCCACCCAGTCAATCCCCTCTGGCTATTAAAAGGCAAGGGTAAAAAAAACAGGTATCATTAGCTGAAACTGATCCCCAACAACCTGACTAGATTAATGATGCAAGTTAATGCTCTAGAATCTACTTTCACTGGATTTGCAATAATGCCAGCATCAAATTCAGCACAAATATAAGTGACTTCACCATCGATGTGCCTCACAAAGGCTCCAATAACATCACCTGTGGGCAAGATTTCAACAGCTCTTTAAACTCAAAATAGGTTTGTTGGATGCCTACTTGAAGGCATGGTAAATGCCTTGGGAAAGTGGCAAAATACAGGTATTCAGCAAGCTTCACTTTTGCAGTTTGATGCATGATACCATGTTATGATGAAGGCAAGTTGAACTTTTACAGCACAACTGTAAGCATGCTTTCTCAGAATTAAGGCCCACTGTGTTCCAAGATTTACTCCTAAGTAAGCAAAGGAATGCAGCCTTTGATTGGCTAAAAATAACCCCAGCCTTATATTCTACCCATTTAGAAAGACCTTTACTCAACAAGCTCAGGGGCAGAGGGCAACACATTGGACACAGCCAGGTCAATACTTCCTAAAATAAAAGCAAGAAGGATGTTTAAGTCAAGTAATATCCGGGAATATCTACAAAAAAAACTTCAATGTGTTTGCTTATGCACAGTTCTTCCTCCAGAGAGTGCAATGGCATATATATATATATATTAGATCTGCTTTGAGTACTTGAAGGGATTTCTCCATAAAATAACCTCAATATGAGGTCAATATAAATACATTGTTTAACTGATGAATGTACAGGAAAATATTCATATGGATCACACATGTGAACATTTCCAAATTATAAGGAAACTCCTTCTACCACATGTAGGAATAAGTGCATAAGCAGTACAGGGGAACAAATTAAGAAATGTTCATTGTAGCTTAATACTGCCTACTGCTGCAGAATGCTGCTTATTCTGCAAAACTTGATTTGCCTTCCTTTTCTAACTACTGTATGGGCAGATATCTATAAAAAATTTTTTATCAAAAGTATAATTTGTACCCAGCATGGTTAGGAGCAGAATATTTATCCAAATATTGATCACACTTTAAAAAGAAACTTTGAGCCTACCTTTCAGGTGCTTCTTGTTTTAATATCGGACTATCACACGTATCTGTTTCCATAAAACCCAGAAAGTCATGATATGGACTGATAGATTCTCTATCCAAATCTGTGTTACACATTGCACTAAGTGATGTCTCTAAATCCCTCTGCTCTGGATCAAAAATTTCACCTTCAGTGAGATGTCTGTGATGGCTTGGAGAACTATTAACGCTACCTCCTTCCTGGTCTGAGCTACCATTTTGCTTCACATCACGCTGAAATCTACTGCTCAGGCCATCATCCCTGAACCCTTTAGCAAATGGGTTGTAGTCTATTTTAAGTTGTGTAATTTGTATGTTTTGATAGGCAGTCACAGCAAAGAACTCTGTCTGTGGGAAAATGAAGGTATGGACATCAGGACCATTTAGCTGAATAACTTCTGTGGCTTTGTCAGCAGGCACCAAGTGTAGCCGAGGTAGATAGCGGTGCATAGAGTGCAGAATGATATGCCCTTCCTGGTCCAAGGTATTGTTAGTAAGTTTGAGTTTGTAGAAAGAGACTGGTTGGTGCATCCAGTAACGGCCAGTAGAAGGTGATTCGGGGTGAATGAATACTCTTCCCAGCACATGGGGTTCTGCTTTCCCACTGGGCTCCCAACTATGGCCATTCCATTTATAGCGTAAGTTGTCAACAGGAGAAATATCCACAACCAATATATACTTCAGCTTGGAGTCTAAGCCTGTTATCCAGTATCGACAGTATGGAAACATCCGCCTTCCCTGCTTAGTCAGAATCATTTCTGTGCCGCGATAGTAGAACTCATTCCACATATTGTTGTTGTCTAGGGTAACAGTAATGCTTCCTGAGGTGCAATCTGCTGGAAGGCAGGTCTTCACTTTTGATTTTACAGGTGTTGCTATACTGCTAGCAAGGCCATTGTCCTCTTGATTTGAAACTAAGTCTCCCTGGTCAGCTTTTCCAGTGATCTGCGGCTGTTTCACAAGAACATAAAGAGCAGGTGCTGCATTGGGTGGTGTTCCACCATCCTGGTTCCCCAACACAACTGGCCGATTCTCCATTATGGACTGAAATTTCTCCAAAGATTTCACAATACAGGCGAATTTTTCTTCATGTTCTTCATTCTGGAGGGGGAGGTCAATGAAATATGTAACATCCATGTAACGTGAGCAAGACATTATACATGATAAATGATCCCCTCGGAAGTAATCACAGTGACAGTCATTACACGTAAAACAATACATTGCTACTGTCAGCTTCCACAATGATTTTTATAAAATTTCGCCACTTGGCAAATGTAGATTCATGGCAGAGGTAAGAATTTTAAATGAGATTTTCATTTCAAATTATGGGGCAATTAATTCAAAGGTCAACAAACAACACAATAACAAAAAATATTTAGAAGTAACCACAGAAGCAAAAATAGTGGCTGATGTCTAACTGTGGTGTCCTACTTGCGCAACAGACTTTTGCTTGTACAAACTGGGCTTTCCCTTCTTTTCCTACCCAACCCCCAGCACAGCAAAAATTACACCAGGGATGCTCCAAAGCAGCAGAAGAAAAGCATGAGTTCTTTAAGGAAAGATGTGATAACAAAACAGGGTTGTGCTGCTACCTAAACATTAGCAGCAATTGCAACTGAAAATGTGTGTATAACCTAGCCAACCATTTCACCTGAACTGTATCACAAAATATGATTTTTACTCTGGCACTGTAGAACTTTAGAGCAGCATTATTATTAAATCACATAACTGGTATTCTAAATGCATGAAATTAACCTTAAGGAACAAGTTACTGATCACAACCTTAAATTTGTTTTAAAGATTAAGGCATAAAGAACAATGTAACATACATTCTAAGGAATTATTCTGAGCTAGTTTGGAAAGTATCAATGATCTACTTAGTACAAGAAATGTAATAGTGTAGCAATTTTCCATTTGTTGAAATTTGTTAGTACATAAACAGTAATATAAAACAAAATATTTACTCTAGAACAAATCCATTCAACTCAACCAATTGTATTCCAGAGAAAGATGGCTCTAGGCTGTATTTACTGCCACTATCAGAGCTCTGTCACACACAACTGCAGAATCCACCAACCCTAAAGTACTTGTTATATTGTTTCCAACCTGGAAAACTGGTGTTCAAATCCCTACTCAACCACGAAGCTCACTGGCTGACCTTGGGCAAGTCACTACGTCTCAGCCTAACCTGCCTCATAGGGTTGTTGTGAGAGTAACATGGAGGTGAAATAATGTACACCACCTTGAGTGCCTTAAAAGAAAGGTGGGGTAAAAATGTTGTATTAATAAATTCTAAAATGTTGGGGTGGGAGACTGTACATTAGATCTATACAAAAATGTATAGATTTTATCTGTTTTATAAACATTTGTAAAATTAGCTTCAAATATAGCATGTCAAGCGCTGTACACACACAACACATAACCAACCACTGTGATGGAGTTTGCAAACACAGTCACAAGGCTTAAACAACGTTGCTAAAGTTTATTCATATTTTACTTCCTACACTGGGGTTGTCTGGGATTAATACTGGCTTGCCAATAAATCATAACAACAACATTCACACTTTGAATCTTTCCTCTCCTCCATTAAGCAATAATGAATGGCGGGGAGAGGGGAGAATTGAAGAATGTTTTGCCTTTCAGAAATGACATATGAGCCAGAATATAACTTCCATGCCAACATTTCACACCTGTCAAAATGAACCTAAACGCGATTATCCTGGAAGTAAGCGTTACTTACTTCCTAGTAAAGGGCTGCGGCGTTACGGAGGTTTGCACAGGGCTCGCCAACACCATCAAGTCTGTGCGAAAGCGCAATCGAGGTCCTTGCCCGTGCTTGTTGACATTTCAACCTGAAAGCTCCCGGGCAGTCACGTGCTCCCGTAGGAAGCGACCCGCAGGAATCCCGTCAGGATCGCCCTCCGAGGCGAAGCCCCGTCTCCGCTTCCCCACTCTGCCCTAAGCGCAGCTTCGCAAGCCGCCAGCCGAAGGAACATATGCTACCAACATGGACGGCGAAACCGCCATAACGCTGCCGAGTGCGAGGGGCGGGGGAGGAAAGAGAAAGAGAGGGAAAGCGGCGGAGGTAGCGAGCGGGGCGAAAGTCAAAAAGGCCCCGAAGCTTCCCAAACTGGGCGGCCTACTCGGGAGCTCGGCATGCACGTGCCCGACCCGAAGAGCAAGGGGCGCAGCGCCCCACCGGCCCCCGGCGCGGCTGGACGCGAGCCGAAGTCTCCCATCCCGAAGTCGCCCGGGATCCGCCTCGCCTTCTGCCTCGGCGCAGCCGCTTACCCGGGAACAGCGCAGCCGCAGCGCAGCTTCACACGGCACGCGGAGGCGCCTCGAACTCCCAGCCCCCGCGTGGCGCCGAGGAGCCTCCCTGACACGCGAGGAGCCGCGCGCGCGCGCCGCCTCAGAGTTCCCGCCCCTCCTCCTCCTCCTCGGCTTCGATCCCGCCCGCTCACTCGCTCACGGCCTCCCACGAAGGGGTGTCGATTTTCTCAGCTGGCAGGTGGTGTGCGGGACACGCGGAAAACTGCGCTCGAGTCAATTCTGGGGCACGCGCGCGAGCGAGCGCGCGGGTAAATAAGAGCGAGGCGTTCCCCTTCCCCGCCAGTTACCGTGAGATTGTGAGCAGGGCGGGTAGAAACCCCTCACCCCTCCTCCTTCTATGTTCACAGTCAAAAATCGTGTTACCCGACGGACAGAACGTGCGCACGCACCCATGTGACGTCGCCGGCGCGCCTCGAGCGGCGCACGCGCCGTGCGGGCCCGCGCACCTCCTCCTCCTACTCGCCTGCAGGCTGTCACGTGCCCGCGGCTCGCCTCTCTCTCCTCTGCCCCCTCCCTCCCGTCCTGTTCCCTTTCGCGCTTGCCCGGCGAAGCTGCGCCTGAGGTAGCTCGCGGCTACGGGAATGAACTTCCGCGCCTTTTTCCCCGCTCCTCCCCTTTCAACTGTCGTCCCAAAAACGCACACGCTCCCTGACGAGCGGAGGTCGGTTGTTTTACGCTGCTCGTGCTTCTGAGGCCCTCCCTGGAGCCCTGCCCCCCCCCCACCTCGGACGTTCACTCGAGGCTCTTGGGAGCACAGCGTACCCGGCCCGCCGCTGCCCACGACGCAGGGCTCGGCCCTTCCTGCCCTCCGCTCCAGTAGAGGGTTTGCACTATGGTGGGCGCCCTCGGTCTTTGCGGCAGCCTCTCACGGGTCGCCGTGGGAAGGCGCGCGTGTCGGGCTCCCTCGGAAGAATCTGAGGAGGGACGCCGAGCTGAGGCCAGTTAGTCGCGGCGGCCGGCGGACGAACCGCCCCGCATTTCTGGCTGCGCGCTTCCTGCTCCTCTCGCTAAGGCAGGGCTGCTCTTTGTTCGTGGCGCGTGAAAGCCACGCGAGGATTTCCCTTGCCCGCCCGCCAAGGCGCTCGTGCTCTGAATGAAGGGCGCCTCGTCGTGCCCACGCAAGTCCTGCATCTCTGAAGGATCTCCTCGAACCGGTTCAGATGCTGCCTGCCTTCCTTCCTTTTTATTTATTTATTCCGTTTCTTACCCGCCCTTCACGATAACGCCTCAGGGCGGGTTGCAGCACCCACGGACTTGAACGAGCTCTATTGTCCATAAAGTTCCAGTTCTTCGATATCCAGAAACGAAAACCTCTTTGCAATCCCGTTATCTTTTTCGCCTCAGAGCATAAAGGGCACCCAGATATTAGCCAGGAAACAATGAATGTTAAAGAGAAGAGGCATTACATGTTCCTTGCAGTATTTATTTATTTAAAATAAATCTTCCCTAGTTTTTTTAATGGTGTGATGATTTTATTATTGTTTGCTTTTTTGTTTTTGTTTTACTGTCATCAGTTGCCTGGTGCATATTAACATGAAAAGGCAAATTTAATCATAAATAAAAATATAGATACCAAATACTAACCCGGTTGCTACATTCTAGGCCAATTTAATTTTCCAAGCTGCCCTCAAGAGCATCCCCAAATAGAGCATAGTGCAGTGGTCAAGATTTTAGACCTCTTTCCAGGAAGCTGGTATATCAGCCAAAATTGATAGAATGTGCTCCTGACTAGCCTTCGCATGGCCATCTAGGAGAGGGCCTTGATTTGGGGAGGTGTGACCCCCACCCAGTGTAGGGCAACCAAAATGATCAAGGGACTAGGAACCAAGCCTTATAAGGAAGAGTTGAAGGAGCTGGATATGTTAAGCCTGGAGAAGATACTGAGAGGAGATAGCCATCTTCATCTCAAGGGCTGTCACATGGAAGAGGAAACAAACTTGTTTTCTCCTGCTTTGTAGGGTAGGACTCAAACCAATGGCTTCAAGTTATAAGAAAGGAGATTCCAACTAAACATCAGGAAGATGACAGTAAGAGCTGTTTGACAGTGAAACAGTCTCCCTTTGGAGGTGTGGACTATCCTTCCTTGGAGGTTTTTTTGCAGAAGGTTGGATAGCCATCTGTCATGGGTGCTTTCTATAGCTGAGATTCCTGCACTGCAGGGGGGTGAATTAGATGACTCTCAGGGTTCCTCCCAATCCTACAATTCTATGATTCTAAGTGTACTAGCTAAGGGGTCATGGATATGAAGAATGTGTAGTCAGATCCAGGCGACAGTCCTAGAAGATCTGCAGCAGAATGTTTGGCCCCCAGTGACACTAGACCCCCTTTTCAGATTAATTGCTTCAGAGTATCTGCTGTATGCCCCCCCCCCCAGGACTTGCTGATCAGAAGGTTGGCGGTTCGAATCCCCGTGATGGGGTGAGCTCCTGTTGCTTGGTCCCTGCTCCTGCCAACCTAGCAGTTTGAAAGCACGTCAAAGTGCAAGTAGATAAATAGGCAGAAAGATAAACGGCGTTTCCGTGTGCTGCTCTGGTTCGCCAGAAGCGGCTTAGTCATGCTGGCTACATGACCCGGAAGCTGTACGCCAGCTCCCTCGGCCAATAAAGCGAGATGAGTGCTGCAACCCCAGTCGGTCACAACTGGACCTAATGGTCAGGGGTCCCTTTACCTTTTTATCTGGTGTATCCCCCCCCCTTTGATTCTTCAGAATTGCAAAAAAACAGAAACCTCTGCACAAGCAAGCCACATAAATTTTTTTAATGTGGTTTGCTTGTGCAGTTCTCTGGTTTTGTGCAAATCTCAGGGATCTATCTTTTAGGATTGCTCAGGAAAATGTTACGAACATGGATGGAAATAAGCTGAAAACATTGAGGAAGTACTGGGTGGGGAAAGAGGAATAACCAAAAGTACAATTGATTCACCTACCCCAAAATACTAAAATCATCTGTGTCCCCAAGTGGGGTGACCTGGAGCCCAATTTATTGGATTATCCTTGTATTGGCTAAACTTGGAATTCAAGGAAGCATCAGGATTAGTATTGTTTGAGGGTGGCATGTGGATTATGGAAATTAAATGGGAATGCAAATCCTCCTAATTGAGCTACCACCTAAACCCAAGGCATCTTCCCCTGAGGATGGAGTTGGATCCCTAAGTCATGACAAGCTGTCTTGAAAAAGTGTCCAGGAAATAGATTTTGAATCTGAAATGCACAATTGTGTCTTGAACATGCACTCCAATATTCATTCCATTATCTGATTTGCATTGTGTTTTGCACACTTGCTGGTTTAAAAATGGAAGGTATGGATCAAGTTGAATGTTTCCTGAGCAGGCATGCCACCTTCCATTCTCATGTTTCACTCATCAAGAGATCTATCACGTTGCTGTTATATGAGAACAAGTAAGGATGTTCAGTTTTCTGGCAACTATAGCTTCCCAAATTAATTTTGTGAACTTAAGGAAGCCTCCAATCCTGGAATCTTAGGCACTTTGGAATCTGGTCTACATACACTAATCATGGAAATCTACCATTTTTATGCTGAATCTAAAAAAGTTTTTGAGTTGCAATCCTTGAATAAATCCTTTTGAGCACAGTGAAACTTAACAACATGCATAAGATTGTGCATATTATGGACTTTTCTATTTCATTTGCTTCTAGCATTTTTATTTGTGGCCATTTGGAGTACACGATAAATTACTTGTTGCCATTTAGAAAACTTCCCGCAGTTTAGAAATACGCTGTTTGTAACACACCAAGCCAAAACCCATAGTTTAATAAACTAGGATATGTACGATTGACATGCACCCGTATACAGCCTCCCATCCTGCTGCTGCACTCCCTTTACGTTAGTAACAAAACAAGGATTCAACACCTAACCAAGTTTCCCATTATTTAGACCTAGAAAATACGGCTTCAAAACAAGCTACGATAGTCTTATCCTGTCTTATTTTGGTGCTCAAATGAAGACAGGAGCATAGCAGCAAGAAAAGAGCTGCCTGCAGGTGTGCACCACTAGTGCAAATCCTGGATCAAGTCAGGATTTTTGGCTTAGTCTTACAAACACAGTGAATAGGAGAGGCAGTACCAACTAAGAGACCTAAAAACACTTTTGAAGGCTTCTTGTCTCAGCAGTTGCAGATGTGACAATGTGTTCTCTTTAAAAATAGTATTCTCCTACATGAGTGTTTTTCTCATCTATGCAGGGAGTTCAGTGTCTGTGACTTTGTCTGAGAGGCTGCCGAACTGCAAGAGTACACCACACTGGGGCATGACTGGACGATGGCCAGATGTCAATCTTCACCTCACAGGTTGTATGGCTCAAGCTGTGTGTAGTCAGGATAAAACCATTTTGAATACTTTATGCACATCCAAATTAAACGTATAGAATGTAACAGTGGTTTTTAAACTCTGCCACACATTTCTTATCCTAGATCATGTACTTGTTTACAGTGTGTGTTAATATGAATCTTCCCTTAGGTGGCTTACACTTCACCTTGTCCTATCCTCAGGATTTAAAACGTATCACATTGCTCTCCTTAAACTAATCTAGCTGTATAAAGATAAATTTTATTTTTTTAAAAATCAATGCTTAGATTCATCCAAACATCAACAGTGTGTAACTTTTAGTCAAGGTGTTTACTTTCTCTTCTCACCTTTGTGATTTCTAAAGCTCATGAAATTCCATGGCTGTACCCTTTTTAAGCTCTATTAGAGTTCTAAATCAAGACTTTAAAGAGTGTTTCAGCCTTTTTAAGTGACTCTCAAATGTACACAATATCTCTTTCAATATCTATGCAGTTTTCCCTCATTTTATTCAATTGTAAACACCTTTGACATATTAAAGTAACTTTAAGATAGCCATATTAACAATTACAGCACTGTCTACCCCCAGAACTTTAAAAGTTGCTTTCAGTACTTTTTAAATTGAATTAGCAATGTAGTTCCAGTGCTGTACAAGTAGAGTTCCTTTTTAAAATAAAGGACTGGTTAGTCCAAAACGTTCTCAGGTGCCAATTTTTTTAAAAAAATCTGAACACCTGACTCATTCACAGAGAGCCTGCAACTGTGTCCATCTAAGTTAGTACACTGGATCAATAGTAGTTGATAAAAATACTATTTTACTAAAATACATACATTTCGCTTCCAGGACTCTCTTTACTGTATGTCCCATGGTCACTAATGCTAATGTATACCATGTATGCAAACTCCTCCCCTACAGTGTCTAGACAATGTGATGCCTGCAACTTTTGCACTAGGCAGGCAACATGCCTATCACCAACCCCTTATGAAGTCTCACACCTCTCAAAGGATATGTGGTTATTCAATCATCAGGAATCTAAACAGAATGTTTAACAGTAAAGACAACAGAATGAGACCCAAGCTATATGTTATGCTAAGTAGTATGAAGTTCTGCTCTGCCTGAATGGAATGTTCTTCGCAAGGTGTCCTTACATTTGGACTGGCAGCTGAGGCTTGAGGCTAGCAGTGGCTTCCCCCACATGCTCATAGGAAGGGAAAACCATAACACTCATCCTCAGCTGAGGGAAGGCACTGGCAGAGTTCTTGCTTCTTTTGCTTGTATTGCTAACAGATAATGGAAGGAATAAGAATCTCAGCTCATCACAGCCACCTTCCCATGAACAATAAACTGCTTAGAATAAGGTAAGCTTGAAATGGCTCCTGTAGAGCAGGAATGACAAGGGAGAAGGGAGTTTCTCTGGTCATTCCTGCTAGTGAAGATAGCTAGTGGAAGGGGCCCTTTGTGCAATGAGGCACCTATGGGCACAATGGTCTTTCCCATGGTGCTTCTGTGCCCCCCAACTCACAGCCCCTTAATCATGAGATTGTGAGGGTAATTCTTTCTCCAATCCAAAGTACAAAGAGCTGAAGGAGGGCTGACAAGTGATGCTCTTTCCAGCTCTGAGCTTCATAAGGCACAAATTCTACTAGTTCCATCTTTTACCCAAATCCCTCTAAAAAGTGAAGCATGTGATATGTACATGGTTTCTCTGTCTCTCAAGTGACCAGTGTGCGCGCTCCTACAGCACTTGCTAAAATGGCCATGGGCCTAAAAACATGGGTGCCCCCCCCAAGTGTTTGATGCAAGCAAAACTGAACTATTTACATAATAAGGTAAAGGTAAATGACCCCTGGACAGTTAAGCCCAGTCAAAGGTGCAGTGCCCATCTCGCTTCAGGCCAAGGAAGCTGGCATTTGTCCATAGACCGCTTTCCAGGTAATGTGGCCAGCATGACTAAACTGCTTCTGGCACAACAGAACACCGTGACGGAAGCCAGAGCACACAGAAACGCCGTTTACCTTCCCGCCACAGTGGTACCTATTTATCTACTTGCACTGGCATGCTTTCGAACTGCTAGGCTGGCAGAAGCTGAGATAGAGCAACAGGAGCTCACTCCATCGTGCAGATTCGAACTGATGACCTTTCGACGTAATACATATCTTACCTCCGACATTTTATATAGCTATATTCAAAATTAAGCAGAGTAGTTGAGAGAAGAGAATTTGCTAGATAAGAGAAAAGCTGCCCTAAATGTGTAGTGTGATGGATGTGATTCTGAGGGGAAGGACCCTTACATTAAACTTAATTGCACAAAAGCAAAATGTAACTGGAACTGTAGCATGAAAGAAGGTAGGTGTTCTTTCAGAAGATTCTTTGTTTTGAATTTGCTATTCAAGAGTAGGCTATCAAAAGGAATTCACATTTATTTGTATGATTTATGATTGGAAGAATAAGTACTAATTGTTAACTCTGCTTCAGTACTCCCTCCTGGCTTGAAGTTTCAATCATTAGCAAAACTACAAGAATGAATTGTATAAAACTACAAAATACCTTTACTTTACATTTCAAAGCTGAGTTTCTATAGATTCTTTGCTGTCACTTACAAAATGAATTTGAAACATCTTGCAAATAACAATTATTGTTGAACAACCTGATCAAACCTGTTTGATTTACCTGCAGCAGCACAAAACAGTTTGCATTTTTGCAACTAAATTGGTATCAGAAGTTTGGCAAGAGGAAGGAGGAACCAGCCAAAAGCAATGAACAAAGAGTACACTGATTGTTACCTAAAAATATGGCCTCCTTCAGACACAACCACAGGCATGTGGAAGATGCCAAACGTGTCATGCTATTTCATGTGACTGCACCATACATGAGAATACTTAAATCCTGTGAGTTGAGCCAACTGCACATCTCTCCCCCTGGCCCTCATATTGGTAAGGTGGCAATCAGCTCTGCTCATATAGTTGAGGTAATAACAATCTGCAAATACTCCACGGCAATGTGGAGTAGTATAGGGACCCAATTCCCACTTGACAGAATTAAGTTTGTCTTATAAATAATTATATAGTGAGATGACGGGACGTATGTATGCATACAAACATGCTTCTTTTTAGAGCATAACCATTCTTTTGAGTAAACTGGAAGAAGTCTAGGAAGAATAGATATAGTCAGTCCTCTCTCTAGGTTGCATACATTTTAAAAATGATAGAAGAGAGGAAGGATTGGCAAATGAAAGTTTAGAGGAACATATAAATTTGTAGTCTGAGGGCACGCTGGGAAATGACACTCCCACTGATTTTTATTTATTTTTTAATTTATAACTAAAGGTTAAATTTTTGTTCCACTTTCCGAAGAGAACATGTGACAAAGTCATTCTGTTTTCTTACAAAACTAATTATAATTATATAGCTCTATAATGATATAGAGCTATATCATTAGTTAATTTTGGCTCACCCAAAGATTTTTACTAGGAATTTAGTGTATCCTTAATCAGACCATTCACAAAGATCACCTAGCTTCATAAAATAGACACAAACCCCTCTATTCAAAGTGGACCATATGACCTTCAATCCATGTATGTATTGAGGTTTTCTGAGAAAATAGGGCATGCAGGGCAAGCTGCAGTATTATTTTGATTTTGCAAGTACAGTTGCTAATGTAGGTGTTACTTTATAGACCTGTCCTTGACTGCTGAATGGGTGGCTTTTAAATCAACAGATGACATGTTTACACCAACAGGTGCCAACAAAGGCATCATCCTGGTGTTTTGCCTTCCTGAATCTAATAGGAAGCTTGCACTTTTTAGTCCAAAGGGTGCCAGTTTGGGCATGGGCTTCCACTGTGTGTCAAGGTGGCCAGGTTCCATATCAGTTTTCATCTGCAGAACTGGAAGAGACACATTTGTAGTTTTAGCCATGCATGGTACATTTTTCCAGCTTCTCCCACTAGTTGTTGAAATGTTACAATTTGGGTCCTTTACTTCAGAGTCCGGCATCAGATTGAAAACACCCGATTCAGATGAAGGATCTCTCAGGTTCCTATCACCATCAGTGAGATCATCGTCTTCCAACTGAAGCAGGAGTGGAGTTACAGAACCACTACACTCTTGCACAAAACAGAGGTCCTTATAGCTCTCACCCAATTTGCTAAACTGCAAGTGAAAGCCTGCTGCTGCAGCAGCCGATTCCGTGCAGTTTCCCATACCTTCCAGAGAAAACTCAGTGCTTGGGGAGTTGAGAAGTTTTGATCTGTCTGGGGCCGCATCATTCAGCTGCTGATTGAGGGATACAATTTCATTCAGAAGTGAGGTGAGTGTTTCATCAGTGCCATCTTTCTTTAGGTCCATTAAGTCACTTGCATCCAGTGCTGGTTCAGGTATTGCAGAGGCTACTTTTTGCAGTTCCATTTCTACCCCGGAGTCCTTGAGTTCATTAATCTGTAGCTTCTGAAACGAAGAATCCTTTGACTTTTGTCCCTCACCTCCCTTGTATATATCTTTTAACCTAACCCGATTTCCACTTAACTCTTCAATGAAGAGTTTTGTTGCAAATAATTCTGGGGATCCCTTCATACTGGATACATTTACTATTTGTGGGAAACAGTTTTCTTTTTCCCTAAGAAAAACTTGAGCTGTTCCAGTAGCATCCCTCTGTTTTCTGGAAGATGGTTCCGCATTTTCTTCGGACTGAAAATCAGTTGTTTCCTGCAATACTATCTGCGTGGAAGGTAAGCATTTCTGGGAATCTGTATCCAGAGTTACATAAGGTTTCTTATTTAAATCCAGGAGTAAATTTGCATTTTCTTCAGTAGCCAGTGACACCACATTTACTATTTGTATTTCCTTTGTATTTTCTTCAGCAGCCAGTGACATCACATTTACTATCCTTGGCATCATTAAGGAGTCTTCATTTTCTGTAAGTAAGCCCAAACAAAGAAAGGCCTGTTAGAATACTGGTGAGAGAGGGAATGGGGTTTAAAGAGCAACATTTGGCATTGCTAAAGCCTGGGGGGATACTTGTAAGATTCCCAAGCTCCCCCCCCCCGAACGTATCATGGATCTGTCAAAAAAGATCCACCCAGTTTCAAAGGGGCTTGTTAAATAGCATGTGAGGCTGCTGTTTGAAAAGTAAAAGCCCAAAAGCTTTTATTCCATCTGAAAAACAGAAATGCTAACTATAAGAGATCAACTGCAAAAAGGAACAGAAGTGTCCTATATGATGATGAACCAAAACACAAATGTGGTGTAGTGGTTAAGAGCCAGTGGTGTGTAGTGGTTAAGAGCGGTAGACTTGTAATCTGGTGAACCGGGTTCGCATCCCCGCTCCTCCACATGCAGCTGCTGGGTGACCTTGGGCCAGTCACACTTCTCTGAAGTCTCTCAGCCCCACTCACCTCACAGAGTGTTTGTTGTGGGGGAGGAAGGGAAAGGAGATTGTTAGCCGCTTTGAGACTCCTTAGAGTAGTGATAAAGCGGGATTTCAAATCCAAACTCTTCTTCTTCCTCCAAGTGGCAATTCACAAGCCACAAGAGCAGTGTGCAGAGCCACCTTATAGGAATCAGTATAATTCTGCCCTCCTGTCTCTCTCCCAGCCAAGCTGTTCACTCTAAGGAGATGCCTTTCTGCACCTCCCCAGGAACAGCCAGCCGCCTGTTCTTCCTTAGTTTCCCGTGTGTAGCTCTATGCCTTTCCTTTGAGTGAAAGGCTTGGGGTAGGATGCTGTATGCCTGGCAACATGATGGCGGCCCCAAGCTGCCTTTTATGGGATGGCTCCACACACTTCTGCAAGCAAAACTAGACTTTGACTGTTTATTATTAGTGTGGGGGAAGGAGCTGCTACACTCAGGTACACATCAGATCTATGCTTCCCAGAATGCCCTGGGGATTTTGGTTTCACTTTGTATAAAAATTGCCTCCTTTCTGCAGCCTACCTGTGACACTGCTTCTGTTCTTGGAACATATCAATGGTTTCGTATGCCTGTTGGACAGGATTACCGGTTTTGTCTCTCTAGAAAGAGAAAAGGGGCTGTTTTCCATAGTGGAACTAGTAGTTCTCGCTGTTTTAATGATTTCCACCATATCTTGCTGGTTCTGGTTCTCCTGTTTTTCTAGTGCCTTCTGCTTTGTAAAAATGTATTCTAGCTTCTTCAAGATCGCTTCCTGTGACTTGCCTACAGAGAAAACAAAGAGTTGGATATCCCTCACTTTGCAATTCAAAGGAACAAAAACACACATTAGCTTAAAATACAGTATTTCATAGTGCAAGATTAGTACCATTTCCAACACACATGGCTCGCAAGGATATAGTTAGCAAGCAGAACATCTTTAATACCATTTGCGTCTTTGAAAGTATAATCCTTCGAATCCTACATGAACAATTCATCCCAACCACTTTGAAACATCCTAGTATTCTCCTATGCTAGAATTTCTTTCTTCATCTACATGTTTTGTTTTGTTTATTTTTTTAAGAAAACCTGCCCATGAAGTCATCTCACCTGAGAGTGCAGACACTTTACAAATCAGGGTGTTGCGCTTGCACAACAGGAACTTCTTGTGGCTTGTCAATTGGTCTGCCTGATCTCTTAGCCTCTGGATATCTTCAGTGGCCTGGAAAGGGATGAAGAGGTCATTTTTACATTCCAGAGCAATACGGGGGGGGACGGGACGGACAGCTTCTCTTCTCTACTCTCAAAGCATCCTAAAAACAAAGCAATGACAGAAACTTTGCAGACATGTTAGCGAATCAGCTGCATTAAAAAATTAGGGCCTTTGTGTATATTAGGATAGCAAGTTTCAGCTGGGGACAGAGGAGACAAGGCAAAAAATGCTATTGGTGGAAATAATTATCTTGGCAATTTGCCACTACAGTGGTGCCCCGCAAGACGAATGCCTCGCAAGACGGAAAACTCGCTAGACGAAAGGGTTTTCCGTTTTTCGATGCGCTTTGCAAGACGAATTTCCCTATGGGCTTGCTTCGCGTCTTGCAAGTTTGTTTCTTTTTTCGTAAAACCGTTAATACCCAGGGTGCATTGCTGGAAGAGGTGCAGTTGCGACTTGACTTCGAGGAGCAACACATTGCATGCGGTGTGGTAGCCTTTTCTGAGGTTTTTGAGGACTTTGCTGATTTTGAAGCTTTTCCAAAACTTCTTTTGCAGCTGTTTGGTAAGTTAAACTTTTAAAACTTTTTTGGGGGTTTTTGGATTTTGGGTTGGGGTGTTTGGAATTCAAGGACTTGGTGTTGGGGAGAGGTTTGCAAGAATCTGGGAGCTTGTGTGGTTTTTTCCTGCATTTTTATGATTTTTTGTGACCATTGGGCCATGTTTTTTTTTTTTTTTTTTTTAAATCTGGGTTTGAATTTCTGTGTGGTGGGTGGCTGGGGGGACAGTTGAGGAGGGGTTTGCAAGAATCTGGGAGCTTTTGTGGGTTTTTTTTGAATTTTTATGATTTTCTGTGACCATTGGGCCATGTTGTGTTTTTTTTAAAAAAAAAATTCTGGGTTTGAATTTCTGTGTGGTGGGTGGCTGGGGGAACAGTTGTGGAGGGATTTGCAAGAATCTGGGAGCTTTTGTGGGTTTTCTTTTGAATTTTTATGATTTTCTGTGACCATTGGGCCATGTTTTTTTTTAAAAAAATTTTTCCTGAGTTTGAATTTCTGTGTGATGGGTGGCTGGGGAAGCAGTTGGGGAGGGGTTTGCAAGAATCTGGGAGCTTTTGTGGTTTTTTTCTGCATTTTTATGATTTTCTGTGACCATTGGGCCATGCTGTTTTTTTAAAAAAAAATTTCTGAGTTTGAATTTCTGTGTGGTGGGTGGCTGGGGGAACAGTTGGGGAGGGTTTGCAACAGTTGGGGAGGGGTTTGCAACAGTTGGGGAGGGGTTTGCAATTTCTGTGTGGTGGGTGGGTGGCTGGGGGAACAGTTGAGGTTTTTGAAGACTTTGGTGATTTTTAAAGCTTTTCCAAAACTTCTTTTGCAGCCATTTGAGGATTTTGAAGACTTTGGTGATTTGCAGCCATTTCGTAAGTTAAAGTTTTAAAACTTTTTTGGGGGGTTTTTGGATTTTGGGTTGGGTGCTTGGAATTCAAGGACTTGGTTCTGGGTTTGAATTCCTGTGTGGTGGGTGGCTGGGTGCTTTTGAATTTTTTGGGTGTGAATCACTGATTTTTTTTTTCTTTTTCTGAGTTTACGAAGCTAGGAGCTGTGCTGCCATGGGACCCAAGAAGACTGCTGCTGCAGAGGCCGGCGAGAGGAAGAAGGAGAAGGTGACGCTGGAAATGAAGAAGGAGATCATCCAGAAGCACGACGATGGAAAGCGTGTGACAGACCTCGCCAGGGAGTACGGCAGGAACCCATCGACCATCGGCACCATTCTGAAGATGAGGGAGAAGATCCTTGCGACTGATGCAGCCAAGAGAGTCACCAGGATCGTAAAGAACCACCCAGCTGTTCTGGAGGAGGTCGAGAAGTTGCTCCTCATCTGGTTAGAAGAGAAGCAGCGTGCAGGGGACACAGTGACTGAGGCCGTGATTTGTGAGAAGGCCAAGGCCTTGCACGCAGACCTCATCCGGGAACAGCCAGGAACCTCAGGCGAGCCAGAAGTCTTCAAGGCAAGCAGAGGTTGGTTTGACCGGTTCAAGACGAGATCTGGAATCCACAGCATGGTCAGGCATGGGGAGGCTGCCAGTTCTGATGTTCCTGTGGCTGAAGACTTTGCCTTGGAGTTCCTGGAGGTTGTGAAGACGGAGGGCTACGTTCCACAGCAGGTCTTCAACTGCGACGAGACCGGGCTGTTTTGGAAGAGGATGCCCAAAAGGACTTTCATCACTCAGGAGGAGGCCAAGTTGCCTGGCCACAAGCCCATGAAGGACCGTCTGACCCTGCTCTTCTGTGCCAACACAAGCGGCGACCTGAAGATCAAGCCCCTGCTGGTGTACCACTCGGAGAACCCACGGGCCTTCAAGAAACACAAGGTCGACAAGGAGCGGCTGAGTGTCATGTGGCGATCCAACAGCAAGGCTTGGGTCACACGTGTGCTGTTTGTGGACTGGGTCAATCTTGCTTTTGGCCCTGCTGTCAAACAGTACCTGCTGGACAACGACCTGCCGCTGAAGGCTTTGCTTCTGATGGACAATGCTCCTGCTCATCCTAAAGGCCTTGAGGAGGACTTGTTGGAGGAGTTCAGCTTCATCAACATCATGTTCCTGCCGCCTAACACCACGCCACTGCTCCAGCCGATGGATCAGCAGGTCATCGCCAATTTCAAAAAACTCTACACCAAGGAGCTTTTCAGGCGATGCTTCGAGGTGACTGATTGCACCACCATCACCCTGCGGGAATTCTGGAAGGACCACTTCGACATCGTCACCTGCTTGAAGATGATCACCACGGCCTGGAAAGGGATCAGCCAGAGAAATTTGAATTGCGCTTGGCGCAGCCTGTGGCCGGACTGTGTGGCACCAAGTGACTCTGATGCACCAGAGTCAACAGTGGTGCAGGACATTGTTGCCTTAGGGAGGACCATGGGCCTGGAGGTCACAGAGGAGGACGTCAGCGAGCTGGTGGAGGAGCACGACCACGAGCTGACCACCCAGGAGCTGGTTGAACTGCAGGCAGAGGCTGCGCAGGAGCAGGCCTCGCTGGAAGAGGAGGAAGCAACTGAGGAACGGCTGTCCTCCAAAGAACTGAGGGACATTTGCCTGAAGTGGAAGGATGTGCAGGCTTTTGCAGAGCGGAACCACCCTGATAAGCACGTGACACATGACCTTGCGAACACTTTTGATACGAGGGTCATGTCGTCTTTCAGGGAGGTGCTGAAAAGGCGGATGAAGCAGCAGACCATGGACAGGTTCTTAAGCAAGAAGCAAAGAGTGGAAGAGGAACCTTCTTCGAGTGGTCCCCCAGAGTCTTAGAAAATGTAATGTACACTTTGTTGATTTTTAAATGTTTTTTCTGTCATGTTTATAAACTTAATTTATTGTTCCTTCAATTTTTGAAATGCTCTTTACAGTATGTGTGACTTTAAAGAGCACTTAATAAACTCTTGTTGTACCAAATTTGGCTTTGTTTGGACTTTTTTTGACCATAGGAACGCATTAATTGGATTTCAATGCATTCCTATGGGATTTCGTGCTTCGCAAGACGAAAAATTCGCTAGACAAAAAAACTCGCGGAACGAATTAATTTCGTCTTGCGAGGCACCACTGTACAGTTAACTGGCTAATGTACTCAGAGAAAGAAAATTAAGCCAAATGCATTTGTCCAACATGGAGCTGAGTTGCTGTGGCACATTAGAAACCCCCACAAAAAATAATAATTGTATCTCTCTTTTTTTATATCTTTCAATTTAAGATTTTTCATTTTGCTGCTGTTAAAAATCAAGTTCTCCTCTTGATGAAGAGGCATTTCCTTCCACATCAAGCTAAATGATGAACCATGTACCTGCTCAAGGAGGATGCGCTTGGCAATGCTGGGAGTGCTCTGCAATCCCAAGGCCCCCTGCAGTTTTTCAAAGAGTTCTTTCATTTCCTTACGCCGACGCTGTTCATCTGCTGTGTGTTTCGGGCGATAAGAAGTCATGCTTTGTGTCCAATTCTTTGGTCCTCTTTTCCAGAGTCCAGACGGCTGTGGACAAGAAACAGCACTTTCACCAGACAGGGGGAAAAATGCAGTGACTGGTATAAATACTTGGGATTTTATATTATCTCCCAAACCTGGGCTTCTGCATGTCTCCACAAAGCTAGCCAGATGCTGGATGGGAATGCATGAATAAGCTAAACAGCTGTTTGGTTTTGAAGGTGCAACACTGGAAAACAAAGGAGCCACACAGGCTACTGCGCAGCAGCTAGGATTCTCACTTGGGTCACCAAGGGGAATGCGGAGAATGAAAAGAGCCTGACTACCAATCCTGTCTCATGGCACGCGCATAAAACAAACAATGCCCTTAAGTAATTTAAAAAACAAAAACAACCCACTACCAGTCAATGTATATTTCAGCTGGAATACACACACCACAAAGACACAACAGTAGAAAAGAAATGTATATTCACTTTAGGGGACGTTGCCATCACTTTATTTGAAGAGTCATGAGCAAGATGCCTAGAAGGATTTAAAAAGAGAAGTTGTGTTTAGTTGCACAAGTCAATCTGGCTCAGATAATAGCTTAACCTCAATCAAAACTGCAAGAAAACTTTCTTTGTGCCAAACGGATCAGGAAGTTGTGCTCTGGTCACACAGGAAATGTCCCTGCTCTGTCCCCTCCTTCTGCTGTGCCCTTCTTGCTTTCTCACTCTGCTCTGCATGCTACTCAGTCTCTTGAAGTAAACAAATGAATGAACCAAAGGTTGCCTGAAACAGCACATCTTAGGCTCTTAGGACTCTCAAAAATATAATTTGAACTAACATACAAATTAAAGATGTCCTATATAGCCCCAATAAGCTGATAATATTTGTTATTTTTTTAAATTTAATCTTTGAGTATTAACATTAGTGATTAGGAAACAGCACATCAGCCTATTTGCATAACTAGCCCATGACTGGTACCAGGCTGAGGTTTTCTGATCTCTTGATTCTTTTAAGTGGAGATGGCAAGAATCTTTTTCATACCAAGCAAGTGGTCTACCATCAAAACAAGTTACCACGGAGTAACTTTAGCCTACAAGTGTGTACATCCTTGTATAAAGTCATAGCAGGAAGGAATTCCCACATTACAAATCAAGGTGCCCAGTCTGCTGTATAGTTGCAGTTTCTTATGAGACATTAGATTTCTTTTCTCAATCAGTGAATCCAGCCCTTCAGCTATCTGCTTGATTGCTCTGGGTTGGAAGAGGAAGGGCTCTGTAGAGGGGCCAAAAAGGGTTGAATTTAAGCTGTGGTTGCAAAGCTTGATGTTCTACATTGTATCCTTGAAAAGTGGTTCAGAGGGCAGGCCACCTTTCCAGCCGAAATGGTTCCCCAGTCCTGTCCTAAAGGCTATGAGCTAAGTATATTTTAAAAAGAGCTTCTGGGTGATACATCATTGCAAAGTCTTACTGTGTGAACCAAATAAACCACACAGCAGAGCCTTGGCCTGCATTAAAAGTAACTATATCTGCTAGACATAATAAAAAATAGCACTATGCTAAAAATCCATTTGCTGGTGTGTCTTTGTTGTTGTTGTTGCTTAAAAAAAACTTGCTTACAACTGTCTGGGAAGTAGGGCATGAGCTGCTGTAGTTTTCAGGTGAGAAATAATACTTTTCTTTGAAAACTCTTCAGGTTCAGTGTTCATTTTCTTGTCACCTTGACTGGAGTCCCTTCCATTCTGAAACAGAACATTAAAAAGGCAGTTAAACTCAGTCCTGCAGAGAAGCTCCAGTCAGGTAATGTTTCATTTCAAACTCAGAATGTGGTGTGTTTCTTCCATGTGCTAGCAGAGAGGAGGCAACCAGCAAAGGCAGGTGTGTTCATGGTAAACCATTGGCTATGGTATATTGTGACATGGAAACTGGCCTATTGCTCAAACATTAATGCTCAGGGTATAACTGAAGAATGGTAATAAAGACCATTGTTTTAATGTAAAGTGGCAACAACTTGTTAAGGTGTATAATTATTTAACTTTGGTGTTCTGAAGATTAAGTAACAAATTGAGTCTTACCAATTGAGAAGTATCACCTGCAGCTTCTTCAGGACAGTTAACATGATGTTCCTTGTTGTACATTGCTGTAATGCTATAGGTGTGGTCTAACGATACAGCATCGGGATGGAAGATGGGAGAATCACTGGATAATTGCTCTACAATTTCGGCATACTTTTTGACCATCTCTGAAGTAGTAGCACTACTCTCACATATGATACTTTCAGAATGGAAATCTGAAGGATGTGCTGGCAACTTATTTTCTTTTAATTTGGTATTGTATATTGTGATTTCTGACTCTTTGGCCTCCACCGTTTTCAAATGTGGTATTTTTCCTTCCAGCTTGACAGAACTGCACTCTCCTTTCCAATTGGTATTCTTTACCTGGAGGGATACAACATGATGGACAGTGGAGTTTGGAACGTTTTTCAGCTCTGGAAACTGAACTACTGTAGTTAGCCTAATACCACAAAACAAAACTCATCTATGGCATTTGTCAAGACTCCATACACTCCAATTTCTGACTGAGTCATGAAAATATTTACACACTTTTTAACCACAGAGGAAGTTAAATTCTCAACAACAGATTTTTTGCAATAAGTTCAAATTCTGTGAGGAAAGCAAGTCTGGATGGTAAAACTGGAGAAATTAGTATAAAGAGAAGTTAAAGAAAGGCAAACAGTAGAAAATTTACGCACACACCTTGGACCCAAAGATCCAAGGCAAGTGACGGCAGTAATCTCAATTGGTCACAGTGGTTCGCAAATAAATTGTGTTATAGTAAAAACATTTTGCTGCCAGATTTGTTTTACAAATTAAAGCAGTGTGGGATGCTCACCAGTGTTTCAGTCTGGTGGTCAGAACTCCCATCAATATCTTCCTCTGCAGAATCATCTGTTTTTTCACCATTTCCTATATCATCCTTGGTGATACCAAATGACATAGGACCATTTTTCCAATAGTTGGTTTTAGATGCATTTTTTCCTAAGCATTTAGCAACTGGATTCTGGGATGATTTGCTCCAAGTTCTGTTGGGCTCAGCAAGGTCATCCTTAAAAGCTTGATTCTCTCCCCGTAAACCAGAAAGACCTTTTTTATAGCAAGAAATGTTACAGTTCTCCTGAACATTAGCACTACTGTTAGGAAGATATTCTTGGGCACTATCCACACACTTCTTTCCTGGTGTGTAATTCTGGTCCCTTGTGCAGCAGATCTCAAGCTCTCCTCTCTCTGTTTCCTTGACATTTTCTATTTTCATGGAGTCACCCCTCTCTTTCCAGTGCCTCCTTAGCAGTTCAAAGTCATGTTGATTTTGCTGCCGATTCTGAAGCAATTTGGCCCTTTTCTGCCGCTGCTTTTCTGTATGGCTCATGCTTACAATCCGCTGCAGTTTACCAAACAACGTTGGCTGTGTCTGCTTAGGTCCTTCCGAATCAGTCATGGGCATTTGCATTTGGGCAATGTGTGTCTGCTCCCCATTTGAACATTTCATATGCGGAGCCTCTTCCTGACGTGTGGGGCTTTTCTGTAATGTATCACACACAGGAACGTCAGTTTGCAAACCATCTTCAGCCTCATCTGACATACCTTCAAGGTACCTCACATGCTGCTTCTCACTGCTCACAGTCACTTTCTTACTTGGCTTCCTGCAAACATATGAATGGTCTGCCAATATCGCGTCTGATGGAATGTCAGGATGCAATAAAGGTTTCCCACTTAATAATTCTCCCCCTGCATCCACGTCGTCTGGAGCAGTCTTTGTAGCAGTTGCACTTTTGTCAGGAATAAACATGTCCCCTTCTTCCTTCACCCGCAATGGCAAATCCGTAACAGACTGGTCTGGCTCTGCACTACAGACTGCTGAAGGAAAGATAACAAGCAGCTTTAATGCTCTAATCAATGGAATAGCAGCGAGAAGAACCGAAACAAATCCTGTGCTGTTCATTTTACCTCTAGTAAATAATAAACTAGGCAAAAGCGGGGAAAGGAGCAACAAGTAGGAGCGAAGGTCACATCACAAGACTCCAATTGATATCAAAGTGGGAAAAAGCAAGAGCTTTGAAATTTAGCGCAACAAAGAAGACACTGAAAGTGGCATTCTTTTTGAAATCATTCCATTACCCATCCTCAGTCATGAGTGGTGTTTGTTTTGTAGCCCATGAGGGAAGGGAGGGATCCGTGTGCTTAGGGGTTCCCTGAAGTATGCAGATGCCAAAAAAACTGAAGGAAAAAAATGAAAGGTGTTTTAAAGGCTTCGTAAGGACTGTGAATGTGCACAGCACACGAAGAAGAATAAAATATCAAAACAATCTTAAAACATCCTTCTACATACATCAAGGTCATGAGAAGTAAAACACGCATGGCTCCATCGCCCACTCAATTACCTTGGGATGCCTCTAACTGCTCAGGCCATTTCCTACTTTATCACAGTTTCCTTAGCAACCAGGCCTTCAACAGGGTTGTTGACATTCCCATCCCTATCTGTTCCTTGGAAACTTTCAAGGAGATGCCGGATTTCACTCAAAACAGACATAGCAAAACACCCTGAGTGACCATCTGTGGCACTTTCAGGGTCAGATAGGAAAGGAATGCAGCGTAGGAGTCATAAAATGCAGGCAAACCAAATCAAGCCTAATACATTCTAGCCAAAGGTTCAAGACAATCAGTATTGGAATTTTTTAAGAAAGGACACCCTGGGTCTTGATAATTCTTACATCAGCACCATTGCCATTCTAAGAGAACAAGGGAGGTGCTCATGGCGAGTTCGGGCGCCTCTTTTTCCAGAAAAATAGCACTGTAAATAGGCCCTTGTGTTGCAGGTCCAGCATATATATATATATATATATATATATATATATATCTTCCAAAAAATGGATAAGCCCATCGCAAAGAGTAACATGACAATTGTACATGCATCCTTTCATGTGGGAGACAGGGGAGGAAAGACTGAAACATTCAATAAGCGGCAGTACCCTCAGTGGTGAAAAGCATCCTAAACGGAGCAAGAGAAAAGGTAGGGGAAATCCATGCCACAGAGATGGATGGGAGGGCAGAGTGGATGAAATTTGTAGGATGACTGGGTGCTCACCCATGGGAGGAAGCCAGGAGTGTAAGGGCTCAGCACTAAAGGGTGCCAGTAGGGCAGATGTTGGAGGAACAGTCCTCTAATTCACTGCTGATCATAGAAACTTAAAAGGCAGGCATGGCACCTTCTCTGTCCCTCCACCCTCATCTAAGACTAAAAAAAGAAGACGTAGCGAGTGACATTTAGAAATCCATGACTCCCCTAGCAAGGATATTCTGAACACACATGTAAAACAGAAATGGAACCATATCACTGAAATAACGTCAGGTCACCACACCAGCCTGGTTCACACATCATGGTAAACCAAACCATGGCTTAGAATGAATGTGTGAGTGTTCCAAAAGCAGCTTATTTATCCCCAACCTAAGATAGTACATACACACATACATTTGGTAAAAAAGAACCAACCAGCAACAAAGCACACAAACACACAGGGTGTGACGGGACGAAAAAGGCACATAAAGGGGGGGGGGAGTCAAAAGAAATAATAATCAGATGTTTTACTAGAGAAACCATGGCAACATTTTGTTGCAGTTTCCATTTATATTTGATAACAGTAAGTCAAGATTTAACACACCTGGATAGTCCAGAATGTTTATTCAGCAAACTCCCAGAAAAAAAGTTTTTGAAAATGTTTCGAACACTTTTCTAGTAAGACTTACATTCATCGTTGCTTCTCATCTGTTTATTAACATGCTCCAGTTTCCAATCCCTTTTTCCGTTGCAGCATTCAATAATTTCACATAAATATTTTTTCAAGCTTTTCTTGTGCACAGAAACTCCCTTTAACAGGGCCACCCTTTTCTTCAGACAATCAAATGTGCAATCTGTCTTGCAGGAAAGTATAGGCTGGCACATCCCAGAAGCTAAACTAGCACCGACACACCCAAGCTGGCAGGTGCCACTGTGTGCTGGATCTTGGCTGCTGGTTATCTTACAGGTAGGCTTGCTTTTGAGTGAAGGCTGAAAGAATATACAAATATGTATCTCAAGAATTTAGGCAAGAACCTACAAACAACAGATTTTGAACAAACGTAGGGTATAAGATCAATTACACAACACTTTATGATACATAATTTATACCTTGTCCTCAACTGGATGATATAAAAATGCACAAAAGATGAAGGGAAACAGGATTGTACCCCGTGTGTAACAGAAAGTGAAAACTAACATCCAATAGCCTTTTAAAACACAGAACATGGAAGCATTAATGTTCAAGATTATCAGGGGGAAAAAGAGGACTGTCCTGTGCAATTTTCATTTGTTTCTTCTGTTCTTACTACTGTTTAGAGTCTGATCACAGACGTTCTTCTAAGCAGGCTAAAGCAAGCCAATTTGATCATCATTCTGCAAGCAGCAGTCTTGCTTAGGGTTCCACAAGGGTCATTCACTAGACTGTTGGTTCAGAATCGCAAAGAAGTCTTGCGAGACTCGCCAGACACTTTTTGTTGAATAAAATGGATTTGTCTTGTGCATGGGAACATTAGAATCCTACCTCCCCCCAGCAATGGTCTTTTATAGGACATTAACGCAAATAAAGTGTAATTAAAAGAAGAGCGTGCTGTAGCAGGCCAACAGCCCATCTAGTCCAGCTTCCTGTTCTCACAGTGGCCAACAAGATGCCCGTGAAAAAATGTGCAAGCAGGAGCCAAGTACAAGAGCATTCTTTCCCACCTGTGGTTTCCAGCAACTGGTGCTCAGAAGCATTACTGTACAGTCATGCCTCGGGTTACAGATGCTTCAGGTTGCATTTTTTCGGGTTACGGACCCGCCAAAACCCAGAAGTACCAGAAAGGGTTACTTCCGGGTTTCGGTGGTCATGTATGTGTAGAAGCGCTAAATCACGCTTTGCGCGTGCGCAGAAATGCCAAATTGCAACCCGTGCGTGCGCAGACACAGCACTGCAGGTTGCAAACGCTGCGGGTTGCGAATGTGCCTCCCGCACAGATTATGTTCGCAACCCAAGCATCCACCGTACTGCCTCCAGCTGTGGAGACAAAGCATAGCTATCATGGCGAGAAGGCAATGACAGCCTTTTCCTCCATGAGAGTTACAAAGGAAGGCAAAGGAAACGGCCATTTCAACTTACCTGAGGGCTAAGCAGAGATGCTAGAGATAGGTCTGCTCGCTCTTTGGTAATGCAAGTCCGTGGCTTCCCATTCTGCAATGCACGACCTTCCAATTCCATTAACTCCACCGGAACCTGCTTATAAATGAATTAATGTCACCACATTTTTACCTGAATCTGAGCACAGAGTATCAACACACTCTCTCTCTCTCTCTCTATCTATATATATGACAATATTCCTGCATTTACAGGAATGCAGGGTCCTTTCAACGCTGCAATTCCATGATTCTGTGGCTCTGAGTACTTCGTAGCAGTGCAGGGTAGTGCAATATTTTAAAACAAGGATGAAGTTTATGTTGAAGTACTGCAACGTGAGGATGTATAGCAGTCATATGTGAATATAGTGATATTTGGTCCTGCTCCTACTCAGACTAAACCTTTTGAAATTCATGGACATTACTAACTTAGGTTCGTATATTTCAATGGGTCTACTGTGAGCCAGACATCACCTGAATACAACCCTAAATTGGTTTAGAAATGTGAAAACAAATCCCAGAAGTTACAGGTCACACACCGTGAACTTATGAATAATTCTAATGCATGAAGACAATAGAAGTTCCTTTCTTTTCTTACACTAATCTTACTCTGCCAGTTACATTGCATGTGAAACAGAATTAAGAAATCCTAATGGCCCATCTGAATTTTGCAGATGATCTGCAAGGACATGGTGGTCATATAAAAATGAAATAGAAATGGACATGTTTTGCCTTGTAATTTCTGAACGTAACTTCTTTACCATGCAGCAGATATGTATACTGAGTTATGTATTTCTCTTTGTTTTTCATGCTTTTTCCAAAAACCAATGACGTATACCTTCCCCACCTCCTGCAAAATAGTCAAAAAAGGATTGCAAAAGAAAAATGACTTGTGAGTGCGTGGGTCCATTTCTAGCATATGCATATCTAACCAATGACTAAATGGTAAAGATTATTGAAGCTTACCTGAGAGATGATCAAAGTATCCAGAGAAAGGTCTGCCCATTCTTCAGTAATACAGGTTTGTGGCTTCCCATCCCTCAAAGCACAATCCTCCAGCTCCATCAGTTTCATCTGAGATAAATGCAGTGGACAGCTACTCTGTTTTGGCTGCTGTGCTTGATGCACAGTTATTTGCTTTCTCTGTATGTTTCCATCTAATTCTGGCACATGAACATCGTCATCCACTTGGCTATATGATCTAGACCTATTGATGTTTTCTAAGGCAGAGAAATCATGCTCCTGCTTTGGCAGAACAGGTAAAGGCACTGTAAACTTTTTGGAAGATTTTACCCTGCCTCGAAAAGTTGTTTGTTTATTCTTAGTTTTTCTTCTCCTTCTAAAAATGGAAGGCAGAGAAAGAGGCTTGAAAGCGTAAGTGCTGGATGGAGTAATGATGGGTTTCTTCTCTGGAACTTTATCGAGGGCTTGAGCACAGCTGGTACCTTTGGATGGAATCCGGCAATCCATGGGATAACTAAACAAGCTTGAAGAGAATCCCACACTTTCCATTAGCTTCCCTTCCCTTTCCAAATATTTGTCCAGTTTATCACTGCAGAAGGCAGATCGGTTCTTCAGTGAGTCCTCTAAAATGCTACCTGAATTAATCCAGAAAATGACATAGAGAAAGAAGTCAAACACAACCTCGGAAAATACATCAATCCCAGTTCTGGCAGAAAAGGAAACTCACAAAAGTTTATCTAAAAATTCTCAAAAGATCTCCTTTCTGCAGCATCATGAAGGGAAAATATATACAAAATAATTGTCCTACCTTCCTGCTTAGAAGTGTTGTTAAGTCTTCCTTGCCAGCCTTTTATCTTTCTAAAATCATTGGTTTTCCCAGTCTTGGAAATGAAGGAAAGGGCGGTATCTAGAAATGAAGGTAGCAAAGCAAGTTTATTAACGAGGCACAATATTCCTGTCTATAAACAACGGTATATATATTCAACTAAAAACTAATTATCACATGCATTTGCTGTAAGGGGTACTCAACAAGCGACAAGGGCCAGAGTAATAGCGAAGTTAATTCACCAAAAATTCCTTCTAGAAAATAATAACTAAAATAAGAACAGTCACGTCCTTCATTCCCAGAGGGCTCTACAGTTGCACATACTATAGAGAGCACTCCATTTTCCTCCAGAGATGAACCTTAGCCTTCTTCCCAAACTTGGATCTAGAGAAAGAGGAGACAGGAGTTTACCTACAGCTGCATAGCACTTTGGAACACGGCTGTATGAAGCCCAGTACAGCTGCAAGTACGATCTCTCTCAAGCTTTAAGGTTGGGAAGAAATCTGGGGGTTGTTTTGGTGTTCCACCTCCAAAGCACTCCAAACACCTCAAAAATATGGTGGCAAAATGTATGTACCCCCCACAAAGTCTCGTCTGAACAGTCAGACCTAACAATGCACAATTTACATAATTTATAGCTTTGTTCTATACTGTTTGCATCGTGCGGTGATAATGTAATTTACTAAGACAATGGTTGTACATAGAAAATACAATGAATGGGTTTAAAAAAAAAGTTTGCAAACCAACAAGCCCCAGCCTTGCTTTCTAGAGTTGGGAGTGCTGAGACTGCTGTCTGCCACGAAGTTTCAAGCTCCAGTCTTCCTCTCCAGCAGGAACTAGAAAGGGGGACACAGACTGCCCTCTCCATTGCTTCCAAGACTCTCTGAAATGCAACTGTGCGGACAACATATCCTGCCATCTCCCTGTCCCAAGCTGGAGAAGAGGGCCAGAATATTCCCACAGCCTGGAACTCAGATGGAGAGCATGGGTTGTGCCTGACCTCGTTCTGTGATGCAGCACAAGGTCAGAAGTGAAACCCCATGACTTGTGAAGTGAAACTCTCATAATATCTGGCTGGCCAACAAAGGGCAGACGGGTTTTATGGACTCTGCTTACCATTCTAACATTTCAAAAAGATACATTATATTTACCTTGACAACTGAGATCTGTCACTTGGTTTTCCCCAAATACATAATCCTTTGAAGGTCTCAGGGGAAGCTGCACACCCAAATATTTCAGGTCAATGCTAAGTGTTGGGTCCACGGAACCCAACTTCAGCCCCACTAGAAGAAGAATACCCCACGTTAGAGATCCTTTAAAAGCATGAAGAAAGGCAGGGTGGCCAGTGGTTGCCAAACTAGCACACATGAAAGTCTTTGCGGGCAGGCCTCCCAAACTCTGAGCTTTCGTAAATGTCTCTAGCCCTCTTAAAAAGAAAGGTATAAAACAAAATGTGTAAATACTCTTCTAAGTAATTCATTTGAAATGAGTCACCATGGCTCCTCCTACCTCTCAGTGTTTTTGGCCAAGGAGCAAGTCAGAGCTGTGATTGATAAGTGAGTTGTTTAGACACCAGGCAGCAGGAATCCATGGGTCCTAAAGAGTCGCTGTTTCACTTCCTATACACAGTCGTACCTTGGTTCTTGAACACCTTGGTACTCGGACGTTTGGCTCCTGAACGCCGCAAACCCGGAAATGAGTGTTCCGGTTCGTGAACATTTTTCGGAAGCTGAACATCCAACGCGGCTTCCAATTGAGTGCAGGAAGCTCCTGCAGCCAATCGGAAGCCGCACCTTGGTTTTCGAACCATTTCAGGAGTCAAACACACTCCTAGAACAGATTAAGTTCAACAACCAAGGTATGACTGTAGTGTAGTTTTCCTGCTCCCGTCTTATTTTCTAATGAAATCTCCTTAGTTTGTCTTTTGTTTTAACCTAGCAACAAGGATGCACCTTTCTTATAGGTTGTTTGTCTGATTCTGTAGACCCTAGGAGTTATTTTCTGCAAATACTACAGCAAATAAGAGTGGGTAGACATTAAATATCCCTACTTCCTCGAAAAGGCAAATGTGAAAACTTCACAAAGAGGTTGAGGTCTGCTGTACAGGAACTAAAAACCTGACATTAAGAATTTGCTGAATAGTTAACTTAAAGCACAATGGTATTTAAGCCTACTCAGAAGTAAGTTTCTGTGTTTACTGGAGCTTACTCTTGGGTAAGTGGGTTCACTGATAGCAGCCTAGGCTTTGATTTAGGCTTGGCATTTGAGAAAAACATGGTTCTTGTGATGGGCAGAAATTCAGGTAAAGCCTTTTCTAGTATGGAAATGCAATTATTATAAGAGCTTCACTGCGCCAGTACTCTCCAGTTTGGGTTGTGTCATGCTCCCCACACCAGCCATTTCATGACTGGTGCCCCCAGCACTCTCAAAATTCGAAATGTGCTACTAGTTTAAAAAGGTTGGCGACCTCTGAGAGAATCTATAAGCCACCAACTCCCTCAAGCACAGGTGAAGGGCTCTAATACGAATGTGGGCAGCATTCATTAATACAGTGGTACCTTGGTTTACGAACCTAATCCGTTCTGGAAGTCCGTTCTTAAACCAAAGCATTATTAAACCAAGACATGCTTTCCCATAGCAGTGGGGGGCTCAATTTACAAATGGAACACACTCAACAGGAAGCGGATCATGTTCTGCTTCCAAGGCAAAGTTCACAAACCAAAACACCATTTCCCGGTTTGCAGCATTCTTAATCCAAGTTGTTCATAAACTAAGCTGTTCTTAAACCAAGGTACCACTGTACAATGCATCAAAGTTTAGCTGAATAGACCACAGAGAACACACATGAGAAACAATATCTGAATACTATGTTCTAAGGGCGATATCGAACTAAACCGTTCTGTACAGGTCAGTCACTTCTGGCTGTACAGTGGAACTCCCCTCTCCCCTCTCTGTATTCCCCTGAAATCGGTTATGGTTCTCCCTCAACCCTTCAGAGCATTTTGTTTGGGGTGGAATGAAGAGAGGAGAGGGACGAGAAGTTATGTTGCACGGCCAAAACTGTGCTAGCCGAACTGTTTTGTTAGATGCTGCTCTAGATAACTATCACAGCAGCTGCGGAATCTATTGCTGATAACGTACCTTCTTGAAGACTAGGATGTATCACTTGTCTGTGCCTGAACGACTTCAAATCTTCTAAGAGCTTTGTTTCCAGAAGTTGTAGGTTTATTTGAGAGTCTGTCATAGAACAAAAAAGTATTACTGACACATACAAATACCAAAAAAAAAGTGTATCACATTCTAACATACAAATGGTAAGAATGTGATACATTTAAAAAAACCAAAAAACCTACTGTTTGCTTAGCAGTCTTAATTTCTCCTGCACTAAGGCCGCCCCATCAGTGTCAAGAGTACCTGAATCATATGTAGTCAGGAAGGAAGCTTCTCCATTCTGTAGTCCTTCTCTTCCCCCAATTTTATCAAGTCTGTGTTTATCAAGAACTTCCTGTACATAAAGAGGGACTACAATAAGTGTTAAATGCTTAAGCAAAAGTGGCCTAGACACCCTACCAAGAGTCAAATTAATATTAACAAGATTTAATACATACTAGAGCTGAATAAAATGGTCTGGATTTTAAATTCTGCATGATCACATACAAAAGGCAAGGTCACAAGTACATAAAAAGAACACCCTGCTGATTCGACCAGAGGCCTATCTTGTCTAGTGTGCTGGATGCCTATGAAAAGCCCAAATACACACTTCCCCTGATATTGGAGTTAATATATAAGTCATTAACATTGCCTTCTCCTCCACAAATTCACCCTTTTAAAGCCATCCACACTGACAGCCATCACTTCATCTTGTAACAGAAAATTCCGTTGTTTTTACTATGTACTGAATGAAGAAGTATTTCCTTTTGTCTGTCTTGAATCTTCCCACATTGAGCATCATTGGATTGCTCTGGGTTCTAAGTATTCTGAGAGGGAGAAAGAAGCCTGCCTGTCCACTTCTCCACACTATAATTTTTACACACACCCATCACATCCCTTCTTAACCCACGTTTTTACTAGACTAAAAGCCCCAAATGTTGTAACTTATCAGTGAGCTGCCACTGTCCCCACTTTGGTTGCCCTTTCCCAACGCTGTAGCATCCTTCTTGAGGTGCGAACACAACCGTACACAGAACTCTCCAAATACGGTTGCATCACAGGTTTATAGAAAAGGATTATGGCATTGACAATTTTATTTTTTATTCCTTTCCTAATGATACCCAACATGGTCTAGACACTCACATTCAGAGCTATTGAAACTGAAGAGCGTGAGCGTCAAAGCATAGAGGTCCCGCCACCCCAAACCTGCAATTTTCACAATTAAAAAAAGAAATGCACAGCTTTCAATCTGTCTAGTATAAACTATGCTAGACAATATTAAATTTAAATGATAGATTTACCTTTGATGCAAAGGATGCAAAGAGGACTCCATCTATATCCTCGTAATCAAGTACGAGCTCTGGCTTGGCAAAATCTGGTCCCACATTGCTTGTCATAGCAGACTTTGCTGTGAATTTCAGGGATGGTTCAGTCTCAATCACTTTACGTGGTCTTCCTCTTTTAGGTGGACCAAACAACACATAATCTGCTTTCTTATCAAGACCCCTTCCCAACACAGCCTTCTTGACTACATTTTTCTCTTTTCCTCCATGAATAAATTTGGTTGACGTAGGGGGCAAGAGGTTGAAACTCATTGCTTTTTTTGTTACCATATGGCTGCTGTATGTTTCAGTATTTATCCATGGCGCATCTTTGCCCACATAGCATTTCTCTGTGTTATTGCTTCTGAAATGAAGTTCTTTATGTTTTGCTTCCACAACTTTAAGCGGGCTAGCTAGTTTGTTATTTTCAAAACAGACAGGCAAAGAATTTACTGAATGATTCAAAGAAGACTTCTGTGTCTTATAAGAAGACAAAAGAGCTTCAAGAACAGAGATGGTCATATTCTTGGTGGTACCACAGCACTTTAAGGAGGCATCAGGCACTGTCCCACTACCCAATTTTAAAGTTTTGTCTTTGGCAACGCTCTGTGGTTGCTTGTGGGATTCAAGCTCCACTTCTCTTCTTCCTACTTCATCACAGTTTTTCTCCAACTGTGTCTCTGAAATCTTGTTTCTATCTCTACAGAAATATTTTTCTGTTGCTTTATCAGTGCCTTCCCGGTTCATGAGTATCCTCTCTGTATGTACCCTTGGCCCATAAACATAGTAATCTACAGGCTTATCTTTAATGGATATACTGATATCATCATTTGAGTTCAGCTGTGATTTCACACGGGAATCCCTTTCACAAGCTGTTGGACTGGAGAAAGGAAAACAAAAACTAGATCAATGTAATTGCAGAAATTAAATAATATCCTAATCAATTTATTTTGTCCAGTTTATCATGCATTTGTATAAAAATTATGTATGTTATTGCTAAGTAATGCAAAACCCTAATGGCTGTGCAGTTTATATATAGCTTTAGCAGCTTCCATTACTAGTGTGAAAGTAAATCAGCCTTCCTTTATCCATCAAGCAATACATACATCATTCAGGTTACCTGTGATACCATATATATTTTCTAAAGCAATACATTTGCTGGATGAAGAGTTTGGATTTGATATCCTGCTTTATCACTACCCTAAGGAGTCTCAAAGCAGCTAACAATCTCCTTTTCCCCTCCTCCCCCACAACAAACACTCTGTGAGATGAGCGAGGCTGAGAGACTTCAGAGAAATGTGACTAGACCAAGGTCACTCTGCAGCTGCATGTGGAGGAGCGGGGACGCGAACCCAGTTCAACAGATTACAAGTCCACCGCTCTTAACCACTACACCACACTGGCTCTCTGGATGCTATAAACTCAGACTAAATTTTATTTTAGTGTCACAAAATTATTTCCTTCTGTATTCCCATCTTCTTTTGGTTGATTTGGAAATAAGTTCCAGTGAGACCTTCTCCCAATTAAGCATGCATAGAATTTTGGCCTCATGGAAATAATTACTTTTAAGTAAGTATGCATAGAATGGGACCGACTGCCAGCTTTAGTTTAGCATTTACAGTGGTACCTCAGGTTACAGACGCTTCAGGTTACAGACTCCGCTAACCCAGAAATATTACCTCGGGTTAAGAACTTTGCTTCAGGATGAGAACAGAAATCGTGCGGTGGCGGTGCAGCGGCAGCCGGAGGCCCCATTAGCTAAAGTGGTACCTCAGGTTGAGAACAGTTTCAGTTTAAGAACAGACCTCCGGAACAAATTAAGTTCTTAACCCGAGGTACCACTGTATTTATTTAAATCAGAGATGGGGAACTTTTTTGATCCCACAGGTCAGATTTTGACCTGGCCACACCCTGTGGATCAATTTTGACATATGGGCAGGACAACCTACCTGTCAATCTCAGGACATCTGTATGATGCCACATGATTGATAGGTGGGTCATCCTGCCCACCTGTCAAAATCACTTACCGTATTTTTCGCACCATAGGACGCACCGGCCCATAGGACGCACCTAGTTTTTTGGGGGGGAAATAAAGGGAAAAAAAAATTATTTCCCCCCCAGGTGCGCTGTGCTAAGCCCGAAGCTTGGGGCGTGCGGAGCTCAGCGTGCCTCAAGCTTCTGGGTGCTGGCAAGGTCTCAACTAGCCGTGGGAGAGCCGCGCGGCTCTCCCAGGGCTAGCGGAGCGCTGCGCTAATCCCGATGCTTGGGGCGTGCGGAGCTCAGCGCGCCCCAAGCTTCTGGGTGCCGGCAAGGTCTCCGCTAGCCGTGGGAGAGCCGCGCGGCTCTCCCATGGCTAGCGGAGCGCTGCGCTAATCCCCAATCTTGGGGCGTGTGGAGCTCAGCGCGCCCCAAGTTTCTGGGTGCCAGAAAGGTCTCCACTAGCCGTGGGAGAGCCGCGCGGCACACCCAGGGCTAGCGGCGCGCGGCGCGAATCCCAAAGCGTGGGGCGTGTGGAGCCCCGCGCGCCCCAAGCTTCTGGGTGCTGGCAAGGTCTCCGCTAGCCGTGGGAGAGCTGGGTCTCCCATGGCTAGCGGATAGCTCCTGAAGCCTGGAGAGCGAGAGGGTCGGTGCGCACCGACCCTCGCTCTCCAGGCTTTAGCGAAAGCCTGCATTCGCTCCATAGGACGCACACACATTTCCCCTTCATTTTTGGAGGGGAAAAAGTGCGTCTTATAGAGCGAAAAATACGGTACACTGGGTTCCGAAGCTCCCAACAGTCAGCTGGGAACTGCAGCCAGCTGGCTGCCAGGCACTTGGAGACTGACAAGCATAGAACTGGCAAAGTGCATCTACATGCAGGTTCCCTTTATGCTCCAATCCTATGCACACTTAATTGGATGTGGGTCTCTCTGAATCAAAGAGCCTACTTTACTTAATATTATTGTCATATTAATTAAACCCATTTCCTGCACTCCCAAGCCTGCACACGCACTTACTAATGAAATCATTAAAAGTTACTTCTTTAAGCTACCACTTTAAACGGATACTGCTGGGACTTCAATCTGACCCCTCTGAATTCTAGCACAACATTAAAGAACTCTAATGCCCATCGGTATTCTGATCATGTATTAGGTGGCAACTACCACCTTCTTTTTCTAGGACTACAACTCACACCAATATGGCACAGAGGAAAACACACACACACCAGGTAGACTGCATCAGATACAAAATGCCATGCTGGCCAAAGCAACCACTTATCTTGACTTTCTGTATCTGGCTGCAGCCAATCACATGCTACAGCAGAGTTTTAGAAGTAAGGGGAAACGACAATATTCACCTTCCGTTTCTCCCCAGCATCTCACTATTGTAAGAGTATGATAATTTGAGCTGGTACTTTCACAGAGCTTTAATTTTTTTTAGCCCCCATCTCCAATTCTGCATGCTATCGGCAGTGATAACAGATACAAATAGCATCAAAGGAATGACATAAGCACACTTAGCACTAAGTGAGTCAGAAAGCGGTGCAGGGAGGCCAGGGCACTCACTGGTGGGGAAGATCTCATCTGCAGGCTTAATATGGCCCAAAACACATCTCCAAAATACCCAGCCAAGCCATTTCTAATAAATTTCACCCATCCATCAAACGGCATCATGTGACATCTTCTATCAACCATTTTGAACTGCCTACCACATGCCACAGCTTTCCCTGGGATCGCCATAAAAATTATGTATTCTACATACAGTTCCCACAACACTAAGAGCAGCCAAGATTACCAACATGGGGCTGGAATGGTTACAACATTTTGGGTGTTTAAGTGTAGGGAAAAGGTAGGAGACACACACACACACACACACACACACAGATAAAAGCCTATAAAATTTTGCATGGTTTGGGGCTATCCAATGAAACTGAATACAGAATGGCCCCAAACCATTTAGGACACAGCACATAGTTAAACTATGAAATTTGTTACCATGAAGTGTAGCAATGGCCACCACCTTGCATGGCTTTAAGAGGATTAGACAAATACATAGAGGACAAGTTTATCAATGGCTACCAGCAATGATCACTGTGTTCTACCTCCACCATCACAGGCAGTAAGCCTCCAATTACCAGTTGATGGGAATCACTCATCCCCAATAATGATAGATATGTAACTGTACCATTCAGACGCATCACATTTTGTGTCTGGAGTAAATGTTTCTTTCTCCAAAGAAGTTTTATACATCTTCCAAGCATTACATGAAGCATCTACGTCTCTTTGCTTTGGATCCAAAACATCACCTTCAGTGAGACACCTGTAACTGCTTGTAAAGTTAGAAACTCTACGTCTTTTCTGCTCTGGGCAATCATTTTGCATTGCCTTATGTTCAGGTCTGCTGCTCAGGCCAGCTTTCTTGAACCCTTTGAGAAATGGGTTGTAGTTTATTTTCAGTTGTGTCATTTGTATGTTTTGATAGGCAGTCACAGCAAAGAACTCTGTCTGTGGGAAAATGAAGGTATGGACATCAGGACCATTTAGCCGAATAACCTCTGTGACTCTGTCAGCAAGCACCAAGTGTAGCCGAGGTAGATAGCGGTGCATAGAGTGCAGAATGATATGCCCTTCCTGGTCCAAGGTATTGTTAGTAAGTTTGAGTTTGTAGAAAGAGACCGGCTGCTGCATCCAGTAACGGCCAGTAGAAGGCGATTCGGGGTGAATGAATACTCTTCCCAGCACATGGGGTTCTGCTTTCCAACTGGGCTCCCAACTATGGCCATTCCATTTATAGCGTAAGTTGTCAACTGGAGAAATATCCATGACCAAGATATACTTCAGCTTGGAGTCTAAGCCTGTTATCCAGTATCGACAGTATGGAAACATCCGCTTTCCCTGCTTAGTCAGAATCATTTCTGTGCCGCGATAGTAGAACTCATTCCACATATTGTTGTTGTCCAAGGTAACAGTAATGCTTCCTGAGGTGCAATCTGCTGGAAGGCAGGTCTTCACTTTTGATTTTACTGGTGCTGCAAGGCCATTGTCCTCTTGATTTGAAACTAAGTCTCCTTGGTCAGCTTTTCCAGTGATCTGCGGCTGTTTCATGAGAACGTAAAGAGCAGGCACTTTACCCAATGCCTTTCCACCATCCTCATTCCCAAAGGCCATTGGTTGCTTCTTCATCATGTACAGTGTTGTAAATTATCATATCAACTCCGAAGTTGCAAGAGTTCTGACAGCCTTTCCCTCATGGCCACCTTGTTAAGAAACAACAAAATACACAATAAATATTTGCAGAGAAAAAGTAGACTTGAAATAAGAACATAAGTGGAGAAGGAAAGCACATGTGATTTCAGCAGCATGCCCCAACCCATACACATTTAACCATAGTTTAGTTTAACCAAGGTTTAATATGATGTGTAAACAAGGCCCAGGTGTTTCAGCTAATTAGAAGATTGGGTGGTCAGAACAGATAACATTGTTGCACACCACCCCAATCTCCAAGCGGTGAGAGATTCTGGAGGTTGCAGGCACTTACCCAGAGATCGATTTTGCAGAATGAGGGACAGCAGAGACTGTGGTGTCTTTATGATATATTATTTATTTACACTTATATACCACCTGAGCCTACAATGAAGGGGCTCACAGTATTAACATCCCAAGAAGATCTTGCTTCTCCCATACTCACAGCCTTAGATTCCAGCAGAAATCAGGCATGGCTCTGTCTCTCAGCCTGATTCTAGCTTCTAGCTCTCACACACATCTCTGGCCTTTGTCCTTCTCACCAACAGCCAGGTAAAGGAAGGTGAAGATATTTGCCCCTAGATGTACAAACCAACTACAGAATAACAGCTTCCCTGTAGAAAAATAGCAGACAGATTTTTAAAAGGCATTAAAACACACACCATCAAAAACAGAGAGTAAAACACAATTACACTTTTAACCCAACACCAGTAGAGTACAGTGGTACCTCCGGTTACGAACTTAATCTGTTCTGGAGGTCCGTTTGTAACCGGAAACTACTAGTATCCCGAGGCAAAGTTCGCAACAAGGGGCATCTACTTCCTGGTTAGCGGAGAGCGTAACCCGAAACATTCGTAAGGCGAGGTACCAGAGCTACATCACCTAAAGGCCTTGCTCATTCTTTTCTTTGTGCCACTGCAGCACGAAGAAGCTTTCAAACACACAAACACAGAGTTATCAGAACAATTCCAAAAAACCCATTAAACAGTTCCCATCACCAACACGCACATATCAACCGCATTTCAAAAAGCAAAACTTTAAAGAAGAATTCATGCTGTAAATCAGTGCACAATACCCAAAGGCACAAACCCCCACCCCAACACACTCTTTGTCCTGAATTTCACAAAGTTCATATTTAGTGCATCAGAAGGGGAAAGTAAAGTAAAGCAACACACAGTCAAACATCCTTCCCCATTGGCTACATAAATTGTTTATGTGAGGTGAACAAATCAAGAAGGGGCCAACTCTGATGTTGATCTTCTCTCCATAAGAAAGGTACCGTGTTGGTGCATCCCGCGACCTAACCCCATTGCCTTTGCAAAAGCTACCCTTTTCTAGGAGGGAGTTCCGCCAAGAAAACAGACGGACTTGCGCACGAGACAGCGGTTCTTGCGCGCGCGGGCGGGGGAGGGGGCTGCATTTCCAGCGTCCAGCAGGCGAATAACTCAGCTGAACGCGGAAAGCTACCAAAGGAAGCTGCTCGCTTCGCTCCTCTTCGGTTTGCTGCCATTCTTTTTACACCCGCACCTCAGCCAAATACCTCAAGGAGGCTTCCGTTGCGTCGAATCAGCCCTGCTCCTGCCCCACAGCCTGTGCTGCTCAGGTGTCCCTCCAGACATCCAAACCCAAGTGCAGCCCTTCTCGCTCTCAACTGGGCGGGAGGGAGACTTGCACCCCAACTTCCCGCACCAACAAATCTGGGCTGGGAGGGAATGAATCCGCCACGCGGGCGCTAAACTCTGACCGCCTCGCTCGCCCTTTCCACTCTCATGGAGCCAATCCGGGGCTTTGTCCCGCCCGCCCTCCGGATGTTTATGGTCGGTGGCTCTTCCCATTCCCCCCGCCGCCGCCTGGAAGTGGCGAGGGAGGCACGAGGGAAGGTGGGCGCCCGCGAAGGAGAGCCTTCCGCTGCCCGCCACCCCCGACCCGCAGCTTTACCTCGCGCCTACCTGGCGGGGTCTGGGCCCCAGGTGCCCCCCAGCCCCGCGCGCGCGCACCTCCCGCTGCAGAGGCAAGACAGACACGTGGTGCTGCTGCTGCTGCTGCCAGGCGGACACAGACCGTCCGCTCGCGTGACGTAGGGCTTCCACGGCGCGGGCCGACGCGCGGTCACGTGCACGCCCTCCCCTCCCTTCGGACGGGGCTCCTGAGGGCTGCAGTCCGCCTTACCTGGGTCGGCCTGGGAGCGAGACCCGTGGAAGGCGCGGGGTGGGGCTTGCTTGGGAGCCCGCAGGGCGGAGCTGTAAATGTAGATATCGGGGCGGCATGAGGGGAAGTGGAGGAAAAGGGGCGCGGCTGCTGCTGGCCTCGTCCCACCTGCCCAGGAAAAGGGGCGCTCGCTCCCTGTCCACCTGCTCGCGCGCCGAGCCTTTCCTGGCTGGCCGCGCGTGCCCCCCCCCCCCGCCGGGCGCCCCTGCGCCTTTCGAGTCCAAACCTGGCAAGCACGTGGAGGATCCCCGCGGAATGCGGCTCTCTCAACTCAGTGCGACTTGCTTCCGAATTTAAAATGCAAAGATTGGGCTGCGGCAGCTTGCAAATCCTTTATTTTATTTTTTTTTAAAAAAGTATTTATACTTTTCAGGTTTATACATTTCATTGTGACATTTCCAAACTTGGCTTCCTTCCCCCTCTTTCTGTGGTTCCTTAAATTTATTCTTAATATCTTCTGCATATCCAAATGAACTTAATGTGCTCATTTATTCATCTTCTTTAAATATATGCTCTTATGAAACTGCATATTGTTGCAATAATCCTGCCAGTTTCCTTACCTGCTTACAATTTATCTGTAAATATTCAATAAACCATTTCCAGTTGCAGCTTGCAAATTTGGGCTGCCTTTTTCTTGCTACCCTAAGAGACTTGATGCTTGGATTTTTCTTGCAGAGAGCCATCGGCTCATGGGCATAGCCAGGATTTATGGGGGGCAGGAGGACACCCTCCTGTCATTTTCCATTGTCTAGCAGATTCAGAATGGAATGTATCAACAACAGTTGTTTTAAATTGCTTTCTTTTAACCCCAAGTGCTCAGAATAATCTCAAAATTTTCTACCATTTCTATTTTTTGTTAAGTTTTTTTCTTTTATTTATTTGATGTGGGGGGCAGCTGCCCCCTCCCAGCTACACCCTTACCAACAAAAAAGGAGCAATGAGAGCATAGGGCAGTGTGTCTTGTACACCACCGAGGGGAACCTGTTCCAACTCGCATCGTGCTGGCTGGGCTGATGAGAAGTGGAGTTCAGCAATCTGGGAAGCAAAAGGATTATTTACACTTGGTACTGTATATTGTTCACGCCTTGAGGAACTGTATCTAGTTATGACGTTCTCAGATATACATACGCAGTGAAACAGCCACATACTGATTTAAAACATATGATTGCAACCTAATTATGTAAGAGATCGAGGTGAGCAATGGTCCAAACTGAACTTGCTGTATAAAGTTCACATCCAGGGTATAAGGAACTATAGAACTAGATTGGATTTTTGGTGTACAAAGTTTTTGCTACACATAAATATCTGTGATACGGCCCTAAAGCAAGCCTTCAAAAGATATGTGAAGGATTTGCCACCTTCCATAATGGAAGAACAGTCATCTTACAAAGGTCCCCAGTTAAAAAAAAAATAGAAGTGAGTGTGAAACCACAATATATTAAAGTGGTCTGTGTATAGAGATTACCAATACTGAATGCTTATTACAAATATTTTGTACCATTCTAAGGAACCTTTCAGGGCAGCTTATAAAATTAAAATACAACAATTACAAATAAAATCTATAAGAATTAATTACAAACCAGCTGTACAAAGATAACCTAAAACAAATCACTGAGCATATGGTTCAGTGTCTTCTAGTAAAGGATGTTACCAGAGCTTATCTGGGCACAGATGAAAAGCAGTGTAGAAAATCTTCACTATCCATTTCTCACACAGATGGATAACCAAATGTGGATTGTACAGAGGCAATGAAGATCTGAAAAACAGCAGTGGCCTATTTCAAAAATAAAGTGCAAGCAAATGTGATGTTTGAAGTTGTCCAAGAAGTTGGCAGTGGAACATGTGAAAAGAATATAGGGGTCTTAGTAGAACACAAGCTTAACATGAGTCAACAGAGTGATATAGCAGCAAAAAAAACAAATGCTATACTTGACTGCATCAACAGACATCTAACGTCCTGATCAATGGAAGTAATATTACCACCTGGAGTACTGTGCTCAGTACCTGAAATATACTCGGAGTCGAGAGTGGATTTCATGCTCTTTATTCAGCTCATAGCGGTGAGGAGGAATGGAAGTTCTCCCAGAATGTCTGCTTTATATACATTATTTACACAATGGGCTGCATGTGATTGGCTAATTCCGGGATTCTCCTGTAGGCCAATCAGGTTGTGGATTCACTTCCACCTGGTGTTGGATTGGGTGGCTCCTGTGGACCAATCAGACTGCTGCATTCTGGATCCTATTGTTCTAGGACCAATCAGACTGCTGCATTCTGAATCCTACTGTTCTAGGACCAATCAGACTGCTACATTTTGGATCCTATTCAATTCAGTACATAACAGTACCAAATTTACAAATTTAAGAAGGTATTGACAAGCTGGAACGTGTGCAGAGGAGGGTGATAAAGGTAATCAAGGGTTTGGAAACCAAGCCTTATGAGGAATGGTTGAAGGAGTTTGGTATGTTTAGCCTGGAAAAGAGGAGCCTGAGAGGAGCTGATAGCCACCTTCAAATATCTAAAGCAGGCTTCCTCAAACAGCCCTCCAGATGTTTTGAGACTACAATTCCCATCATCCCTGACCACTGGTCATGCTAGCTAGGGATCATGTGAGTTGCAGGCCAAAAACAACTGGAGAGCCGAGTTTGAGGAAGCCTGATCTAAAGGGCTGTCACATGGAAAATGGAGCAAGCTTGTCTTCTCCTCTGGAGGGTAGGACCCAAACCAATGGATTCAAGTTACAAGTAATACTTCTGTGATAAGTACTGTAATACATCTTTTACACTTCTATTTTCTGAAGGATAAATAAAAACAAAAACAAAAAAATTAAATTAACTCAACAATGCATTCCCAAGACTTGGGCTTAGTGCAATTGAAAACACTTTCTACTTCTCAAGAAAAAGAAGCAAATTCAGAATATTTACAGTAGGTGATTTTTTTTACATCGGGGAGCCCTTTTGTATCATTCATGAGTAACCCCCTGGGGGCTGCATGTCAGTGGTAGGCGGAGCCAGATGCAAAAGTGGGTGGGGCTAGAGACAAAAGTGGGTAGAACAATGACTGTGACTCTTGGTGTGTATGCTCCAGCAATGAAAAAGTGGCTACTACACCACCTCCCTCCCCCAAATCTCTCTATCCAGGCAAGCAAGAGGCATTGAAAGACACATTTCAGTCAAGCAAAAGCACTCAAGGAAGGCACAGATCAAAGCCAGTGAGGGGCATGGTGTGGGAAAGAGTCCTGGAGGCCAGCTAGAGAGGACTAGAAGGCCACATGTGGCCCTCCAGGACTGTTTCAGAGAAGCGGACACGGAGCAATGGATCCAAACTACAAGAAAGAAGATTCCACCTCAACATTAGGAAGAACTTCCTGACAGTAAGAGCTGTTCGACAGTGGAATTTGCTGCCAAGGAGTGTGGTGGAGTCTCCTTCTTTGGAGGTCTTTAAGCAGAGGCTTGACAACCATATGTCAGGAGTGCTCTGATGGTGTTCCTGCTTGGCAGGGGGTTGGACTCGATGGCCCTTGTGGTCTCTTCCAACTCTATGATTCTATGATTCTATGATTCTATGTTTCCCACCCCAGCTTGACAGTGCCATTTAACAGCACTTCCTTGTCTCTTGTTAAACAAGCTCTACCTTTGTTTATCCTTTCGTGTTCCTTGGGTGGTGGATAACAAAATGTGACAGTCGATAAGTCAATTCTGAAAGGACTTAGAAGTATCTTGACATAGAGCCCCTCCATAGCATCAGTCTCAGATCAAATACTCCACAGCAGGAGCAGAACCAGCGCAGTACATTTTGCTGCCTGAGATGAAAAAGAATTTCATGCCCTGGACAGGCCGCTGAATCTTATTTCAATACTGGCAATGGGATAGTACCCTCTGTGGCACCTGAGGGCAGCAGGCAGGTTGTGGGGGCACAGAGCAGGCCACAAGGCATGCACAGCTCTGTCCTCCAACAAGTTACAGCCAGGGGGCTGCTTCCCAGCACCAGCTGCCTGAGGCAATCGCCTCACTCTGTCAAATGGCAACACCAACTCTGATGAGGAAGTTTTGAGAAGTTGCTGGCATGAGACTTCACAAAGCAGCGCTTGATGAATGGTTTATAGCAGGAGGAAAGGCTTCAGCAGCTGCAGTGCTAAAGTAGTCATGCATCATGAGAAAGCTGGTACACTCTTATCCTTCCCTTCAATTTTGTCTACTCAACCTTGAGAACAATGTTTTAAGCGGTAGTTTGATCTTGGGAGAGGGGACGTGGGTGGTGCTGTGGGTTAAACCAGTGCCACTTGGGCTTGCCGATCGAAAGGCTGGCAGTTCGAAACCCTGTGACGGGGTAAGCTCCCGTTGCTTGGTCCCTGCTCCTGCCAACCTAGAAGTTCGAAAGCAGGTCAAAAAGTGCAAGTAGATAAATAGGTACTGCTCCGGCGAGAAGGTAAACGGCGTTTCCGTGCGCTGCTCTGGTTTTGCCAGTCATGCTGGCCACGTGACCTGGAAAAAACTGTCTGCGGAAGCAGACAAAAGCTGGCTCCCTCAGCCTGTAAAGCGAGATGAGCGCCGCAACCCCAGAGTTGTTCGCAACTGGACTAAATTGTCAGGGGTCTCTTTACCTTTGATCTTGGGAACAGTCAAGTTTGTTTCTATTTTGAACCTTTTATAAAAGCAACGGTAAAGTGATGACATGAAGGGAATAAAAAGCAAGCACTAAGACACAGTACATATTTTATTTTAAAAAAGCATAAAAACTAATGACATGCTTCAGAAAATTAGATTTTATATATACACTTGCTCTGCTTGCTAGGTGGCTGCTGCAGGAAACATAAGCTGCAATCTGATGCACATTTGTTTGGGAATGAATCCCACTGAACTCATGAGACTTAATTCCGAATGAAAGAGGCACAAGTGGGAGCTGCAACAAAAGGTTGCAGCATGGACTGCTTCTGTTTAGGGTTCCATCCCACCTCCCCACATTCAAGCAGCATTCTAAGCCACTGAGCATGCTCAGGCCTCTTTAGGGTCCCTCTTAGGTTTGTTTTCCCCTTCATTATTTTTGGTACTTCAAACTTTTAACCTGTTGATACTTCCCTCTTGTGTGTGGGTGATGCTGTTCTGATCACACAAGCAAAGACGCTCACTCTTGAATACTGGAACTAAAGGGTCAGTCTGTTAAACAACATGTTTCACACTGCTTGCTATGAGAGCACAGGTATGGTGAGAAGGCAGCACTTGGTTAAGAACTATGTTCTCACCAGTCTCCTGTAAACATGTTTAGTAAACTTGAGGGAGGCAGGGCATAACGTCTAACAAACTCCACTCGACACCCATGTTGAATTATTGCATAGGCCATTCATTGGGAAGGTTTCTGTAGGACAGTTGCTTTGACTGTCTTAATTCAATCAGGTGAGTGTCCATAAAAATCCCAGGTTCAAACAACTGCAGTATGCTGCAGAATTTCCACGCTGGAAATTGCAAAATACTTATTTCACATATGCATTCAGACTCAGAAGTATAATTTGAAACTTGGGCTTCCATCACAATATTTTGTAGAGGAACTGGTGAGTTTTGTTAAGTAGATAGAGGAACTGTTCTAATGAAATTTTTTGATCCCAAATCTAATGCTTCATTCCAGAACACAGAATATGGCTTTCTCAGCATTGACTGCATAGAACCATTTTTAACTCATAAAACCATTTTTAACTCATACCACCAGCAACACATCTATTACTTGCTTTTGGTAACATAGTGTTGTGATGATGGGAAGCCCATATGCACAACAGATACCACGGGCAATAAAAGCATACCACTGATGATGTTTGCACAAATCAAGAACTTTCCCCCTAGCTCATGCTGTTTCTTTATTATTATTATTAATTGAATTTGTATACTGCCCTTCACCCGCCGATCTCAAGGTGGTTCACAGATTTATTAATACGTGTAATATTTCTATGCTTGCTTTTCACGAAAACTTAATGCAAACCACCAGACCTTTAGCCACTCCTTTGTTCACACAATCAGCATGGTTACTGTTGCATAAAAGGAGAGAACAGGGCCTAGTTCCAGCTGCATAGCCCGCCTCTCCCCGTCCCGGCTTCTGTTTCGTAGTCATGCTGAAGGATGGTGCTAGAGGCGGGGCAGAGATGGAAAAGCTTTGATGAGTTATTGACTCTGCAAAGTTCCTGGCACATGAGAGTGACCCCTCCAGTCTTTTAACCATCTAGAAAAGCATATGTGAACATTACTGGTTAAAACCTGAAAGTGGTAAACGGAATGTGAGAAGGGGCCTTGTCAGTGTCTCTCAGGAGGATCTGTTTGGTGGTTTGAATTCCAGTAATTCTAGATTACCTTGTTTCACAAGGGGCAGGAAGAAATGTAGCCTCAGTGAGCACTAAATGAAACAGCAAAAAAAGGAAAGCATGACCAGGGCCGTCTTAGGCATATCCGGTGTCATGGTGCAAAGATCCCTCCAAGGCCCCCCTCTTTTCCAAAGTTGTCGACTTGTTGACCTTTTCCCAAGCCTCTGTGGGGGTCGCTCACTTTCCGCGGAGGCTTGGGAAGGAAGCTGCAGCCTGCCAGGCATATAGTTGGCGCGGCACAGCTGGCAGGCGTGCAGGGAAAGGGGGGGCCGCTGGCAAAGGCACGCAGCTCCCCCACTCGCTGTGGTGCCCCTGAGAGGCCAGCGCCCTGGCGCAACGCGCCAGTAAGCCCAATAGGAAAAACAGCTCTAAGCATAACTAATAATGCAAACATATTATCAGTGGTATTCTCTTACCATGGGTGGAGTTTTGTTGTGCCAAAAGCCTCTAAGGCAGAGATGGGGAAGATTGTTGCAGAACTGTTCTCAAAATCCATGACCATTGACCCTACTGGCAGAGGCTGGTGGGAGTTAGGAATACAATAACATTGGGAAAGTCAACAGGTTCCCCATCTCTGCTATAAGAGACCTGCAGCCTGGAAACATATATAATACTAGGCATGATCCAATACCCCTGCTCCCACCGCTTTAATACCTATGGATTTCGAACAGCAGAGAGCTACACATACGTTAAGCATTCTCATGGAAACCAGCTGGACCGAAAAATACGTAATTTAAAAATTGATGCACCCAATGCGATTCTGTGGCTGCATATTGAGTACTGCTGCATCAGGGAATTTTTCTAACAGCCCAATAGGAAGAATTTAGGTTTGCTAAAAATTCAGGCAGCCATGGTAAGGTGTAATGCCCTAGGCATACCTTATGTTAGGAACAGCAACATACAGAAACACTGACTGATTTACACATTGTCAAAGTAGTCTTCTTCAAAGCGCGTGTTATTCTTTTCAGTTATGATTAATCAAAACAGGCTTATTGGAAAAATGAGAGCTCAAAAATGAACATTTCCTTCTGTAAGGTTACCAAAATACGTGAAGTTACGCTCCAATGCAGTTGAATCTCTGCAGAATGCTGGAACAACCTCTAATGAAGTAAGCCAGTGATTCTCAAAGTCTTTCTGACTGAAAACTACTTCTCTGCATGGAAAGCATTCCATTGGTACCTACTGAGTTTTTCTGCTGATGTCAACTGAGCAATTTCCTTGCTGCAGCTAATATTAATTTTTTTAGGATAAAGTTTATAAAATAAACGTCTGTTTTTAATTTAAAGTTCTGCCTCTTACTATCATTATAGACCTCCTTTTCGTATATGCACTTTTTGTACTTTGTCCACACAGCGCTATCCTAGACATGTCTGCTCAGAAGTAAGTCCCACTGAGTTCAGTGGGATTTATTCCGAGATAGGTAAGTATGCTACTGCAGCCTTAGTATCAAATTTTCCCATGTGCTAACTGCTTGTCCTACACTGGTCTCTCAAAGTCTGTCTGAAGTTTGGTTTCGTCCGTATGCATTTGTCACCCTGTCATAGAGTTTTGCTGACAAGGCAACTGTGCGTACAACCAACTTCACGTCAAACATCGAAAAGCAAAGAAAGACAAGAAAACCCAGTCCTGCAGTGCGGGAGAAGGCCAACTCTGCAGGGAGATGTCAGAACAGCCTTCACCAACTTGGTGGCCTCTAGATGTTTTCTTCTACAAATCCCATCAGCTGCGCTGCCTGGCGCTGATAGGAACTGTAGCCAGAAAAGATCTGGAGGGTATCAGGCTGGCAAAAACCGTGCCTGCATGTTGCTGCTTAGCTGCCAGCCTTGAGGAATGCTTCCATCCAACAACCAAATACTGTAACAATCTGAGAAACGGCGCAAGATTTCTTCATTGTACAGAAGCAGCCAGTTTGAGAACCACTGAGGTAGACAAGAGGACTAGGTGGTACTGCTAAACTACTGTTCCCCCTCACGCCCTTAAATACAGTATCCATCAATAGCAGATCATTTCCCCACCACATGTGCTGGTCCCAATCTTCCTTGCTCAGAGCTGGAAAATCTTACCAAAAAAGAGAGAATGCTGAGTAGCACCCTGCTCAACTCCAATATTCCATTATCAATTCGGTTGACAAACAGGCATTCGCTGGCTGTAAGTACAGACTAGGCCACTCCCACTGGATTTCATTTCACCATTGCAGGAAGTTAGTTTCAGAAGGCCAATAGGTGATAAAGATTTGTGGTCATTTTGAGCATGAGCCACAGCAACTCAAACAGCTGCAGAAGTAGCTCATTTTACAGCTACCTATGCTGGTTAAAAGCAGCCTACAACTGTCTTTGTAAAGCAGTACCAGATGATGATAAAAATGCACACATCTTATTGGAGGAGAGTGGAGTGTCATTCCCCCCCCTCCCTTCCTTTCAGGCTAACATCGTTTTGGTCCCATCTCCAAATCATAAAGAAGGCTCCTGGCTTCCCCCTCAGATGCGTCCGGATGCCTTTCGCTTTCAGCATCACTCCCAAGGCACAAGGGGCTCATGATGTAACGATAGTCACTCGTGACAGCGGCAGCAGCTGCTCCTGCAATGTTCACGTCACCGTCCAATGTTCCAAAGGGACAATCCATTGAGGGGTCATTCCTGTAGGCTTCTTGTGGCTTCCCAATGTTGACATACAAGGGGTCCTGACTGGATGAGAGCAAAGACAGTCTGGCCAAGATCATTTCTAGTTGCAGTTTCAGGGCTCCGAAGCTGGGGCGTAGTTTAGGTTCTGAATGCCAGCATCTGCACATGAGATCGTAGCTGCACGACAAACAGAACAAAACAAAATGAGAAAAGAAGCACCTCGGGACAACCAAAGGCTGTGTAAGCTGCACTGGGAACATATATTTATATTTCAAAAATAAAAGCTGCATACCAGTGTGTGTTCCCTCTGCCCAGTGGAACACAGTGGTTAAACAGATTTGTTTCTGTTTTGAATGCAAAATACATTTTCAAAAGCACGTTGGCAAAAGCACATTGAAGGCAAGCTGAACAGTATCAAAATAATATGGAAGAATCTCAATTAAATCATGCAACCCACCCCTCTGTCCATTAAGAAAGCATTCTCTACAATGGGCACAGCCCAATGGGACTTCCTCCTATCTGAGCTGGCCCAAAGTATGGCAGTATTTTTGTGGAACTTCTGCTTATCATAGTGTGGTCTGCACTGTAGAAGAAAATGTTCATGTTTGGAAAACCAAATGGCTTAATAAACTACTCACACATCTTCCAAGCACTCCAGGGGCTGTTTCAGTCTGTTTCCACTGATGAGGTAGTTGTAAATTTCTGCATTCTCAATGCCTGCATAAGGAGTTTGCCCCCGCGTCACAATTTCCCACATTGTCACACCAAATGCCCACTGAAATACAGTAGGGGAGGGGGAAAATATAGTTAAACAAATGGGAGAAGCATATTTAAAAACAATTTCAGGAGAAGAAACATGCTTAGAATATCAGTCGTCTTTTTTTCAGTCTTGCTCCCAGTATAATCGGACAGAGATGATTCCTGGATTTCCTGTTCCAGGGCAGTTCAGTCTGAGTGTGCTTTCAGTCATAATTTTCTATCTTTCCTCCTTCTGTAAATAATCCTAAATAATATTAAAAGCGGTTCTTTACCTGCACAAACTGAGTATCATTTTAACAGGCCCAGAAAAGACAACTAACTCCTAATAGGTATGTAACTCATTGCTTTTTAAAATCCAGTTGTTAATGAACACAAACATCCCTCTTCGGCTGAGGACTACCACAACATTACACTAGAGGGGGCAGTCTTCTTTTCGCAGAGCAATCGCGGCTGTATTAACAAAATGCGATATTTGTATCCTTACATGGGAGCTCAGGGTAGCATACAATATGACAATCAGTGATCTTCCTCAGTAATTGCACCATGTTAGAACGGTGTGAATCGTATTGTGACGTCTCCGGAAGCTGCACAGAAAACCAAGTTATAATGGGCAGCATACATATGTAAGAAATGTGTTCTTTCCATTATGTGTGTGTGTTGGGGATGAATGGGCAGGAGAGGGCTATTCTTTATGGGCTTCCCAGAAGCATCTAGTTGGCCACTGTGAGAAACGAGATGCTAGGCTAAATAGATCTTTGGTCTGATCCAGCAGGGTTCTTCTTCAGTTCATAGAAAAAATGATGTTCCCCACAGAACACTGTGCCTCTGGCCCACCGTCTAGTTCCCATGACTCAGTGTTCTTCCCCTGCCTCCACTTCCCTCCCTTTCCGCTGTTGTTCCCCTAGCGTCAAAAGCACCATGTGTGCCCTGATGACATGATATAAAGAACAGCAACAACTCTGCAAACGCTTCTTTTGTTTCATGCTGCTTTATGTTTCAGAGCTCCGTCACAGCCCTGGTGACGTGCAAGGCACTTTCACACGCACACCACACTTTGATTTTGCAAAATTGCCAGCATTGGCTTTGGACTGAGAAGCGTGATGGTCCCTCATCACAGGCAAATGCCACAGAAAGCAGCTTGGCCAGCCCTATGCTTGGCACTGGGAAACGTTGAGCACAAACGTTGTGTGATATTAGCCCAGGGCTTCCAAGGTGCTTTGCTCAGTGTTTCCCAGTGCCAAGCATAGGGGAGGCCAAGTTGCTTTCTGCAGGGATTGCCTGTGCAATTGAGCCTCCCAATTTCCATATACATATCCCTTGTCCACAGCTGACATCACATTTGGGGCAGGTGAGTGTGGCTTGGGGAAAATGGCCTGGCAGGCCAAACGGAGACCTGTGCCAGGCCAAATTTGGCTTGGCAGGCTGGAGGTCCCCACCCTGGCTTATGCCTGGATAAATGTGATCGTCTTTAAGGTGCCACAAGAATCTTCATGGTTTTTGCGGCAACAGAATTTGTACGTAGGGAAACAGGTGCTCCTGGGAAGAGCAAAGAAGGCTCACCACATCACTATGTGTTGTGTAGAGATTGTCCGCCAGGCTTTCCAGGGCAAGCCACTTCACTGGCAGCTTGGAGGCACAGCCCTGGCGGTAATAGTCTCCACTATAGATTTTCTTTGAAAGCCCAAAATCAGCAACGCACACGTTCATGTATTCATCCAACCTAAAGGAAACAAAAAAGAAGAAGAAAAAAGAATTCAAGCAACTTGGCATACTCAGGAAGAAAACAACAAGTACAGGTTTCTCCTTCAAACACTACCACCTTCCCTGGCTTGAGAGTCTCACAGGGCTAAGTATGCTTAAGACTATTGGTGAACCTGAGTCATCAGCAGCTAACACCTGCTGAGTAGTCGGCATGACTGGTAGTCTCCCAGCTGTTTACCTTAGGAAGTGAGCTACCTATGTCTAAAGGCCATAGGGCATAGCTCAGTGGAAGAGCAGCTGCCCTGCATGCAGAAGGTCCCAGCCTCAATCCCTGGCATCTCCAGGTAAGGCTGGGAGAGACTCCTGCCTGGACAGCCACTGCCAGTCAGTGTAGACAACACAGAGCTAGATGAACCAATGGTCTGCCTCAGTAGAAGGCACCTTCCTATGTGACAGGGAGAGGATGCTGGTTTCAAACAGATGAGGTGATTCACTTCAGCTTGCCTCCTTCAAGGAGGAGTGAGAAGAAGCAGGGGAGCCATCAGCTCTTGAAGGGCCCAACAGGCCCCTTCCCCATCCTTCCCAGCAGCTCCTCAAAGACCAGCACACATCCCCTGAGAGGAAGGCTGAAGAGGCCACTGATATCATGAGAAATACCCATGACAATAGCAGAATGGTACCCAAGCATACGTCTGTGTAACAAAGTTGCTATAGATTTTTCCAGTTGCTCCACTTATCTGACTGGTCTAAATTTTCTAAACACCTCTCCAGACAATGTTGCAAAAGAGATTTAAAAAAAAGAAAAAGATGAAGTGCTATATGCATACTAATATCCGTACCATAATATCCAATTCTCCACAGAATGGGATAGGAGAGAGAAGAGGGTTTCTGCTTAGGAACAGCCAAACACAACTCCTCCTTATGGTCTTCCAGACTTGCTTCTGACACTTTCATGGCTCTGTTTGATTTTAATCTGCCTCGTCTCAGTAAAAATAAAGGATGGGATTCACTTGACAAGCCCTATCAGTGGAGCCTTGTGCAAGGATTTCCGCTTATGCAACAGGGCTCCCTGAAAAAATAAGTCTTGGGGGGAAGGTCATGAGAATCCCGCCCCCAGAACAACATTCAGGGGAGGGGGATTCTTCCATATAGCAAACTAAAATGCTTGTGCAGAGGGAACATTTGTCACAGCGTGATTCTGAATTCTACCCATGTTTTGAATTTTATATTGTGTTACACTTTTGAAAACTGTTTGCCACTTAAGAGAGATTTTTCTTTTGATTGAGAGGTATATACATTTGCTAAATAAAATAAACAATAAATAAAATTTGAGGCGGGGGGGGAGTAGCTTTTTCCTTTATGTATCTTTCTTTAAAAAAATAAAAATTATCCTCTCCTGCAAGCCTTCCCACATTTTCCTTTGTTGAAACATTTCTCCTTGCCTTGTCTTTCTGAGTCAATGTCACCACCTTCCTGAAATGGTGGGCAGTCTAAGAGCTGGGTTATATGAGCTCGCTGCTTGTCTTTTTGGTTAGTCACATCTAAGAACTTCAACAAGAGAGTACACACCCACAGGGAATATATTGGGGGAAAAACATGACAAAATGGCACAGGTTCAGGCTGGGGAGTTGGGAAGGTGTGAGGCTCATGCCATGGAGAAGTGTGAAAGATGCATCCATGATATTAGCGCAGGGAAGGGAAGTCTGTAGCCTTTCAGATGATATTGGACTCCAACTCCTATCAGCCTCAGCCAGCATGGCCAGTGCCCAGGGATGATGTGGGCCGGAGTCAAGTAATATAAGGTAAAGGGTAAAGGGACCCCTGACCATTAGGTCCAGTCATGACCGACTCTGAGGTTGTGACGCTCATCTCACTTTATTGGCCGAGGGAGTTGGCGTAAAGCTTCCGGGTCATGTGGCTAGCATGACTAAGCCGCTTCTGGCGAACCAGAGCAGCACACGGAAACACCGTTTACCTTCCCGCTGGAGAGGTACCTATTTATCTACTTGCACTTTGACGTATATAGACAGCCAAAAGTTCCCCACCCAATCGTTTTCAGAGCACTCATGTGGCGTTGGAAGGGAGGCAAATCACATTTTCCTTGTCAACTCAAAATACTAGTCTAAATGTTGGGAAATTGCAACTTTCCTGCAATGGATGCATTAGCAGCAGGCAATGTTGTTTGGATCTCCTGCAAGAGCTAAGCAATCAATGAATTGTTTCATTGTTCACAAAGGCTCTCCATGACCTAGTTTCCTTCATGGACTTAAGTCAGCTGCAGCCACACCTGGGGAGCCTTGGGCTTTCCCAACTGAGCTTTTCTGTTTCTCTTAATCTCTGCAAATGCTTCAGTTAACCAATAAGGACTTTGTGGACTTACATGCAATTCCGAGCAGCAAGGTCTCTGTGGATGAAGTTTTTGGAGCTCAGGTACTCCATGCCACTAGCAATGTCAATCATAAACTTCAAGAGTGTCTGAAGAGGCAGGTTCTGCAGAAAAGAAGAACAGTTATTAAACGTCCAATTATTGGACAAACTGCAGATGTTTCGCCATGCTATGTTCAGGCATTTTCCCATTTGTTATCAACTCCAGAGATGACAAACTCTGATTAGAAGAGCCAGGCTGGATCTAGACACATCAAAGAAATGTTTCAGTTAAATGTGTTGCAAACATTGTATGAGAAACTGGGTTAGGAAAAATGGAACTCCACAGGACTATATAATTTAAACAATCTTAGTGGCTAGCTCCAATCTGACTACATGCCCCTCTGGGCATCCTTTTATTGTGCAAGCGTGATTATTTGTGCTCATCATGGTTTTGTGCTAATTGCATGGGATCCCACACTCAATACCGTTTGCCCCTGCAAAGGTTTCAGGGCAGGCATTCTGTTTCGTTTCCAGTCAGTGCAGTTCACATACCTTCCTGCTGAAATCCTATAACTTCTTATATCACAAATGTTCTGGTGGTTTAATCAACCTGCTTTTGTTGTGCTGTAGTTCCCAACAATAGTGCATAAAACTTTGGGGAATCAACACAGAACTAATAAAGCAGAATGGTGTATGGACTGCCTAGTATAAGGCCACAACTAATGCACTGTTACTGCATCCATTGCATTTAATAAATGTTGCAGAACACAACTGCAAACACACACACATGTCTGGAGGTGCCCTGGATGAGCTTTACATGTTTATATGCTGAGCAATGAACAAAGCTTGTAACTTGTCTTCAGCTGACAGCAATAAGTAGAATGCCTGAACTTAATGCAGAGTATAAGAGGTCTGCCCCAATACAAGAAGATGCATAGTGTACATTCAACAAATAAAGACGTGTGACCTTCCAATTAATTCTTCTGTGAGAGATCTGGTATGAGAGAGAATCTTACAAAAGGGTTTTCTCCAATCCGGGACATCAGTAGAAAAGAGTGAAGGTCTCCATGCTTCATGAACGGCAGGATAACCATTGGGATTGGAAGCCGGCCTTTAGGCCGATTGCGCAAGCTGACTCCTGATATGAGAGAAGAAAAGAGCAACTAGCAAGTATAGTCATCCCTGATCACCTGCCCAAACATATTGCCTTCCAGATGCTTTGGACTACAGCTTCTATCGTCCCTGACCATTGGCCTACTAAGTGGGGCTGGTGCAAGTTTCAGTCCAAAACATCTGGAGGGCACCGGATTGTACTCCTTTGTTCATAATCTGATAAAAATGCATTGCTATTTTTTCTGGAGGGCTGAATGTCTAAACCTTTGGTCTGATCCAGCCCCTGTGTTCAGTGATATCTATTTTTATTTACTACACAAGAATGTGTAAGCATTAACGCGTTTCCAGATGTTAACCATTCTCCTCTAAGTTGTTGTCAGAAAAAGCTCTGCACTTCACAGTGCCATATAGTATAAATCCAAAAATGGACTTCTTCTTCCTTCCCTTGAACCCAGGAACTTCCCATTTAACGCAACAGGATAGTGTGTGCTCCGATGTCCCATTTCTTAACCTGCTCACCTAATGCATCTCTGTCTACAGTGCAGTGAATGTAATTGTCTGATATATAATGTTTATTTGTTGTCAGAAATGAGTGTCAGAGAAGAGAATCAGTGTACAGTGGTACCTCGGGTTACATACGCTTCAGGTTACAGACTCCGCTAACCCTGAAATAGTGCTTCAGGTTAAGAACTTTGCTTCAGGATGAGAACAGAAATTGTGCTTCAGCGGTGCGGCGGCAGCAGGAGGCCCCATTAGCTAAAGTGGTGCTTCAGGTTAAGAACAGTTTCAGGTTAAGAACAGACCTCCGGAACGAAGTAAGTACTTAACCCAAGGTACCACTGTACTGTTACGAGCATTTGGAATGTGAGAGCATGTAAGTTCTCAGAGAATTTATACTGTATCAAAACAGGGCAGTACATGACGTTGATGCTGCCGTCTCCCAGTTTAGCACTGCTAGGAATGGCTAGCATGGTGGGGTGGTGCCACAGAGCCACTCTCCCGCCACTTGCATGACTGTTGCTAACTGGGATGGTGCAAGGGCAGTGTGCCCATGCCCCACTGTCCTTGCTGCTGGTAAGTGGCCAGGATGGCATTGTCAGGAGCTGTTGTGCACAGGAGCTGTGAAATACGCTTTGGGTGCTAAATACGAGATGCAAAAGAGCTCACCAATCAGTTTAGTAACGTGCGGATGGTCAAACTCTTTCATGCAGGCAGCTTCCCTCAGGAATTCCTCAATGTCATTGGAGGTGAAGATATCCGCTACAATAAAAGAAAAGAATGCTGAGGTTTCCTTTTGAACTAGGTGGGGGTAACTTCCAAGGAAACAAGCAGAAAAGTTAGAGCTCCTAGAAGCGTCGGATACCCTTCATTAAACGTTTCCACTGAGAATCATACAGACACATTTTATATATTTAACAAGATTCATATAATGCAGTAGGACAAAAGAGCTCTAACTGGGTTTACAAGACTGTCTAAAATATTTATATAGAATACCATTTTTTTAAAAACCTGTAGCCACATCCACAAGATACATTGAAAACATTCGTATTCCACTTTAAGAGTCATGACTTATACGGTACCTGCAAAGAATCCTAGGAAATGTAGTTCGTTAAGGGAATGGAGAATTGTTAGGAGACCCTAAATGAACCACAGTTTCTAGGATTCTTGGGGGCAGGCAGCATTTTACCTGGAGATGCTGTGGATTGGGTTATTGTTATTGTTTTGTTTGTTATTTTGGTATGTATTTCTGCGGTTTAATATTGTAATCTACTCTGTGATCCTTGGATGAAGGGAGGTATATGAATTTGATAAATATTAAAATAAGATAAAAATTGAATCCGGCACCTTTTGTATGCAAAACACATGCTCTACCACTAAACTATGGACCCTTCCAAGGATCACAGGCATAGTAAGATGTGTAGTGACAATGAGGCACTGGGAACATTTCAGGGACCCTACATATTACTCACCTTTGAGCATTTTCACCGCAACCTTCTGGAGAGAGCCATCAGGCAGCTTCAACTGACCCTCTCTTACAGACCCAAATTCCCCTAATAAGGATCACAAGAAGAGAACAAGGTAACATTAAGCATAGTGCAATTGATTTTTAATCCAAGGGGCCATTAAGGATGGAGTGGTTAGGTAGAGGGTCTCTTCCAATGAAACACCTGCTGGAATGATTTTCAAAGAGGCAATATCAAAGAGGCAAAGGGGCAATATCACACTGAAATTCAAATCTACTCTTTCTTTCTTTCTTTCTTTCTTTCTTTCTTTCTCTCTCTCTCTCTCTCTCTCTCTCTTTTCTGGAAATATAGACAATTAAGAGCCAGCGGGAACTTAGGGCATAATTCAACCAAAGTCAGCCAAAATCAATGGAAGTTAGAAGAGCTCAGTTTTGGCTGCATTGTGCCTCTGGTTCTTTACCAGGCAATGAAATACCGAATGGTGGACAAGGACATGGTGGACAAGCAGTAAGCTAGAGCAGTCATCTCCTTTAAACCTTTCTTCAACTTTAGCCCTGGCTCTTATTGCTTTCCCCTTTTCCCCTAACAACCTTTCTGCTCTCTGTTTACCTCCCGTTCCTCTCCTTCTTTTTCATATATTTTACAAAGTACTCTCTACCTTTTCCTTTGAGGAATCTCTTCCCTTATTTGACTTCTCAAGTTCCCAGGGTACCTCAAACTGCCAACCATAGCTCTACACTGCTTTTATTGGGCAGACTAAAGGATATACAGAATTATTGTTAAGACCCAGATAAAAGACAGCTTCTAGCCACATTGGGATTAATCCCAATAATGCAAGGGTGCAGAAAATGTGGTCCTCCAGAGGTTGTTGGACTACACCTTCCATCATCCAAGGCCCATTGGTCAAGCCTGCTAGGACTGATGAAAGTTGGGAGTACAACAATATATGGATGGCCACGAGTTCCCCAGCCCTGGTCCAGGCTCTGGTTCACACTCACCTTTGCCTAGCATTCTTCCTAGAGTAAACTGTTGCTCCTGGATCAGGACATCTTTCAGTTTGGTCTTCAAGTCATCACTGATACCTATACTGTCCACTGGAGAAACAAGAGAGATAGAAAAAGGGGCATGAAAGCACAGAATCTCAGTAAACCTAACTGTTGCTATTCCCTAGAATCACGAGGTTTCCAGATGGTGTTGAATAAGACACTGACTTTGAAAGATGCTCATCCTTTCTACTCAGAGAGGATGTTCCTCTCTGGTATAGGGATGGGGAACCTATGGTCCTCCATATGTTGTTGGACTCAAATTCCCACCAGCCTCAGCCAACATGACTACAGGTCAGTAATAATGAAAGCTGAAGTCCAGTTAACATCTGGTTTCCCGCCTCTGGGCTACTTGTATGTTCACGATTGCTGTGACAGCAATTCCCTTTTCTAATCTTATGAAATACGAGATGCTTCAAACTTCCAGATTTATTTCCTTGCTTTGCACCACCGCCCAGTGCTAAAGTTTCAGAGAATTTCTCTTAAACAGCTAACAGGAAATAAGAAAAAGTTTAAGCAGCAAAAATGAATCAGACTTGCACCAGTCCGTTTGACAGACGGCCATTTGAGAAGCAAACTGCGGATGATAAATCACAGCTGTTTGGAAACCATTAGATCTTTGAAGTTGTGGACTATCTGAACTTCCACTTGAGGTATATTATAAAGGCTATTTTGTACACTTCCGGTTTAAATTCCCTATCTAGGTCATGTCTAAGGGATGTCTAAGTTGCTAACAAAAAATAAAACCAGTTAATACACTTTAAATGCTATATCAGCAGCAACCAAACCAAGATAAACTCAAGTAACATTAATTAAATGTCTGTATGAATAAGAAATGTTAATCAGTCTCCAAAAAGTGGCAAAAGAAGACCTCGGAAGCTTACTCATATAAGGTATTTCACAACATGGCTACCAAAACTAAAAAGTTGATGGTCCTTGAAGCCAGTCCTATATGCAACAGACCATGATAATTAAAGCAGAGTTGCCCCCCATTTATTTTGGATGTTGGGAAACTTATGAGAGACGAGGCTTCTTATTATTGCAGTACAGTACATCTTGATAACTTAAACAATTTGTGAAATCTAGGGCCACAATTATATGCGTGTTTATTTGGAGGTTAGCCGCACTGAAATCAATGAAACATGAAACTCAATCCTAGCCACACTTACTAGGAAGTAAGGCCCATTTTGGTCAATGGGGCTTACTCCCTAGTTAATGTGCATAGGATTGTCATTTTGTTTCTAAACCATAGTTCGGATTAGGCTAGAGAAGGAAAATATTCCCTTGCCTCCATCTCAATCCAGCAATGTATGATTTGCCTGCTGAAGAAGTCAATATACAAATTGCAGAGTTAGATAGGGGATTTTGACTATAGTATCTTGGTGGATTTCAAAGTTACATCTGAGGCAAGATGAGTCTTTTGTCAAAGTCTGTCAGTGAGATCACTGTGTTCCTTTCTTAGTGCCTGCATGAGGAACGTTTAGTGTCTGACAGAAATAATGAGAAAATTTTGCATGGAGTAGCAGGGGAGAAAATAGCAGTTTGCCCTGAGAGTCTTGGAAACTCATCGGATCAATGGGATCTGTAGTAAAGAATCACTCAGAACATTTTACCTACATGTTGCCTCAATAAGCTCTGGGCCTTCTCTGTTGAAAGATCTCACCGCTCTGAAATGGACGACTGGATCTCCTCCCACCACACTGCCAAAGGCATGACTAAAAGAAGCAAAAAGAAGCAAAATGAAAATCTCATTACCGAACTATCACTGGAGTGCTACAAAGGTGCATTGTTGTTCCACATACATTTACAACAGCTTAGAAACTCTCTGAATTTCCAACCATTTCATCTTAGTGATGCTGTGCAAAAGGTCTGAGCTCCTTGGGCAGGCCCTTCCAGCCTCAGGTTTTCCAAAGGCTTCAGGAATGAAGAGGAGCACGGGCACAGTACCCACCCCAGCAATAAAGGAAGCTGCTTTATACTGAATACCAGGCCATTGGTACACTGTACTCAGTACTGTCTACAATGACTAACTGACAGCACCTCTTCATGGTTTCAGACTGGAGCAGGCTTCCTCAACCTCGGCCCTCCAGATGTTTTTGGCCTACAACTCCCATGATACCTAGCTAGCAGGACCAGTGGTCAGGGATGATGGGAATTGTAGTCTCAAAACATCTGGAGGGCCGAGGTTGAGGTAGCCTGGACTGGAGCCTTCCCAGCCAGGTCTGGAGATGCTGGAGATTGAGCTTGCATGCAAAACAGATGCTCTACCACTGAATTATAATTGCATACAGAGTTCTGTGAGCTGTGTTTCTTTATCTCTCTGTATTCCTTTGCGTGGTGTTCTACCACTGAGCTACAGCAAGAAACACTGGGCCTACTGAAGCACCCACAATGCTGCTCGTTCTTGTCCAGGTTGCCAATACAGCTCCCTCTCTTCCCCTTATTCCTCCTCCCTCTACTGTCTCTAACAGCAAACTGTAGCATGATCAGAGCAGAGCAAGCTATATTGGCCAGCTGCGATGCATTATCAGGCCAATGATGGGTAGCCATGTCCCTCCAGATGTTGCTAGACTGCAATGCCCATCATCCTTGACAACTGGCCATGCTGGCTGGGACTGATGGGATTTGGAGACCAACAACATGGGGAGGACTGCAGGCTCCCTATCCTTGTGCTAGCCACTGCCACAGGCCATGGCACTTCCTTCTTGCCCTGTTCAGTTTTCCTGCTCTAAAAGCCAGCTCCACTTTGTAAATAGGAGAGGTTTCCCTCAATCCGAACTGAGTTGCTACATAGTTATGGGCAACCCTGTGATGCAATGTGGTTGCATTAATGCATCCAGATTAAGAGATGATGATGACAAGAACTTGCCCAAAGCGAGTTTCTTTTCTTCTTTTCCGCAGCAGGATCAGTGCCAAGGCAACTGCTGTGACGAGTGCAGTAAGAATGCCTAATACTACAGGGACCCAGGATGTGCCATAGGGAGGTTGTCTCTGTCCTCCTGTGTACAAAAGAAATCCTCAGTGAGACAGTAGGAAATCACATTTAGAAAATTGCAACTCAAAGTAATCCATCTTAAAATGGGCATGTTCCACAGTGTAAGTACTCAAACATCAGAAGCAGACACATCTGCCATGTCCCAAAGAACCTGAAAAAGATGTTACAGCAATAGAGTGTACCTTGTTGTGACAGGACATCCCAGCATTTGAGTGGCAGCCACCAACCATCTTCAAAACCTAACTACAAATTCCAGGTTTGGTGAGCATATTCTGAAGATCAATGGGCTCCTTTGCGAGGAAGGGCAAGATATACACTTAGTAAATAAATAAAAATAACTAAGAGCTGAAACTCGTTGCCCAAAGCCTCAACAGAATCTGATGAAGTGTTTACCTTATCCTTGCTGGGCCAGGATAAGGTTGCTACAAAATTCCAGCAAAATATAAAAGCAAGAATGACAGAATTTACATGAGTGTAGGGATGGAGGGTGCAGGGATTGCACAATTTTTTTGGAAGCGTCTACTGTGGTCTGTGAAAGCAGCACTCAAGTAGTCGCTACTGAACTTGCTTTCAATCCCAGATGCAATTGCAGCAGCCTTTTAGGATTGGCCTTTAGCTATTGAAGAGAACAAGGAAATCTTAGCAGAACAAGGAACTTGTAGCAGGAATAATCTGCATACGAGCTGCCCAGGGCATAGGAAATTTCCTGTTAAAATGTGTTGTATCAGCAAAAGAGAGGGAAACTTCCCCCCTCATCTTTTGTGCATGGAGTGTTTTTCGGTTGTGGCACACAGTATTATGCAGATATTTTGGAGTGCTGTAATATAACTTATTCGTCCCCCCTCCCATTCTCTTACCCTAAGGCTGTGCAAGATAACATCCCCAGAGACCTTCTGAATATCAGCATAAAGAAAGTGGGGGAAATTAGATTATGAAATCCGCCAATTTGTAAGCATCCCAATTTAGACTAAAGCTATAAAAGCCCTAGACATGTGATGATGAGGAAAAACTGAGCAATGCTTGTTCTTTGCCAGTCCATTTTTATTGGCTAATATACAATCTTACTAAAACTGTATCTGTAGACAGGAAAATCCATTTAGCCTCCTCAGATGCATGGATACCTGACACCATTCCACTCAGATGTCCATATCCTTAATACTGTTCCTAGCTATATTCAGCCTCACTCTTCTCCACCCAATGCTTTTCTCATAAGAGATGCTTCTATTCACCTTTCTATTTTGTACACCTTCATGTTGATACCAGAACATTTGGGCTGTACTCTATTCTCCCTTGATTTGCTGCAATCTATTCCCTTTCCACTTACACATCTGATTTTGTGCCCTTTAAATTCCAGCAACTTTCACCTCCAGAATCACTCTAGAAAAGCTAGGAGTGGGTGGTATATTACTGCTGGGTGGTCTTTGGTCAGCCCCCTTCTCCCCCCCCCAAACCTTGCAAAATATGCTGCAATTGATCCCAAGAACATTTAAGACTGTGCAACCAACAGATGGCAATTGAGAGAGATTGACCACACTTGCACACACAAACGAAGAACGCATAATAAAATTGCACTTAAAATACAGACAGTGGTTTTTATTTTAAAAATTTAAATTGTGGGACTAGTACAGACGGGCAGCATTTTTCACCAGGAAATGCTGGAGTAAGGTGGAATTCTATCTCAGCAATGAAGAAGCAGACAAGCAACATCATTACTGTGCTTAGTGTGAAAGGTACACACCCACAACACCAGGAGGAGAAATCAGTATTTCTGATTTTTTTGTTTCGTTTTGGCAAAAGTGGGAGGTTTGCCATCAGGAATGCACCTGTGGTGCTGGCACCAGGAACAAATGGTCTTCATTCTCCGGTCTGCTCTATATGGAGGCAGGAAGTCTCTAGCCCTTACCCTGGAACCATGCTTGCTAAAAAGAACAACAGGAAAATGTCCACTAGCTCAATATTGAACTTAACCCAAAAAAGCTCTCCATTCCAGACTGCATCATCCTACATTAAAAATGTTTACTTCACACGTTACATGCCACTTTAAACCCACAAGTTTTGTGTGTTGGTTTAAAGTCAGAATTACTGTAGATACAAAAACTTGCACTTAGCATCACTTGCAGAAGTACCTGAGGGCCAGGCGCATGTCATCACCTTTGGGAGTATTCCCATGTGGATTGGGGCTGTTGCGTTGTGAGAACCCACATCTCTACCCCATGTTCTTGGTGGCTATTGCTAGGGGGCAGGCATGAAAGCTCCCTATTTATTATTATTCTTCCAAAGTTAAAATGTCTCCAGTGTTCCTGTGGAAATCACAGCACGCTCCTTCAACTGGGACGGGACAAAGGCAGCCAAATGCAGTGCCTTCAAACAGACTGGGCACATTGCCATTCAGAAAAAGGACCTTCTGATGCATTAAGAACATGATTGGCATGAAATAAATGACACAACAGTACAGTGCCAGTAGTAGTGATAGCCACAGGTGGCACTAGAAGGGGGCAGGGGAGACAAGTGCCCCACGAACAGGGAGCTGCCCCCATTTGCCTCCCCATTGCTAGATTCTGCCATTTAAAATATACTGTTATTTTTCTTTCAGAGATCTTAACATGTGGGACACAACTCACCCACCTAAAAATATACCTTGCCCCTCCTGTGCCACACATACACCCAGTTGTTTTCTGTTGCTGACACTGATGAGAGCAACAGAAAGAGCCTACTAGACCCTTCCCACAGCCCTGAAGGAACAGGGCGCAAGGCTGAGGGTGCAGGCTGAGGGTGCTTCAAATAAGAATGCATTTGGTTTCCTCAAACAGCACCATTAAATCTTTTTATAAGCTTCCCCACCCGTATGCTAACAAGCTGCCCCAGATATTTCACACGCAGTGGGAACTGGAAATGCCTATTCAGTACCAGCTGGTTAATTCTAGAAAGTAAGCAATTTTTATTTTCCACCAGGCTCAAGCGTAGAACAAAGTTTCATTATTTTTACAGATCTATAGTTTTGGTGTGTCAGCATTTCCATAATGAAGCTTTATTTTCAAGCGTTTATAAGCTCAGCAACATACTGTGTTAGGTGTGGCTGTGGCTGGGACACAAAGAAGCCTCAGGCTGAGGGAGAGGGAGAGAGAATGTGTTTTAAGTCCACTGAAATAATTGGACTTGAGAGCGCCTAACTTTGTATAAGATTGTTGCCTTCATCTACAATCTCTCAGCCCTGTTTTGACATCAGTCACATTTTCGAACCTGTGGAAGATGTTTATTTGTATTGCTTCGCTCTCTGCTATGAAGAAGAACCATAATTAGCAAAGGAAGAAAGGGTGGTTTTAAGACTAAAAAAAACCCCTGAGGGGTGTCTATGTATTTAAAGGTCTGTGAGGGAAAAAAGGAACAACAATTTTGGGTAGGGATGGGGGAGGAAGCAGCACAGTGAACCCTGAAAGGGGGGAAAGTGCAGTGTGGTACAAGATTTCCCAAGCTCCTTCCTCACTGCTGAATGTGCCATCCATGCACAGTGCACAGATAAGTAGGGAATCGGAAACCGTCATGCACAGGATTAAGAGTTGCAGATTTGGAGTGCCCGGTGGTAGGGAACACTTTGCTTGCACAAGACTCCAAGTTCACTACCAAAATCTCCAGGCAGGGCTAGGAGATAATCCTTTCAGAAACCTTTTAAGAGCCATTGACAATCAATGTCAACAACACTGAGCTAAATGGACTGGTGTAAGACCCATTTCCTATGTTTTCAAAGAGCTTTGGCCTGCTTCACACCTTATGGAATTATTACACACAAAGCACTTCTGTATAGGCATGTACAGTGCTTTTTTTCTGGGGGGTACGCAGGGGTACGCATACCCCTAAACATTTTTTAATCTTTGTCCTTTTGTCCTTTTACTGTATTTATTTTTCCAGATTTGAACTATAAAATGGTGATTTTCTTGAGTCAAAATGAGAGTACCCCTAAACATTTTTTAAGAAAAAAAAAGCACTGGGAATGTACATCCATCCATATATACACACTTTATTGTTCACAGTCAAATCCCCCACAATCCACAAACAGAACCTTCAGTGTATAGAAATTAACACAAAACCCAGGTGTAGAGGAACCTGTAAGGATTATGAGAACTAGATTTTTCAACGCATATGCACAGATTTTTTCAACTCAGTTGCAGCTGAGTTTGTTTCGCTTTGCTTTTGCTAGATTGCTCCGCTTCGGTCTCATTCCGTTTAAAAATGCAACACATGCAGTTGTAAGTGCTGGGAAGAGCAGAGATAGAAAAACACAGTGGCAACCAGCAGCTCATTGCAAGCACAGTACTAACAGTGATGTAATATTTTCCTTGAGGAGAAGATGCAGTTATAAAAGAAGAAGCTTACAGCACATGCAACTCACCTATTAAATCTTCAGCTGTAAGCAGCAAGGGTTCACTCCAAGGCCCGCAGCCTGCTGAGTTGAGTACACACACCCTGATGGTAAGATCTCTTAAGGGATTCCACATAGTGAGGTTGGCTCTCGTCTCCTGCACGATCATTTCCCCCTGAAGCAAGCAAGCAAACAAAAACCCATTGGTGATCAGCACTCATTTGGCACTTGCTTATAATACCACACAAGGAAGCTGTAAGGCTCCCTGAATGCAGGTATACTTTTAGGCAACTCCACAATTTTCTGAACCCTGAGATTTCCCAAAACCGATTACAGTGGTACCTCTGGTTAAGTACTTAATTCGTTCCGGAGGTCCGTACTTAACCTGAAACTGTTCTTAACCTGAAGCACCACTTTAGCTAATGGGGCCTCCTGCTGCTGCCACGCCGCCGGAGCACAATTTCTGTTCTCATCCTGAAGCAAAGTTCTTAACCTGAAGCACTATTTCTGGGTTAGCAGAGTCTGTAACCTGAAGCGTATGTAACCTGAAGCGTATGTAACCCGAGGTACCACTGTATACTAATATATTGTGCCTGCATTGCTTTTTTTTATTTTACTTTTATTAAAATTCCTAATAATCAATGCAAGCTTAGCTGCAGAGGTACAATAAATACTTGAAGAGATGTGGGATTGTAATCGCTCTCTCTTTTTTTCTTTGTCATATTGTAGTGCCTACAAACTCTGTGACAGCCGCATTAGGAGAGGGGTGGGGGGGTGGGGAGGAAATTCTCCACTCCTTAATGAGTATGTTGCACAAAATCAAACCCAGAACAGACTGCGGATAACATATGTTACCACCTTCCAGTTTGACACAAACCCATTCCTAAGACTTGCGCGTGGCTTTTTAGGATTCATTTCCAAGCTGTCAGTCTAGAACACAGGCAGCTAATATGGTGCTGTAATGATATTTATTATTCATTACTTTTCTATATTCCACTCTTCTTCCCAAAGGAGTCCAGGGCAGCAAACAAGAAGTGATAATGACAATAACAACATCTTTAAAACCATTCCAACGCAGATGCAGTCTGGGAAAGATCTCAACTTAAAATGCTTGTTGAAAGAGGAAGGTCTTCAGTAGGCCATGAAAAGATAACAGAAACGGAGCCAGTCAAATATCTAAGGGGAGGGAATGCCAGAGGGTGTTGCTGGACTACAACGCCCATCAGCCCCAGCTAGCATGGGCAATGGTCAGGGATGATGGGAACTGGAATCCACCACTACCTGGAGGATGCCAGGTTGACTACCCCTGGTCTAGAACCTTCCCTAAGCACTAAATTTCTCATTCTGAATTAATTTTATAATTTACTTTTATAATTGATGGTACAGTGGTACCTCGGGTTACATACGCTTCAGGTTACATATGATTCAGGTTACAGACTTCGCTAACCCAGAAATAGTGCTTCAGGTTAAGAACTTTGCTTCAGGATAAGAACAGAAATCGTGCTCTGGTGGCACGGTGGCAGAGGAGGCCCCCATTAGCTAAAGTGGTGCTTCAAGTTAAGAACAGTTTCAGGTTAAGAATGGCCCCCCGGAACGAATTAAGTACTTAACCCAAGGTACCACTGTAATTTGAGATACAGCTCAAGATATTGCCTGGCAAATCTGGAACAAGGAATAGTCTGTGACAAACAGAATATGATGAATTTTATTGATCCAGAATGTATGATTAGCCTTTATCAGCTTCCTCCTGATGAATCTACTATCCAAGTTGCTCTGCCTAACACACTGGTACTCACAGGCACATTCCGGCTGAAAAAAAGTGCTGCCTTTAAAGCCTATTCAAAGCACATTCTTTCCCGCAAAGAATTCTGGGTACTGTAGTTTGTTAAGGGCTGCTGGGAATTGCAATTCTGTGAGGGGTAAACTACAGTGTCCAGAATTCTTTGATAGAAAGAGTGTGTTTCAAATGTGCATTTAAGTTATAGTGTGTACACAGCTTGAGTATATCAAATGACTAGGACAAACAACAATGGATGGTCCTCATTATCATGACCTGCTTGTGAGATCCCAGGGATGTTTGGCTGGCTTAGGTTAGAACAGAATTTGGACCATGCTCTGATCCACCAAGGCAATGTTTATGCTGCTCAGTCTGTTACCTGAGTGATGTTATCTTGACTCCACTCCAACCTGTATCCGAGGGCATTTTCCCTATGCATTTCTGGAGCCATTGTTTCCCATTCCAAAATCAGACAAGAATCTCTTTGGATAATGTGTACGTTTTGTGGAGTACTGTTTGGTGCTGTAATGGAAAGAAAATCACAACATATATCCTGTTGTTAGAGAGAGAGAGAGAGAACTCTCAGGGACAGAGAGGTATGGAACAGCCTTAGGGCAAAAAGCCATTTCATTTGCTAGTTTCCTTGCAAATTCACCAAAGGGACTCTTGAGGTCCTGGAACATCTAAGATTCTTTTTCTCTCCTGGAATAAGCTGTGAATACTGGGAAACTCCAGCATCACCTTTATACCTGCATAAACTAGGAACACCCTCACATGATTTGCCATGAGTAAACTACAGTCTAAGGCACAACAATGGCAAAAAATTGAAGCTGATGGCTGGTTGTTTGAATCAGCCATGTGAATTATATGGTTCTTGTATTTAGTTACTACAATGGGAGATGCGGTCAAGTTGTTCAATGGTTTTTCTGCCCCAGAACTGCATAGCTTAATGGAAAAATGTTTCACTATTTCCATGAAACCATGTTCTTACCTAATCCCATGGTCTGAAAATAGACCCAGTCTGTAAAAGGGGAGCTGCCCAGTTCATTAGTGCACTGGACCCGAGCACTATAATTGGTAGAGTGCTTTAATCCTGGAAAAGCCTGGGAAAAGGAGGGGGCAGGGACAACTTCTGTGGAAACGTCATCTTCCTGTAGCTCAGCCACCTGTTGCAGAAGGGAGATAAAGCAGATATGAACACACAAGCCAAATACACTCTCATGGATTTAACATAAAGTGACTCTTTTTTATGCCATAAATCTTTAGGAGAGTTGCATCCAACAAGTAATACATTTCACATAATCTTGGCTTCAAAACGTTGATATGCAATGACTAATTCTTCAAAATGCTAGAGGCTGTAAGCAAACCAAAAAACTCTAGAATAACTTCTTGGCTGGGAGACACCTGCTGGGGCATGTGGGAACATTTTGTCCCATTTAAAGGGCATCCCCTATGACCCAAGAGTTTTGAAGGTGGTTATCATCATCACCAACTGCAGCCCTCCCAAAAGCCCAAAGATACTCTTTCTGAGCCTCATGGGCACAAAACAACTCCCAGCCCTTGGCATTAAACTGGTTCCTTCCGCCTCCCCACATTTTTTCTCTCTCTTCTAATTGAAGCAAGACTTCAATCAACTGCACAAATGGGAAAGCAATAAACTCCATCTGTCCAGCAACGGTATGATAGACTCTGGGAACTGCTCATTATCAACAAAACTGTCTTACAAACCAAGGATACAGAAGAAGGAAGACTATAAATGAGCTACATTTTGAAGTGACAGTTCAACAAAAAATAAATAAGCGTTCCTTCAAGGCTTGCAGTTATGTGCATTTCTAGAGGAACTTAATTGTTCGCCCTGATATAGCACTCTGAATCTGGATTTGGCTTTATGTGCTCAGTTAGCAGAAGGAAATACTCCTCCCATCTAACACTATTATCTTTTGCTGTTTATCTAATAAGATGCAATTTGTAGCTGTGTTCTTCCACACAGGATAATGGGGGGTTTGGATCTTGGATCCTTTTAATTTGACTTAGTACTTTTGTATGCCTAATTTTTTAAAAAAAAAACACACACACCTGCACACTGAACTGTAGAGAGAATCTTAATCATTTTAAAAACTATTGTTTGAAAGTGATATGATGGAATTATTGTTTTCTATGGTGAATGGCAAGGGTAGCTGGCACAGCACCCTCCAGTTCAGATAACAACTCCCATAAGCCCAGTCCAACAACATCTGGAGGGCACTACATTAACCATGCTCCTGATGTACAGTCACATTTGTTTTGTCCCATTGCCAGCTTTGGTCAAACATACAGTGCAGGTCTGTGAAGCTATAAAACCTGTTAACAACAAACAGTGGGGTGGTGTTCCTGTGTGGGCATGACATAGGGAACTGTTGCTGTCTCCAGCGCTACCAGCAATGCTTTTTTCCTGCAGGTACTCAAGGGTATGAAGAACAGGCACCTTCCCCCCCCCAGATGTTAAAAGTGTGGGTACCACTTTTTGGCTTAAAAAACAACAACATTGCTTACAAGAATGACAAACATTCTGTCAGTTAGAGGCAGGTAGAAATATGGGTCTGTGGACAAGGGTGCCTGTAAATAAAAATCAGAGCTGAGAGGTACTCAACATTTTGCCATTCCCCAAGGCCCTATAACTGAGGGTGGCTGTCATGTTAAGCCTGACTGGAGAGTGAAATCCCTGTTTCTTTTTCCCTTCCAGCATGGGACAGAAAAGCCTGGGAAGCTTAGGAAAATGAGGCTGCCTGAGGAGGTTGAAATCTGAGCTGCTCTCGCTTTGTTCCGCCCCTCCCCCACTTCACCGGTTGCAAAGAAAAGAAAGAAAAAAGAGAAATAGGAAGGTTGGGGGAAGGACTCAGAAGCTAGACAGATTAGCATTGTACAGTGACTGGTGGACGTGCAAACCAGGAAGAATAGGCTGTACTCGGCGGGGCAAGCGTGGCATTCCAATGCACAGGAGGAAATTCATTCTAATCTGTCAAGACAGAGCCTCTCTAGCAGAGCGGCAGCAGCAGAAATGGTGCGAGAAATAAGAGCAAAGCCGCTGTGTGCAGAGAGTCACGACTCATGTCATCATCGCCATCTCAATGGGTTCTTTTATTTCATGCAAGTAGTATGCACAAGCTCCTTCCGCAACCCTGCCGAAGCAGAAGGAAGCTGGATCACCTCAGCCGCTTGCCTTGGGCTTTTGTTAATTCCCTTCCAAGGCAGAATGCTGACAATGGTGGCAGTGCAGGGAACCCACTCTCTGACGCAATAAGCGGGGAGAGTCCAGGGAGATCATGCTGTTTTTAACCGTTCGCATCTTTTAAGGATGAACTGAATGTTGTTGGGACAGCTGTCATGATGAGCTGGGCCAAGAGCCTGGGATCCAGAGATGTCCTGTGCATAGGTGCCCCATATGCAGAAGAAGAAAAGAGTTGGACCACCCCCCTAGGCCATAAAGGGTTTCCAGGTATCTGAGTGATTCTGTGCCCCCAAGCTTTCCTCAGCAAGAAGGGTGTCAGGATCCCACCATTGGGCCCTGCAGAGAATCCCAGTGCAAATTAGGACCCGGGAGAACCGAACAAGTCCCAAACGAACGTCTTGCTTGTGCTTCCAATAATCTATCTGTGTCGTGCCCTGGTCACTGATTCTCCCTCTCTGCCACCTGGGCTCCAAGAGCAAAAGCTGCAGCAGACACAGTGGGAATCTCAGAGTTGGCATGAAAGGTGCCTGGGTGCCCAAGTGTCACCTTGGGTGCAAAGATCAATTCAGAAAAAGCAAGAAGACTTAGCTGTGAACAAGGATCCCAGTAGATTAATCTTAGAAGGAGAAGGAGGAATTTGCAGTGAAGATACAAGCCTCTCAATCTCCTCTGGAGCCTTGCTGGGTTAACAGTTTCTTTCTGAACTCCTCTGGGCTCACTTAAAAAGTTTCAAAACTCCTTGGTTTCTGCTTCCGCACTAGGTGCCGACTATGGGCAAAGAGAACTAGTCTGGGACTCTGCCTGGGCAAGAGTGATCTTTATTGGTTCTGGCTGGTAGTTCTTGCTTGACAGCTGTGCCTATGACTCATCTCTGACAACAGCACACCAGAGAACAGCGTGAATTGGTTCACTTGGAAGATCAGTTAAATGGACCAACTTGACATGATGAGAGAAAACGTGAGTTAAAAGGAGCTGGCCTTACTAAAGCGGTTGCATAATTGCTTCACCACGTGTTCAGTCTGCAGTTTAAGCCTTACTTACTGTGTGATCTCCCCAACACCCATTGTTCAGCGGTTGCAGTGGCACTGCAAATGTAGGGCAAGTTGCCAGCCAAGCACTTGTCGAGCAAGCATAAAACTACCTTACTTGCTGGACAATGCACAGAATCCACTCAGCTCACATTCTAAACACCGAAATTCAGTCACAGAATCAAAGAATTGCAGAGTTGGAAGGGATCCTGAGGATCATCTTGTTCAACCCCCTGCAATGCAGGAATATGCAGGTGTGCATTTGTTTCAAACTGCTGTGCAACCCGCAATAAAGTACCAATCAATGAACTGCCATTTAGGCTTGCATGTTGCCAACTCAAAAATATGTAAAGTCACCTCCAGAATGTCAGACAGGAGGGATTCAAGCACATACTGGAAATTTAAAAGTGCAACAGATCCACTAAAACAAACAAACAAACAAACAAACAAACAAACACACTTTTCACATGAAGAAGAAATCCACTGAAAAGTTTGGGATGAACTAATGATTATTGGGAAGATGTACAAACACTGGTCAGTAAAATCAGAATGAATGCTCATTGTTGCATACCTGCAAACCCATCACAAGAGATGCCCAAAAAAGATGAGCCACAGGTTTCACATAAGCTTTATGCAAGAAAATCTAGATGAATACTCAATAAATAGGTTATCTGGAGGAGCTGTAAGTTACATCAGAAGTTAAGACTTCTCTGGGCACTAAAGCTGAGGCACGTGGGACCACAGGTTTAGTCTCATGCCAGCACTGAACACTGGGGAAGGACTACGTAAAATATGTATAGTATCAATATAGGGAACAACAACAATAACAACAACAATTTTATTATTTATACCCCATCCATTTGGCTTGGTTTCCCCAGTCACTCTGGGTGGCTTACACCTTATATAAAAAATTGTAAAACACCAGAGGCAGCGATTACATATACTTTATTAGTCATTGGATGCAGTCCTTTTAAAAATAGCAGAAGTCTCTTGACCATCAATAGGACAGTTCCCCAAATTAAAAATAAAATGGGACATTATGTATTTTATTTTGCCTATGAACGCATGGAATATGTACTACTAGAACTTACAAGTGGGATTCATCAGCGTGCCTGAGAAATGGCTCTGTGCATGTACCATCACACAGCACTCCTCCATGCAAGGGGAGAGGGATTCAAATTGGTCCAGGTTCATTCTGTGCATGGGAGAGCTCTATGCATGCATATCGTATCATCACTGTACAGCAAACTAGAACTTTGCAATGACACTTGATTATCTTCCTATGCAGGGTCTTTCCAAGACAGTAGTTTATTTTGGTCCATGCTGCTCTGGTCACAAATTAAGCACTGCATCCTTTGAGGCCAGTTGCCCACAGAATTTCTGGGTAGAAAAGCCCTGCCTCCAGGGTCCCAGACATGCAAAGCAAGGGGCTATCTAGCAAAACATTTCCTGGGTTTGACTATTTGCTTTGGCCAAGGAGGTATTATGCACGTGTCACATACCTGAACTGTACAAGAATGAAGTGGAGAACGGCCATCAAATCCTGGCAGCCAAGTGATACTGGCATTGTTGCTGGTGATTTGAGTTACTGTCACATTGAGAGGTGGAAAGGGGAGAGCTGAAAAAGAAGGACGGATGCTGTTTAGCATATGTAGAACTGAGCAGATATTTATATGGAAATGTGCAGACGCTACAGTCTGGGAATTTGGATAAGGTCCCTGAGAGGTGCTAATCAAGCTTTGTATGAACAGGGGTGGCTTGCACATGGCATTATAAATCCTGATTAACACTGAATAACTTATTCTCTTTATTCAGTGTTTGGTATTTAAACAGATAAAGCAAACACAGAACATTTGACACAGGCACTTCTCAAAACATTCTGCTGTGGAATCTGAGATGCAAGCAGTGCTAGCCTGAAGTTCCTAAAACCTTTGCATAGCATCTCTCTTGTCAGAGGAGCAGGGGTGCTGGAACGTGGAAGCAAAGCCTAGTCCTTTTAATAGGCAGATGGTAGAACTGATATGCTGGGAGTTGATTTCCACTAATTCCTATTTTAAACACCGAAAGTATACAGGTTTGGGTTTGGGGTTGTTTTTTTTAAAAAAAAGAATTCCAAGTAGATCTAGGTATGTTTGGGCCAATTTCATAAAACAAATGCAAACTTGTCTTATTCCTCTTATTAAACAACCACTACAATGTCATTCTGGACCCAAAGCAGTTGGGTGTCGTACATTCACATATGTATCCATGTGGCTTACCAACGTTTAAATGCTTTAGTGCTAAGCCAAAATCCATTCTTTTTGTTGCACTTATATGCCACTCTGAAGCTCAGAGCTCACATGAGGCTTCCAAGCAGCTCACCAGGCCGAGACTCGCTTAGCTTTAAAGGAGTAATCACATCATTTGCCTTTACAGTACTTAAACTTAAAATCTAGGCTCACATGGGAGAAAAACAGGAGAAGCCTACTGCGGAACCAGGTACAGTGTTGAACCAGCCAGTGGTGAAGGAGGAATGGCTGATGTTGCAAATAGCTAATACTTCAGAGATGTGAAACACAGAAGAGGCTTGAGATTAGTGTACAAGTCAAACCACAGGTTGTGAATCCTGCAGAATTTTAAAGTCCATCTGATGGACTTCCAGGTCCATATAATATGTACACCAACTGAAGCTACTGAACACTCTTCATACTCCATGTAGGATGTGTTAGTAATTTAATCTTGAAGTGACCAGGTCTTGTGTAACTGTGCCATGATCAAAATTTTAAAAAAGCTGGAGTTGCCACAGATGAAGCTTGTCAAGATCACAGCTTCCTCCTGCCGCATCTCTTTCCAGGAGCCAAGCTGGGTTCAGAATCACTGAAATCTGTTCCAGATTTAGATTTGGAGCATGGGAGGTGGTGCAGTGGGCTCAAAGGGGAAGGGAGAATGAATGGAAATTGCCTCTCTTTCTCTTACGTTAGCAGATGCCTCTGCAGAATGGCATCCTTGGACTTCACCCAGAGGATTTGCACTTGGGAAAAACGACATGTGTGCGTATGACTCCCTGCTTTGAGCCATCTGCAATGTCTTCCTTGGCTTGTTTTGTTGTCTTTGAACCACGTCAGCCCAGGCTGTTTGCCCTTCGCTTCTTTTACTGCTCTGGCCCTCGCTCCTCTGATTTACTCCCAATCTTCTCACTCCATATGTTCCCTCCAGCCCACCCCTTCCCTGCTCCCGTCATCTCCTGCTCCCACTCTTGGCTCAGCAGTTCCATTCATGCTGCCACTTTCTCTTGAAAGGGTTCCCCACACCTTGCCAGGATCCTTCTCCATAAATCCACTTTGCCCTTATTCTCCGTTTTGTTTCCTTGCAGCACTGTCCTTTGTCTTGCTTCAAAGATTGGTAAACATGGCTATAAACTCTACCTATATGGCCCTAATAGGCAGCATCTCTTTATCTCTCAGCAAGCTTCTAGGGAGAAGGAAGAAAGGTGTTCTTGCGGGGGCCACTAGGGGGCGCATTGGAAGATGGCCGACAATACCATCTCTCCGACCCACACAGGGTAATTAAGAGGCTGTTATGGGAGTAGGCAGCCTCCCTTGTTGCCCCAAGGAAATGGGGAACACTGCCCTTGCCTGCTGTGCCCATAAATCACCCCCTAATTCAAAAGAAGGGGGTGAGGCCCCTAGGCAGAATGCCCCCGTGTGGACATCGGCTCTCCTGGATGCTGTCTCTGATCGCGCACTAGTTGCAGCAATTTGGAATAATTAATTACAAAAGAAGCAAATGCACATATTTCAAGTGAAGAAGGGGAGTGAAGTCTGCTACTTTAAGTGACCTCTGCGAAAGAAGACGACAGGCTGGAGAAACAAGAATATTTTACGATGAAGATACACCAAAGGCGGGGTATGTTGACAATGGGGCTGAATGGGGGGGAAAAACCTTTTTTACTTTCCTTCTATGTGATTTACAAGAACCCCTCCTCATTAGAACCGTCGGTTGAACTGACCCAAGCAGGATGATTAAGGTCTGTGTGGAGATAAACTTTAACCAAAAGTATGCTTTATGGAGACCGAGAAGCAATAAGAGCTTTTGGGAATGGTGCAGCAATTAATCTGAGTCGCCATCTTGCCAAAGGATTTACAGCCGGGAGGAAGAACGGATTTGTTTTCAGACTGCATTCCTAGTGAATCTCCTCAGAGGTTTTGAGAAAGGAGGCAGATTGGTGAAGATTAATGACGCTAAGACTGTTTTGATGTATGGAAGTGATGTTATATGGAAAATGTCTGGATATGGCTACTGGATAATAAAAAAAATATCCACGCAGGATTACAAACTGTTCTAACCAGCTTCATGGAGACTATCAGAGGTCACAAAGAGAAAGGAAAAATATATGAAAATAACTAACAAGAGATGTGGAAAAATAATAAGAAAGGACTGGATAGTACTGTGAACATCATAAGGTTAGATTTGTGGACATTAAAACAGCAGTAAGAAGCAAGAAGTTGATTGGATCCCTTCGGAACTTGAAATATGGGTACCCCCAACAAAAATTTAAAATTCGGCTGTGTAATTTGGAATTTATGTAATTTGGTTTGATTTGATGTGATTGGTCGGTTAATAAAAAATTATTCTTAAAAAAAAAAGAAAGGTGTTCTTGCAGCTTACCCTGAACGGAATAGAAGAGTGCTGCTGCGCCCACCTTCTGCTTTTGGGTTTCCCATACGCATCAGGTTGGCTCCCGTAAGAACAGAATGTAGGACTGCATAGGCCTTTGGACTCGTTCATCTCTCCTTACATTCTTAACTGCCAAATGTTTTGTCACCAACATGTGTGACAGTGCAATCAGTCCCAGTTCTGTTTGGTAACAATGGTCCTTTATGTTGAGGGTGGGCACGGTGCAGTATATTCCTCGGAATGTACAAAGAACTCTGCTGCATCAAGCCAAAGTTCCGTCAAGGCCAGAAATTTGTTTCAACAGTATCCAGCTTCTGGAAGGAGTATGTAACAACACTTTGCATGTAGAACACCACAGGTTCAACCCTGGGCTTCTCCAGTGATAAACAAGACACAGGTGCATAGGAAGTTGCCTTCAGATTTAACTGTCCATCAAACTAAGTATTATCTACTCCAGGGTTTCTCAAACTTGGGTCTCCAACTGTTGTTGGACTACAACTCCCATCATCCCTAGCTACCAGGCCCAGTGATCAGGGATGGTGCCAATTGTAGTCCAAAAACAGCTGGAGAGCCAAGTTTGGGAAACCCTGGTCTGCTCTGACTAGCAGCAGCTCCCAAGGATCTCGGGCGAAGATTTCACCATTACCTGACATCCTTTTTCCTAAGATGCCAGGGAATGAATCCGAGACCTTCTGCGTGCAAAGCATTTGTCCCACCATTAAATTATGATCTCTTTACAACTGTTAACAAATTCAAGTAACTTAGCATATCCAGGTGATGCAGGAAGTAACAGTAGTTGAGGGCTCCCACCATCCCAGACTGTTGTCTATGCCGGCTGAGGCTGATGGGAACTGCAGTCTAACAACATCAGGGGGGCATCACATTGGATATCCTTGGTATAAGGTCAAGGAAGCCAAAGAGCCCCACAGGTGCAATTTGAAGACTGCAGATGAACCACCATCAGCATCCAATGGCTGCTGGGTAGCTGATATGAGCTGCAGTCTCCAACTGTTTGGTTCAGAAAGAGAGCCTGAGGATGAGGAAGGATATTGATTTCAAACTGAAGAGATGATTCACCTCACCTGGCCTCCTCCAGGAATTTATGTCAGGAGGAGGAGAAGCCAGGGAGCTTACACCATCAGCTCTTGAAGGAACCAACAATAGTCTGAAAGAGTCTAGGTGGGGAAGCCCCTCTCCACCGTCTGAGGGACTACCAAAAGATCTGCTGATGAGAAGCCCAGGCCTGAGGACTCACGCCAGAAGCATCAAAGACCACCAATGGCCTGGGTGAATTCAGTTGGAACAGCTCCTTCCTCATTTTCACAGTGCTGCTTATCAGACCTATATGGCCTGTGAAATACATTGATGTCAGAACAGGAAGTTCACCTCCTGCAAAAACCACCATCAGTCTGAGAGAATTCTACTGTTTTATTGTTTTACCTTCTGAATCTTTTATTTTGTATTTTAAATGGTCCGAGTGGACAATACTGGGGGAAGACACAACAATGGTTTGACTCAGTGGCCACATTCCAATGGTGGGCCGAGCAAAAACAAACAAATAAACAAAACAAAAAAACGCAAAGCCATTTTTTTAAAATGAGGGGAGAAAGAAACAGCCCTTTGAAAATAAAGGTTCTGATAATCCTCATCCACAACAATGCACCCATATAAAATGAACTAATCGCATTTTGCATTGCTAAAAAATATGACCAACCAACTAAAACAAAGCTGTAGATTTGCCCTAAAAATAAGAAAGAGTGTGAGTCCCTCCTGGCCTGCAGCTACTTTAGCTTCTTATGAGGGGAGGAAACACCGCAGGAAAGTAGCAGTTGTGAAAGGAACAAAAATTATTAATAGGGCTCCAAATTACCAGCTTTAAATGAGAGCTTTGGCACTGCAAAGCACAGAAATCCACAGAAGCATAACATTCCTGAAATTTAATTGCCCTCACGGTGATCTGCCTCCTCCTGTTCTCTGCAGTTCACGAGATGCCAATGTATTGCGCGGGGGGGGGGGGGGGAGTGTGGGTGTGTGGGAGGGGAGAGGAGAAAAGACAGGAGAAGGTTTGGGGTAGTATTTTTGCTACGAAGGCATCAAACTTGTGCAGAAAAGGAAGATTTCCCTGTTCATCCTCTGCAGATGACATCACTGTGGCCCACCTTCCTCCCACAAACAGTTCTGATGCCCCGGTTCAAGGAAAATCTGCGATTTCGTGTCACATCTTCCCTTCCTGTGCCAGTTGGGGTTTGGTTTTGATTGCAAATTTTGCTGCAGGGACACAGGCCCGCATACCAAACAGTGAGCACAGTGCTTTATTTCATTTGCTGAGAAGAGAGAGAGAAGGCACTGCTGGAAAGCAGCTCAAAACTGTTCCTGTTGGGGGGGTGGGTAGAAGGGAGGCAGGCAGGCAGGGAAAGAGGGAGAAACAGGAACTGTTTTTCCCTGCTTTCTTCCCACTCCTGACAGTCCATTCAATTTCCTTCCCTGGAAGAACAGGGAAGGATCTCTCTCACCTTTAATCTGCACGGTGGCCGTCCGGGATGAAGACAGTCCCTTTATGTTGTGGGCTTCGCAGGAGAAAACTGTGCTTTGATTAATACCTGGAATACAGCCAAGAAGTGGGAGAGCAGGAGGGGAAGGGGGAGAGAGAGAGAGAGAAAAAAAAATAAGAAACCAGCACACAAAACTGCTGTACAGTATAATAATCCCCCAGCTTCAACCTCAAGCAGAATTTCAATTATGTTTGACATGCAGCTCAGACTCTTTCTCTCTATGTGCAACTTTTGGGGGCTGAGCTGGAAGCGGATCAAACTCACATGGATTTGGGTGTAATTAACATGTCAATCGGTTTTTTCTTTTCTTTTTATAAAACAGAAGGAATGTGGCACAGAGAAGCCTGCACTGGAAGCTCCTTCTGCAAAATATGAAAGGGAAGGGCAGGAATGGGCTGGGGGGAGGGCAGCCCAAGTACTAGGCTGTTAGCTCTCTCATTGTTGTTATCTCACTGCTGTCCTTGGCCGGACTCTCTCCTATTGTTTTGCTGCTCTTAAGTTAAGGCTTGTATGCTCTCCATCCCTTTGTTCGTGCAATGCCTAGGAAAAGAGGATGCTTGGCCTGGCCAAGGTCTCTGGCTGATTTCAAATTATACCCTCGACCTCCACTAGAAACAACAGGCACCTCTCTGTCCAAAGGCATGATGACTACATTGCAGCTTGATTAACGCCACTGAGATTCCACAACTCAGTGGCAACAGGATTATTTAATCGGCAGTCACAGAAATCAGTGCTTTTGTCTCCGTCATAATGAAGTGCTCCTTGTAAGCATTTACACACAAATGTAGCGTTCTTCCAAGGGCACACTAATTGTGTCCTCTGGGAAAGAGGTCACTAGCTGCAGTTAACAAATTACTATTTCCTATTTTCAGCTTTGCGCTTTTTATTGGGGAATGCATGTACACACCATTAATGTGTCTGTGTAATGTTGGTCTAAGAGTCTAGAAACACACGGTAGGTTTCTGGTTGTTAATATGGGCATGAGTCTGGAGCGTACAAAGCTGCAAAACTGGTACCTCCCCAACCAGCAAAGACAAAAACACAGGGCTGGGGGAACCAATTCCCATTAGGCCCAGTCAGCGTGGGCAAATGACCAGGGATGATGGGAGTTGTAGTCTAGCATCTGAGGGGCCAAAGGTTCCCCAGCCCCACAATAGCACAACTTTTCCTGCATCTGTCTTTTGCCAAGTTTAGTAGTTATATACAGTACTTTGGAAGGGGTGGCGGAGGGAGAGGAATCCAGCCTTCATTTAATCCCAGAGTTACACTTCAGGTAAACGTTATTTTTCATGTGGGCAGCAGCAGAAGACTAAATGTCTGAAAAGGGATTTTGGTTTTGTCTGTACACCAGAATATGAGTGTTTATATAAATAGTCTTTTAAAATTGAGGGTTTCAACACAAGGCAGAAAACCGCCCTTTCAGATTGTCAAAACTGAAACAATAACAACATTCAGATGACAATGGCCCCCATTTAGACTACACCAAGTACTACATTTGAACCAAGGCCTTCAAATCAGGTCCCTCCATTTTGTAGGGTTACCACATTTTGAAAAGTGAAAATTCTGGACAGAAAAGTTGTTGAGGTTGTTGGTTTTTTTTTTTAGTTTTGCCCAAAGTTGTTGAGCTTTTTTTAAAAGTAATTCGCCAAAATCTACACTTCTGACATGGGTTGCCATACATCTGAAGAGCAATTCAAAATGGCTGCAGACAATCTTCCCACCCAGAGGAACCATAAATACCAGGCTTTCTCTTTGCTCAAAGAAAGTGCTGGTAGCAAGTGAGCTATATGAGGATCTCTGGACGAGCAACAATGTCTCAAGGTGCCTGTAATTATGACAGGACTGAAGGTTGCTCAGCCAGGAAGGGAATACTTATTGGAATGTTTACTTTGCCCTTTAACACACATAGGGATTAAGTGATAAAGAACAAGGCCTCTGGAATGCCACCTAACTCAGCATTATTGACATCCTGCTCACAGGAAGCACAAAACTGTTGTTTAGAAAAACTGGGTCCTTAGACTGGACTCAGATGACTTTGAGAGCTAACGATAGGTTTCTTTTTCAATGTATTATTCTGTTTTTCAATATTATTATTTTAAGGGCTAGTTTACTTTTTATGTCTCTAGTTTTGTGAAAGACAAAACGATTATTTCAAATTAAAAAGCGGAATTGGGAGACTCCTGGTGAAGCTTGCCAGAGAAATGATTCTGAAGTTTCTATCTGAGCTTTTGCCTGCTTCACTGTCCTTGGTACGGGACAAACCAGAGTCTGAAACAGTAGCTGAGGCTGCATTTTAGGAGCGTGATGCACTGACAAAGCATGTCTGAAGTAAGCTTGCATTATCCTTGCTGAAAATTAAGAGTAGGAGTGGAAGATCAAACGATGGAGAGAGATGACAAGATACATTTTAAAACACAGGGTGATATATTCTGGCTGATAACAGATCGAGCAATACTAAGAGCATTGCTTTTTTTGACAGTGGTAACACCCAAAATGTCCCCAGTGTTTTCCAGGTACAAAAAGAAAATGCAGGCACTTTGCTCTAAGGAAGGTGCAGCAATCCAGCGTTTGAAGATAAATCAACTGACTGCTGAAATGTTGGCCCTGCCCCACTTCCCCACCCCCTAGGCTAATTATTATTTCCTTTAAACATTTTGCTGCTCTTTCCTGCAACACCAGCTCCCCACACCCACACGCTTCTTCTTGCATGCCTCAGGAACTGCGTGACCCAGAGAAAGCACACGCAGGTTCACCTTCTGATCCTTCCTTCAGAGAAAGAACCTACATGCAAAGCTCCATGGCCCTTCTTTCTTGAGAACACAAATGTCAGTCCTATAACTTATAAAAATCAATTGTTTATGTTGCTATCAGCAGCCAGACTGGTAATACAGTGGTACCTCGGGTTAAATACTTAATTCGTTCCTGAGGTCCATACTTAACCTGAAACTGTTCTTAACCTGAAGCACCACTTTAGCTAATGGGGCCTCCTGCTGCCGCTGCGCCACCAGAGCACGATTTCTGTTCTCATCCTGAAGCAAAGTTCTTAACCTGAAGCACTATTTCTGGGTTAGCGGAGTCTGTAACCTGAAGCATATGTAACCTGAAGCGTATGTAACCCAAGGTACCACTGTATCCCAATACTGGAAAGCATCAAAAGTTCTATTTGCTAATGTATGTAACATTGCTTCATCTGAATGTCTGGTCAGACAAAAATATGTAGTCTGGGCTGAAGCCAAATTGAGCAGTTTTGATGCGGACTGGTCTCTATTTTTTTTTTTTTACTATATAAATACTCCTCCCATGACTCAGTCCTTGTTGTGGTTGGTCTACATACATTCATCTTAAAAGCTTGACTGTATGTAACTGCATCTCTGTGATTTGTTTTATACTGAAATGCTGTTTCTGTTTTTATGGTTATGTGTTAGTTTGTACACATAACCTGTGTGTGTATTTGTGTGTGTGTTTGCTTTCCATGCATGCTACATCTATCATGGGCTTTCATGCAAACTGCACTTGCTGAAATTCCTTCCTCTACCCAACTTATTAAAGCTGCAGGAGGCCTGCCTTCGAACTCACCATCCTAACTGCTGTTGTTTTGGGATAAAGGAGATCATAATAGTGAGGGTACATGCAAGAAATCTGATGACTCAGTAGGATCAACCCTTTGTCTATGACTTTAGGACAAAATGGGGGAGAAAGTTTCTGGTGAAAGTTTTTGTCACGTTACACTGCTGAGTGAGTACCAAGTCCTTCCTCTACTCCTTTCAGTACGAAGGTCTGGGAAGGTTGTATAGCTAGACCATAGAGTTCTAACAAGGTTCATTCAACTGCATAGGAATGTTTCAGTAGCTGCGAGTTTCCCATTGCTGCTCTGTTCTATTATATTTCCCTTCAGCTGCAATGGGGCTGGCTTTTAGCCATGCTGGAGGAAACAGAAGCACTCAGAACAGCTTAAGGCATTAGAACTGATAAACCAATTGGAAAAAATTTAAATCTGTTAACAAAAATATACACCAAGAAGAATACCTAGAATGAGTGGAGTATGTTTTTTTGAGAAGGTGTACCGTATTTTTCGCCCCATAGGGCGCACCGCCCCATAGGACGCACCTAGGTTTTTTGGGGGGGGAAATAAAGGGAAAAAAATTATTTCGCCCCCAGGCGCGGGGGAAGCCGGAGCTTCCCCCAATCCCAGCCCCAAGAACAGCCTGCTATCTGCAAGCCTAGGGACGCCAGCGGTAAGTCGCGCCGGTCTCCCCAGGCTTCGGAATGCAGGCAGCTCTGCGCAGCCATCGGGAGGTAGGCGCGACTTTGCGCCCTGCTCCCGATGGCTGAGCAGAGCTGTGCTCACCCCGGGACTGCAGGCAGCTCTGCGCAACCCTCGGGAGGCGAGCGCGAAGTGGCGCCGGTCTCCCGAGGGTTGCGCAGAGCTTCCTGAAGCCTGGAGAGCGAGAGGGGTCAGTGCGCACCAACCCCTCTCGCTCTCCAGGCTTCAGCGAAAGCCTGCATTCGCCCCATAGGACGCACACACATTTCCCCTTCATTTTTGGAGGGGAAAAAGTGTGTCCTATAGGGCAAAAAATACGGTATTTGTTCTGCGGTTATCTAGTTTGCCCCACAAGGAAATTTTACCAGAGATAACCTCATCTTTGGTGACCTCTACTGTATACAGTCATACCTTGGTTTTCGAACAGTTTGGTTCTCAAACATTTTGGCTCTCGAACCCTGAAGTGAGTGTTCCGGTTTGCAAACTATTTTTGGAAGCCGAATGTCCAACGGGGCTTCTGCGGCTTCCGATTGGCTGCAGGAGCTTCCTGCAGCCAATCAGAAGCCGCACTTTGGTTCGCGAATGTTTTGGAAGTCGAACAGACTTCCGGAACGGATTCTGTTTGACTTCCAAGGTATGACTATACTAGATACTCACTTGCTTTTTAGTCTCACGTAACACCAGCGACATGACACTGGTGCAATTTATATGGTCTCTTCATCAGCCACTCCACTCCTTTTCTAAGGCCCTTATTTATCCTAGGAGGAAGCCTTACCTGGCACATTTAGGGTGGAGGGGGAGACATCGGAATGACCAACTTTGGAATCGCCCATCCACCAGACAATTGTTACCGGATCAGGTGGGCCAGCTGCAGCACAAAATAGTTGGAAAGGAGTATTGGGGATTACAGACAGATCTTCTGGCTCAACAGTGAAGTAAGGAACACCTAGAAGAACAAAGCATAAATGTTAGCAGTGGGAGAGTTTTCATTATGATGTGCTGAAACCATTTCTTTAAATTCTTTCACAGTAGTTTGTACAGAACATTGGCTGCCAGGGCTCTAAAAAAACCCACACATATTTTAAGAAATGGAACATTTTACATTTATGGTACATCTTTGCCCTTTTCTCTTTGGTTAGAGCTGCCTACAGTACAGGATCCATTTTGTCCCGTGTACATTTACACTATGATATAACTGAGTGGAATAGCAGTAGGAAAGGTTATTTTTAAAGACTGCCTTTTTAAAGACTTCCTGATGGGCTTTGAAATTATCAGGCAGGGGCCCCAGTTAAGCAGAGCAGCAGCGGAGGCTGCAAATGCATGGCCCTGGTTGAAAAGTTTGGATCTCACCAATCAGCTGTTTAGCAGAGGAGGAGGAGGAGTGGTGGTGGTGGGGACCAGATTCAATTCTCCATTTGTTCTCTCTCCCAAGCAGATCAGTGAAATTCCAGATTTCTAAAAAGTGGCTTCATGATTACCCTTGGGAAATGCATGTGTTTTTATTACTGTAACCTGTCCTGGGACCTTAGGATGAAGGAAATAATAATAATAATAATAATAATAATAATAATAATAATAATAATTGTTTGCATAGAGAATTCCCTAGCTGGTCTGAGGCCATGAAATTATTCGTCAACACACTCTATTGGAAGAGTACCTTGCTTCAGTTTTATTGTGGCTTTAAAAGCTAACTGCTTGGAGAACAATGCTACGAAGTGGGAAATCTGAGAAATTGTAAGAATTAATGCCAAGATATTCATTAGTAATAATACACATATAAAACACCTCTCATGGTTCCTAAGGAAATGTTTCAAAGACATAATGAAAACAAGATGCCTAACTTCTAAATACAGTCACTGTTAATTAGAAGACATATATTCTTTTATGTTCTGACTTTGAACACCTTTCCTTAGGGGTTTTTAGGCATATATTAAAAATGCATTCACAGAGTCATGCTGAACCTGGAGCCATGCCTTACTCTAAACATGAAATATAATTAATACACATCCTGTATTATTTTTCAAAATGTCTGTGGGAAAAAGGAGTTTTGTCAGACAGTAACTTAGCTAAAAAACAACTGCTTATTTAAAACAGTAACTTTTTTGCTAGAACTCAAAAGGAATATTGGAAAATTATACTAGATTGCAAATCTAAATACCACAATAGGAAATTTCAGAGAAACCAAAAATTTGAGTGTGAGAAGGCATAGCTCAAAATATACTAGAAATGAGTTTTGAGGTTAATTTGATTGCAAGATAGACTTGTTCTGGGGAACAATATGAGTTTCTCTATGAAAACCATTGTTCGGGGTTGCAGAATCTCTCCATTTGGCCCACCAGGCCATTTTCCCCAATCTGTGCCCAGCAGCCTCACACCTTACATCATATGGGACATCAGGTGTGGGGCAGGTAGAGATGTGGCTAGGGAGCGGGGCTAAATTCCCTACACATTAGCTGATATGTAGGGAGTCTGATCACATTTCCCTCACCCAGCAGGCTACCTTTGACAGGTGAGTAAATGTGCCCACCTGTCAATCACATGTAATCATTGTGGTGTCGCATGATTGACTTGTTCTGCCCACCCGTCAAAGTTGGCCAAGAGGGTGAGTGAAGATAAATATATGATCCACTGAGCCAAAAAGTCTCCCCACCCCACCATGGTGCCTCCCTGTGATCAAAGTTGGATCTGGAAATGCTGGATGTTGGATGAGTGAGACTGATGGCCATGACTTATCTTGTTGTTTTCTTTTCTATATACAGTATTCATCTTAAAAATTCCTGCTGAAGTCTTAGTTTCAGTTTTTATCCTGAACTGTCCCTTGCTCACATTGGTGGGAGGGTATCTAAATGACACAATCCTGTGCCACTCTCATTGGCCGTGTTCACACATCACAATAAACTGGACTTTCTGGCTTTCCTTATCGTGGTTTACTAAACATGAGATGCTTGCTTGACCATGCTGCCCAGTTGCTCCTCCCAATTGGTGTGAGTGAGAGAAACAAACCAGGAAGCTTGGGTTTCATCTGAAATAGTGTTCATGGGTTGCTGTTCCCTAACAAGCTGCAGTTAAGAAGTGAACAATAATGTGGTTAAGGGCCGGCCCACCCATGAGGCAAGGTGAAGTGATTGCCTCGGGCAGCAAGCACCACAGATGCAGCAGATCTGGCCTCCAAGGAATGCACCATAATCTCTGCACAGGGAGACTGCAATGCAGAAGTGAACTTAAAAATTACACTACAGCTCTCCATGAAGCAGGCCAGAGGCGGAGTTAAGGCTGCATGACCAGTTCTGCCACACTGGGTGCCAAGCCTGGGGGTGCCACAGGGCATGGCAGCTATGACATAGTGAACTGAGCAAAGTGGAAGGCAAGAGATGGGGCGGTGCTGCTGAAATTTGAAAGTCCAAAGTCTGCCTCTGAGCAGGGATAAGGAGGTGATCGGGTTACCCATTCAAACGCCTAATAACTTATGAAGAAGTAACTAAAGCTGCCTCTACACAACTGGAAACTAAAAAAAATCAACTGGGACTTCAACCAAATGAAGACAAACAACTGAGAGAAAAACCATCAGCCACAATTTTTCTTTATTTTCTGTACAACTACTAAGCTATGTATTCCTTTGTATGGATATGTTTTGTTATTTGAAATTAAAAATCAGTTAAAACAAAAAGAACAAAGCACATCCCCACGTCTCACAATGAAATCAATGCAATTTTTAAAGTGCTTAACTTTGGCTGGCTAATGCCACAAGGAGATATTTAGACCGTGATATCACAACTAGATTAAACAAAGGCAAGGCAAGAGACCTTGCTAATGCTTCTTCACACTTTCAAGTCACCTGACCGTTGATTAACTATTTAACCATACACAAATATAGCAATCATGCAAACAGTTTCTGATAACACTGGCTGCTTGAAGCATGAGGTCTTCTGGAATACACAGCACCTGAAAGCTCAGTCCCATCATCCTGTGGAAGTTTTGCAATTTGCAATTACTGAAAACAACGGCCATTGTGCTGCAGATAAAGCCATTATTCTATACGTGACATTCTTTTTGCTTCTGGCTGATTTCAACAGGGCCGGTCCAACCATTATGCAGATTGAGGCAGGAGCCTCAGGCAGCAGGTATTGGGACTGTGCAATGGGCAGTGAGCAGGTGTTTGCCTACAGAGCTGCGTGTGCCACCTGCCCTGCCCTGCGCCCTCAAAGCTAGTCTACTGTCCACAAGTGTGTTGGAGCACACTGTCCTATCATCAATATTTAAGCAAGAATCAATAAAGTTAGCATACATATGTGAAACAGGAGTGGGTGATTCTTGTCCTTTGCCTCAGGCAGCAAATGCCTTGGGCCAGCCCTGAATTTCAGGTACAATTCAATGTAAAACACAATACGTAGTCAAATCTTGGGGTGTGCAAAGAATATGATAAAGACCACATGTCCCCGGGTAAACAGAGTGGGAAAACAAGACTTTCCTGGAAACCAATTAGAAGAGGAATTGCAATATGGTCAGATGTCATTCTGCTAATATCCAACACAGTTAGATAGATCCCACGCCAAACACCATGAGCTGCTGTTGATATCATGGCAAAATAAGTAGACAGAAGACCTATTTGATATGTGGGAGCTCAGGCAATCAGCTTATTATTAAAGGCTCTAAATATAGGTTTGGAGGTTCCGTTCCTGTGCTGATAAACACACCTGACAACACTCCCTGTCAACACCTTTCATGCTCTCTGTTATGTAAGTACCTGGAAATATTTGCACTTCAAAATAAGCTATTCAAGTTAGCTATTTTACTCAAAACAAGATAAAGGAAATGAAATTAACTACACACACACAGCAACCAGGCCACAGGGTAGATACCGCCCCCCCGTCCCCACCTCTGTAGTACTTTTCTTTGCTTATCATCCAATCTTGTTTGCTACTGTGGACACACGTGTACAATAAAACTATGATAAGCTCCTGAGCAAACTTTCTTACCATCAAATATAAGTTTCCTCTTTCTGCCCTTTTTATTTATGAGAGAGGATGATGGGTGAGTTCTGAGTCATGGAGTCCCTAGTTCAAATGTCTCTTCCGCTAAGCCATTCATCAGGCGGCCCTATGTATCTCAGGTCTAGTGCAAACATGAACACACACCTGTCATTTGATACCTGACAGTGTAACACAGTAAAGGCCAAACTGGATGTTACGCAGCAGATGCATTCAACAGTCTCATACATTTTTTAAAAAGCAAGGAGGCCGCAAAATTTGAGCAGTGAGGGGAAGGGGAGCTTAAAACTCCCTGCCAGCATGCAGTGCTTTTCCACCCTTAGGAGAAAAGATAATGAGTACTTGTGCCTTTGCCCAAGCAAGTGGGAAAGTAGCTGGGAGGTATTTTGAGCAAGACAAGCAACCAAGGGGAAAAAATTTTAAGAGGTCCCCTTCTCCCATCACTCTTTGACACAGAGGTTCAAAAAGAAAAATTGGAAGCCTGGTGCCTATGTTTCCCATTTTACTCTTAGCTCGCTCCTTACTGCATTATTCTTCCAAGCACCAAATAACACATATGTTCCACATTAGGAAATCTTGATTCAATATTGGGAACCAATTTTAAATGGCAGCTTCTTTCGTTTTAGCTCCTAAATAAGAAACATAATGCCAAATCTTATAGCCCTCTGGCGGTACTGGCTCTAAATTCAATAAAATAATTTCTTAAGTACAGTTTGACCTTTAGATTTCGGGTTAAGGAAGCAGAAGCCGGTTAGCTTCTGGATAGGTTATATATATGCAGAGTGTTTTATAACAAGGATGCCAAAGTCTAATGGTTTCTCTTTCAAGTCAGACATACCTGGGCTCCTTTAATCTTAGGCAGACGGGTAGCAGACTTTGTGTACATTGTGTACGTTAGCAATGTGTGCTATTTCATTACCAAACAAAATTGTAAGACAACATATGAATGCACAGTATTCTGCAATATTACAAGGGTTTTACATGATTATCACTAATGGCTGCTCATTAAGATTTCAAGGATGCTCACTCATCCTTGCTGCAGACCTTGAAGAGTGGGAGAGGAAAGTAACCCTCTTTGTATGCTGAAACATTTTCCTCTGGAAGGGCAAACATTTTCTGAGTTGCCATAAAGTTGACACAAAATGCTTATACAGTGCATATTCTATTGCCCTGAGATGTACAATGCTATTCTATGGCAACAGGCTCTTCATCAGGGCTGCAGATGTCTCATGTTATCAGGGATGGAGAGCCTGTGACCCTACAGATGTTGTTGGAGTCCAACTCCCAACAGCCCCAGCCAGCATGGCCAATGGTAGGGTGAAGGGAGCTGTAGTCCAACAACATATGGAGAGCCGCAGATTCCCACATCCCTGCATTTCATTATTATCTGCAGTACATTGGCTTTGTCCTTCGTTGTGCACCCAGACCTTCCAGTTCTAAAAGCTTTGTTGGAAATGGCACATGAGCAGTTCATCCTAGTTATCATCCCTGCCCATCTCAAATTGGATACCAATTCATAGGACGAAATATGTGCATTGATTAAAATGCTGCACGAAAAGGATACCTGATACAACTGTGTGGCCATGGCAAGACTTCTTACTGCATGGTGATTTAATCAATGTAATGCTGCACATTGGTAAACTAGGGGGTGAGGAGAGACATAAGCTGAATATTGGGGCAAAGTTTGCATGTGCTGCATTCTGAACAAATGAAAGATTGGTGGATCACTAACTCAATGGAGTTACTCTGCCAACAAGATCAGATACCTCCGATAGAAATCTGGATGAGGAACAATTCTAGTATTTATACCAGGCCTCGCCAAACTACTGAAACTAAATTCTGCCCTAATGCATCTATGTGAGGGTACACTGAACTGAGGCATCCACCATAGGCTGAATGAGCCTCCCCTTTTCCATCATCCCCATATGCACCATCCCCATCCATCAACATAAGGATAGTGCAGCTAAATATGGCCTCTACACAAATAACATTCAGCCATAAATATGTGGTCAATTTCATAGGGAAAATTTGGCAGTTAGCCACACAATTGGGTTGTGCATTGGGTGTGTAAGACATTTATGTGTGTAAGACATATTTGGATGTATTATCTTTGTGTGAATGACAAGGGTTTGAGATCTGCTCATGCTCCCCACCCTATGATTGGACAATACCTTCCAGCCTTTTTGATCCCAAGGAAAGAAACTGCTGCATGGTGGCTTTACCACGTCAAAAAAAACCCAACAACAACCCACAGTAGAAAAAAGATCTACAATGGAAAGTGAAGCTACATGAAGAAATGGCTCAATATATTTTAATGCCTAAGGCAGAAAATTCATACTGCACCCCAACCCCACCCTACGCATGATCAGCTGCCCAAGGCAGACTGATTCACCATGCCTGATAGTATAGCATCCCCTTTAGAACTGAAGCTCCTTTCTTTTCAGATAATGGGAGGTGACTGAAGAAAGAGCACTTGCTCTTTTGTAAAACAACAATCCTCAAGCTGAAAAACTTGAAAAATCCAGTTATGCATGGGTGTGGGTGGGTGAGAGAGAGAGAATGAGAGAGGATAATGGATAAATGGGGTATATGTTTCTGGTGTGTGAATAAGAAGGGATGCCTGAGAAAGAGAATGAATGGATGATGGAGAGGAGAAAGGGGCAGAGAATGAAAATGGAGTGGCAGACAGAGAGAGAGAGAGAAAAAGAAAGAGAGAGAGAGAAAGAGGGGTGAGTGGCAGAAATGGACGGCTGAGTGTGAATGGGATGTGCATGCATATGCGTGGCTAAATGGAGTGGATTGGCAGATGTGTGTGATTGTGCATTTGGCTTTGCCTAAATTGGGACCACATTCACTACTGGCATGTGGCCTCTGGATGATAGTTCACAAAGGAATACAGCTCTTGGGTTGAAAGGGATGCCCTGCCCTTGCACTAAGCAGCAATTTCAACTCAGGCTCATCAAATGTTCTGTTACAGAACCTTTTGGTACCTTAAAGATTAAAACATGTACCATGGAATCAGTTTCAGTGGACGACACTCCATTTCATCAGATGCATCTCTCCTCAATCGCCCAGTCATTCTCTTTCTCATACACCCATTCTTATCCACACTGCACAAGCACATATCCTGTTCATCCATTATCCTCCTGCTGCCACAAATCTGAAGATACCTTTATTTATATTTTTTGTATTTATAGAGCCACAAAAAGAGTGTGGCCCAGTAACAGCAGCTCAGTTACTTTATATACAGAATAACACATAATAATTGTTCCACCTTCAGGCGGTTAATTGCAGTCTTATCATACTCTCCGACCCTGATAGAAATTTGCCTCCATCAATAACACTTATCTTTATCTCCAAGCAAATATTTAACATAGAATTGAGCTGCGCTTCCTGGCAGCTTGGCCAGTAAAGGGTCAATAATTTGCTGTCAAGCTCCAGTATAGACATTGCAAAACAGAAGGGCCCATTCCACCTAATGGTTGTGGCAAAGGCACACCCCTGAGGACAAAGAAAGGATGTATTATGCACTCCTGGCTTGGGAGTAACAGGCACCTCCTTTCTCTCCAGCGTGGCAGACAAAGTCTAAACATACACCTCTGCATTACATCCAGGCACCAACTGCCACGGGAGATTACATCTCTTCTTCTTAAAAACAAACCACTATGAAACCTCAAATGACTAGGAAATACGAAGTTCTTCATGGAAAAAGACAAATACCTGAAGCAGCACAGTATTCTGAGCCCATGCTGGGACACTGATTCAGCTGTGAGTCAGACAGGAGAGCGCTGCCTACTCCATCAACGATGTAACTCTGCTGCAGATAGCCTGCAGCCGCCGCAGATTCCCTTCCAGAGAGCGTGCAGATCTGACGCTGGCAGCTTTATGAGGTCTGCTAGCATCATAATCCTGGAAGGACGTACAGCTGCAAATGCAGGGAGCCACCCACTCTAAATGGTACATATTTATGTTGATACCAGGCCAGAGTGCTGTTCAGTGTATCCTCTAGGTTTGTGTGCGCAGTCTGTGTGAGCCAGGGTGATGCAGACTAGGACCTGGGAGACCAGGGTTTAAACCCTCATTTGGGTGACCTTGCGCCAACCGCTGCATCTCAGCCTAACCTACCTCATGGGATTGTGGTGGGGATTAAATGAGGAGAGGGGGAGCCATGAGCTCCTTGGAGAAAAAGGTGGGATTTAAAGGCAGTAAGTTATAACAATGAATACTATGTAAAACTAATATGCTGTCAGTCTGGGCAAACCTGGCAGATGAAACCCTACATGCCTCTCTAGCACAGTTAAAAACATGGCTCATGGGTAAACAATGGCTGTCTCGTGAGGTTCTCCATGGCACTGGAAACATGGGTTATTTGAACGCTTGAGCAATGAGCCTAGAAAAACCACTGCAACCCTATATTAATCAAAAAATCATTTTCTATAAGGCACCAAGGGACATTTAGAACCAGGACTTCCAGAGTAGCCGGGTCTCCTACGTCACTAGCACCTGGTCTCCTACGTCACTAGCATTCTGATTTCTGAACCAGGCAGGCTAGACTCTATAAGTGAAGGCTGCTTTCTAGGCTGAGGTACTGTTCCCATTGCTTTCATGGGACATTGTAGTCCAGGCATCCCCAAACCCGGCCCCCCAGATGTTTTGGGACCACAATTCCCATAATCCCTGACCATTGGACCTGTTAGCTGGGGATGATGGGAGTTGTAGTCCCAAAACATCTGGAGGGCCAAGTTTAGGGATGCCTGCTGTAGTCTGAAGGTGGTCAGCTGACCTGAAAAGCCAATAGAGACACACCCAACCTTATAAAAAGTATATATTTCCAAGCCAGCCCCTTAATCTGAGATGCCTGAAGCTTGCCTCCTGTGGTACCTAACCTCCAAGGCACCTTTCAATTATGTCTCTGCTTCTGGTACAGTGGTGCCTCGCAAGACGAAATTAATTCGTTCCGCGAGTTTTTCCGTCTTGTGGTTTTTTTCGTCTTGCGAAGCACGGTGTCGGAAAAGTTTTGGAAAAGCTTCAAAAATCACCAATGCTATGAGTTGCTCCTCGAAGTCAAGTTGCAACTGTATTAACGGTTTTAAGAAAAAGGAAACAAACTTGCAAGACGTTTCCGTCTTGCGAAGCAAGCCCATAGGGAAAATCGTCTTGCGAAGCAACTCAAAAAACCAAAAACCCTTTCGTTTTGCGAGTTTTCTGTCTTGCGAGGCATTCGTCTTGCGAGGTACCACTGTACTTTAGTTCTGCCCTATCTGGTACTAGACTCTGGTCTCTCTCTTTGACCATGTCCATTACCTCTAACCCTGTGGGGTTGTTGGTTTTCTGCTTTTGTTTTGCCTGATCCAATACCTGCCTCTGACCATGTTTTCTGCTTCTTACTCATCTGACTAGCCCGTAACCTGATGCAGACTCATGCCCCACAGCAGCCAATTGCAAGGCTAAGCCCCAGGGTCTGACATTGTCTAAACATGCATATGGAGAAGCCAGAAAATGGAAGACATGGATTTTCATATCATCTGAAGGGTCAGACACATATTTTGGTAGGCTCTCTGGAGCCCTCATTCTATAGTTAACCTATCTGACATCACACTCACCATTAAAACATTACGAAGATGCTAATTCTAGCTGTTTCTTGGGCATGCTTTCAAATGAAAGTTGGCAGACATAATGTTGGAAGCACTCAATATTTTGCAGAACTAAAGACCCAGCAAAAATTGTTTGATAGGTCCCCTACACCAGCTACCACTCTCTTCTGATCTTTAGATGGTCGCTGCGACAGCATAATTGTTTTGGTCATAGCAGCACAGACACTGGAAATGAGCCAACATCATCCAGGCAGTTTCTTTCCACAATTTCAAATGCAGCCAAGTATTGCATCCTCAGCATGCCTGCCTTGGGCAAGAGCCAGTGACAGGGCCCTTACCTTCCACAATGAGCCACACTTGCTGTGATTCTTCTTTCTTCCCGTTGGTCTCTACTTGGCACCAGTACTTCCCAGAGTCTTTCCGGTCCACAGACTTCAAGCTAAAGTGTTGAGAGAGCGATGAATGGTAAATGGCACTGTGGCATAAACAAGCAGCTGTCATCACAAGCTCTTCCAATTCCATCCAGTGATCTACAAACATTGGAGCCATTTCCGAAATAGTAAAGCCCTCCAGCTTCAGCATGTACTCATGTGATCACAGAAAGCTGTCCTAACTACAAGGCCCTGGCTCTATCTGGCCCATTACTGCAAACAATTGCCCAAAGCCTCACACAGAAGCTTTTCTCACATCTGCAATCCAGGTTTATGTCAGCTGCAGATGCCAGCAAATGAACCCAGGACTTGCTGAATGCAAAGCACAAGTGTCACTGCTGGTTTTTGGCTCTGCAAAAGGAATGCAGTTTGCCATATCCTGAGAAGCACTTGTTTTCCAGGATTCCAGAGAACATGTTAAATTGTGGCCTTACAGTGGCCCGTGGCTGCATCCAGCCTGAATATGCAGGGAAAGCAATAAACCACGTGGTGAGGCTTCCACCTATTTGTGTGGCTACCACGAAGCAGAAGGAGCTCTTTAGAGAAGATTAGCTAATCAGTGCAAAGCATACCAAAAGTGACAGAAAATAGGTCAGGAACATAGGAAGCTGTCTTGTACTGAGTAAGAATATTGGTCCCTCTAGTCCTCTACTCTCCATATATTGCTGGGGCTACAACTCCCATCACCCCTGATCACTAGCCATGCTGGCTGGAGCTGATGGAAGACATGGAGGGTGCTACGTTGTGCCTCCCCGGTCCAAATTGATTGGCAGGATTTCAAAGATGGGCCTTCCCCAGCCTTACCTGGAGATGCTGACGAACCTGCAAGCAATACTCCATCACTGAGTTACAGCCCTTTCACCAGAGACATATGATTTTGGAGACTGAGACAGAGATTGGAGGAGAAGCTACCCTTTTCAAAACAGTGAAGGAATCTTTAGCACTCACACGGGAGAAATAAGTGCTTATCTTGAAATACTGCATGAATTAATTAGCCAAGTGCCATGCAGTTCCTGTTTGCAGAACGTGACTTAGCTAACTCCCTGGTTCCAGGAAGTCTAACTGTCCTCATCTTGGAAAAAAGAGTCTGCCAAGCCGCTCTAACCCTGAGACTGGAGTCTAAAAACATGCGGAGAAAGCAAATGTGTTGGTTAGACAAGAGTGAAAGGGAAGGAGCAAACATTCCCTCATCAAGGTGATGACTCAGAGCTGGAGCTCTTCATCTCTGGCCTTATTCAGCACCGCATAAACCTAAATAAATATTTCACATACTAATCTTTTCTTACAAAGTGGGAAGCAGGGTAGAGAGTAACTGAATGCATAGAATGTTGCTTTAAACCATGAACCAAGGGAGAAATTCTGTCCACAGTTCCTCAAGTTCAGACACATATGTCAATTTATATCAGACTGAAGACAGCTTTGTACGGCTTCAGCTTGCGATAGCCGCACGACAAAGTCAGTCCAGCCCCTACCAATTCCAGCTGTGGCAGATCATCACAGGGTGACCATATGAAACTCAAGTGATCAAGTGTCATTCTGATTGGGAAGGGACAACCAGCAGCTCCACTCTCAGCTTTTCCTGATCCGCCTATCAATTTGCTAAATTAGACATCAGTGCAACAGCCTACAGGGTATTTGATTAGGGCTGCCAGAGGTGCTATTTCAATGCTGTTTGCTGTAATGCAGCAATATATCCTCTCCACACCCATCCCGGCTCCTTGTAAAACAAGTGTTTCCAGGAGCACATTTTCATTTCAAGGGCTCTGTTGGGAATCCAAGATTCTCAAGTAACTATTTAATTCAAAAGGCCTCCGGAGAGATGGATTTGGGAATAGGTAATTTTTGTATACTTCTGGCAATTGTTGCAGTAATTACTGTACTTGCAAACAGTATCTGGAAAGATGACTGGCACTTTTCCTCTCCCACCCCCCGCCCACCCGCTGTACCTGTCCCGCCGCAACATCCTAAGCAAACTACCCTTGAATATTTTACCCTATGATAATTGGCCCAAATGCAGAATGCTTGCCTTGATCTAAATGATGGAGTAAATGTGCTGGAACATCTCTTGTGGGGATGACTAAGCCTTGGTTTGTATGACACATCCTCTCCCCTCCCAACAGGATTCCGATCTAGTCTCAGAAGTCTGATTTTAATTAGGGCATCTCTTTTTAGTCAGATACCGGGAGAGAAGGAAGGGACATGGTGGGAATAAATGAGAGCAAGGAAACTTTTAAGTACATCTCCAGTTTTGCCGCAGAGCACATTGGAACAAACAAGGTGAAAGGGGGGCTGTAAAGCTTTCCTTCTCATTTGCCTTCAGGCTAGGCCAGAAAAGGGGAAAGCTCCCAGTATCAGAAGGACAGATACAGCATGAACATGCAATCAGTGGTGGCGGAAACAACATCTGCTGCCAATGCTGGCCTTAGAGAACCACACAGGGGAATTGAGGGAAGGGCTGTAACTCCGTGGTAGTGCACTTGCTTTGCAGAAGTCCCTGGGATAGAAGACCTCTTCCTGAAACCCTGGACAGGTGCTGCCAGTCAGTGTAAGCAATACTTATGTAGATGGACCAAGGTCTGATCCATTATATCCATGATATAGGGCAACTCCCTACATCCCTAAGGAGCTTAATAGCCTCTCTGGGCCTTCCTGCCTAATGGAGCTACCAAACGTGAGAAAAGGTTGGGCTGGCCATTTCAGGCCCCAGCACACCTCAAGATGCCCTAGACTGGATTGGAATGGTTTTGGTTAATGGTGCATCCTCTTTTACTGCATTACTGCTATATAATCAGGTGCAGGGAACCTTTGGCCTTCCAGATGTTGCTGAACTTTAGCTCCCATCATCCCCATTGGATGGGGCTGATGGGAGTTGTAATTCAGCAACATGTGGAGAGGCACAGGTTCCTCACACCTGCTATATACGACTATTCACAGTAGCTGATGACATGGCGAGGCTCTACCACTCACCTAATCGTTGGCCAGTTGCATTGCTGATGCTTACCTGGAGGTAGAGAGGTAAGCTGGTGGGGGAGGAGGCTGGTGTGGTGCCAATGCACCAGTGAGTTGAACCAATCTGGTGTTCCCACTGGTAGGCTTGCACCATGCTATCCTTGCCCTTCCCCTTCTACCTCCTGGTAAGCAGCAGCACTGCGACCAACCAGAGGTTATCTGAAGAGGGCTCCCCAACCATGACATCTGCTACTGAAGCCCCATTGAGCAGATTGCAGTGTACATTTTCCCCCCAACTATTTGCTTTTATTCTGTAAGCCATCTTGAAAACCTGTGAAAAATTAGAGGATGGAAACTGCACTGGTTTGGTTTGGCTCAGCTCAGCTCCTCCTTCTACAGCAAAGTTCTGCACCAGGCAAAAGCAATGCAATGTAATTTGAGTTTTTAAAACACTGGGTCTTAGCAAATGGACTGCACCTGCCCCTCTTCTTTATCAATTAACCTTGACTACAACAGAAGCCTTTCTTTTGCCTGAACACCCCTGTGGGAATCAGCCCTCCTGGCCAATCTTAGAGAGGAATCTAGTCCTCTCTGCCTCCCTCCATTCCCAAGGTCCCACACACCAAAATTTTATAGTGGGGTGATGAATAAAATAGGAGATGGTCAGGAAGATAGTGCTGAGTAAGGCTGGGAAACAACCATAAGAAAATGTGGGGGGAAGAGCTAAACCTCATTCTGACCAATGAAAGCCTTGTTCAGACTACCTCTGGTTGCTGATTTTTTTACCAGACTGTTGCTCATTTGCCTTTATGCTTTCCTCAACAACTGGAGGGTTGGTGTAGCTGCAGCAGAATGGTTACGAGCTATGAATCAGAAAGTCTGCAGTTCGGATCTCACCTCCGCCATGAACTCAGTAGGTGGCCTTAGTAAAGGAACTCTCTCAGCCTCAGGCTTCCTATCTGAAATCTGGGGGATAATAATACTGGTGTACTTACAGAGTTACTGCTTGGATCACACTAGATAATGCATTTGAGCGCTTTGAGGTACTATTCAAGTACTTAGTATTATTGTCAACTACAAGAATGGGGAAAGGTCTTAGGTACACACCTGAGATTTTAAACAAGGGAAGAAAAAACGGTTTAGGTGGAATTCCAAGGAGCCAATCCCATGTTTTGCACAGCAAATATGTGGAATGCACTGAGCTCTGACTCCAAGTGCCATAGAGTGCAACAGTTAGGACTGGGGAGACTAGGATTCAAATGTCCATTCAACTACAAAGCTCACTAAGTGACCAGTGGTCTGTCACAGGATAAAAAAATGCAGGTGGTGGTGAGGATGGTGATAATGATAATGAAGATGATGACAGTACCGTATTTTTCACCCCATAGGGCGCACCTAGTTTTTTGGGGGGGAAATAAAGAAAAACAATTTTATTTCCCCCCCAGGTGTGGGGCTGGGGCGGGGGAAGCCCGAGCTTTCCCCGACCCCAGCCCCCAGAACAGGCTGCTATCCGCAAGCCTAGGGAGCCCAGCGCGAGGCCCAGTGCGAAGCCCGAAGCCTGGGGCGTGCTGAGCTCAGCGCGCCCCAGGCTTCAGGATGCAGGCAGCTCTCCGCAAGCCGTGGGAGAGCTGCGCGACTTCGCGCCAGGCTCCCACGGCTTGCGGATAGCTTCCTGAAGCCTGGAGAGCGAGAGGGGTCGGTGCGCACCGACCCCTCTCGCTCTCCAGGCTTCAGCGAAAGCCTGCATTCGCCCCATAGGACGCACACACATTTCCCCTTCATTTTTGGAGGGGAAAAAGTGCATCCTATAGGGCGGAAAATACGGTAATTAATAATGTAATACAACTTGGAAGCCCTTGTTCTGTACATCAGCCCTACCTGAGGAACCCAATCCAGTGTTCTTCATCTACCGGGATGTACACCTGGTCTACGCTCTGCACCACAGCTCCATCCTTGATCCACAGCATCTCTGGGTCTTCCATTCCCTCGAGGCTGCAGTTCAGCTTCACAGGCTGTCCCTGGGACACCTTCAGTTTGATTGGCATTCCAGTAGCCTTTGTACCTGGAAGAAAGCAACCTCCCTCCTCTCCACACCCACGAAAGGGGAGCGAGGAGGTCGGGAATACAGCAAATTAGCCAAGGTTGGTGGTCCGCAGTGCAACAATACATCCAGAGAACAGAACATGCAGGCACCTGAACGCCTCATCAGAGCTTTATTACATTTGCCGAATGATTATAGGATGAGAGTACAGAAATTCCAGTTAGGGAATAATGGAGGAGGTTAAATCCATGCAGGGCTTCGTTAACAACATGCCAATTTGGAGATCAGCAAGGTGAGAGCCATACAGTAGCAACCTGTCAGTTGTAGATACAGATGCAGAAGACATCCCTGCAGCTGTGCCCTGACAATGCTTTTTGAAAGTGCTATTCTCAGAACAGTAGCACAAATTCCGCCCAAAATTCTCTCTGGATTTCTGGCTGCCAGGTAATATTCATGCGCTTTTAGGAAACTGTGGCTTTTGATCTACGCCTATGAAAAGAGCTGACATTTTAGAAAGTTATTCATAGGGGGAGGGGGGGTTGTTCGGCAAGCACTTTCTCTTTATTGCAAAAACTCCCAAGCAGTTTTGCAAACACTACGGAAGAAAAGGCTGGTGTAGAGCCTTGGCATGAAAGGAAACTAACCATTTACAGAGCATACTTTTCTCCCTCTCCTTCTTAATGTTGTGCTGTGGGATTATTTCAACCAGTAGCCAGGCAACCCCCAAACCCAGGAGGTAGTGCCAAATTTCTGATCTCATTCCCCATTTGGATGAGTGTCACCAATTCATTTGCAGGTGGTGGCGTTTCTCAGATTTCCTTTGGGGTGGGGGTGGAGGGGTTCGACGCATTCAGAATGTGCTCCAGGGCTCTCAAATGCGTTTAAGTGAGTGGGTGGAGAGAGCTATTGCATCCACAATAAGAAAAATATATGGAATACGTTAGCTGCACAAACACTGATGCAAGCTGTTTGAACGCTTGGGGAGAAGATGAGCATATGTGGGAAAGAAGAAAATAAGCAAGATGGTAAATAAGCTGCAAGGTAGAGGATTAAAATGTGGCTGCCAATTTACAGAGAAGACCAGGCCTTTTGTACCATCTCTGCTGTAGGTATTAACCATTGGCAGAATAGGAAAGTGCCAGCCGTCAATTTTCTATCCAATTATTGATGGGTTTCCATCATAATAGTCTTATCTTTATTATAATAGTATTGTCTTGAGTTTCTGTAACTACTTGGTGCAGTGCTGACTTTATTTGTCAGCTTCAGCATGCCAATGGAAAGGGGGCGAGTATATAAATTCCATTAAAAATAAATAGGCAGAGGGTTGTATCCAGTGCTTTTCTTCTACTTGCACAACAGGCTTTCACTTATACAACAAAACTTTCCCCGTTTCTGCTCTCCCCTGGAGTCCCCCACACCCCCTCAAAATATGCTCCAGAGGATTGGAGGACCCTCTGGAGCAGGTTTTGGGGACACACAGGAAGAGGAAGTGGATGTTCCATGCATGAGTGGAACTATGTGTGTGCAGCATTGTTTACAACCCACAGCAAACAAATAAATAGTATTTTCAGCATGAGAGGCAGTGATGGTTCACTCTGTTTTAACATGTTGATTTTGGCAGTAGCCAGTACTAGATCTTCCCTAGAGTAGCCTTTTCCTGTACTGTAACATGCTGGGAGGTGTTTGTTGTTGTTGTTTTTAATGCCTTTAGAGGCTTAGCCAAGGATCGAATTTCTACCACCTCTGCAGCCAACCATGGCATCCCATCAAGGGTATAAAAGCCCCAGGCAGGGAAAATACAGATTTCAGATATCAAAATGCACATAATGGGGCTGAATCATTCTGATTTCAAGGAACACCCAAAGGTGGAGATTCATTGGTGCTTAAGTTGATGGAGAGACACTGTGCATGAAGCAAACACTGTACACCAGCAACAGTACCCAAAAGTCCGATGAAAGTAAATGTATTATCATGATCAGCACTTGTTTTTCTTGAGTCTTGCTAACAGGTACCTATCTCAAGACCCAGACATGAACTCTCAACAAGAGCCTCAACTCTACCCCTCTAACTTGGGCTGCAAGGATAAGGTTCCCCAAAGTATTAAGCAAGGTAGAGGGAGTCACCAGGGAGAATAAGATCATGTCTCATATTAGGACACAGGCTTCCTTCACCCCTCCTCTAACTCCCTCTCTGAAAGAAAGAAATGTGTATGCGCAAAGCACACAGACACCTACAGTCACAGAATGTCATCAAGCCTGCAACATGGGGAAGCTGCTTAACAACCCTCCTTTACTCAACAGCTGTCGTGTGCATCTGCTAACCTGAGTCACCCCCAGGTTCCTCCTGTTCCTCAACAGGCAACCAAGCAGCCATTCATGGTGCACAGGGGAAAGTAGGCACCCTGTTCTCAGTGTCATGCAGACCACAAGTGAAGCCCACCACAGAAATGACCAGTAGGAAGCCAACTATCCCCCTGGGGGCCTCAACAAATTGTCCTCCTTGGGGCTCCTTTGATTTGCCAGACTGCCTGGCAGCAACGTATCAGGTGCAATAGGACACAAAACTGAAATGCGGTGATGCACCAAGTTTATCTTTTTCTCCTCTGTAGGACAGCTTTCGAAGGCAGAGGAACTACATCACTCAGTACTCTACAAGTGAGGCTCCTCATTAAAAAACAATGAGCAGGATTGGTGCCAGAGCTGAGTGGGCCCCCAGAGTAATGTTCCTCATGCCACCTGGCAAAGCTACAGCTGTATAAGTGACTTTGACAAGTGGGTGGGGCACTATCAGCTGACATCATGACACCAGATGACTGACAAGTGGGTTGCTCCACCTACCAGTCAAAGTTTGCCCGCAGGGGCAGGGACAGAGATGAAGGTAGCCCTCTGGGCAAAAACATTTCCCAAACCCTGCTTTGGATGTGTGTTGGATTGCAGTGCTATTGACCCTACAACAGACTGAGCATAGTAACTATCACCTAGTTACAGGTCCCAGGGGAGAGCTCAGATTACTGAATGTTCCTCCATATAGAAAACCAGCCCATGAGGGAGGAAGTTAGGCTCTCCAACACCCAATTCTCCATGGGTGGTTCCAGATGTGTCTATTGCAGGACTGGTGCTGCTCAGACATGCACATTTTGGTGCAGTGTCCACAAAATGTAGTGTCATAATTTTGTGCAGTGTCAAAATGCCAGCCCATTTCCTCTTTCTTTAATCCAGATGTACCCTTTTTTTAAGACAGCATCTTAAAAAGCAGAGACATCACCTTGCCAACAAAGGCCTGTATAGTTAAAGCTATGGTTTTCCCAGTAGTCATGTACAGAAGTGAGAGCTGGACCATAAAGAAGGCTGATCGCCGAAGAATTGATGCTTTTGAATTATGGTGCTGGAGGAGACTCTTAAGAGTCCCATGGACTGCAAGAAGATCCAACCTATCCATTCTGAAGGAAATCAGCCCTGAGTGCTCACTGGAAGGTCAGATCCTAAAGCTGAGGCTCCAATACTTTGGCCACCTCATGAGAAGAGAAGACTCCCTGGAAAAGACCCTGATGTTGGGAAAGATGGAGGGCACAAGGAGAAGGGGACGACAGAGGACGAGATGGTTGGACAGTGTTCTCGAAGCAGGAGGTAGTGGAAGACAGGAGTGCCTGGCGTGCTCTGGTCCATAGGGTCACAAAGAGTCGGACACAAATAATTGACTAAACAACAACCCTTTCTGCAGAAAATCCAACAGGCTTAAAAAAAAAAAAATCTGCTTCTAATAATCCACTCATGGTACCTGAACAACCTCACATCTGAAAGCACCCTATGTCAAGTGGGATTTTTGTATGAAGGCACATTCATTTATGTGAGCTCTCAACAGCAGTCTGAAGTGCCCAGACACAGGTTTACCACCTCAGGGAGTACTAGGCCTGCTGTGACACTGGCTTTCCAAGATGCCCTGCTAGGATGTGCCCAACGTGCCAGGACCATAGGATCCCCCTGCGTATATAACTTAATTGCATTCATATTTCTATGGCATGCTAGCAATTGCTCATACTGCTACATGAGACTGATAAAGTAATTAGGGGATTTTTTGACTGTGCGAGAGTAAGAACTTGAAGCTAGTGTCAGGGGACCCAACTGTAGTTAGTCAGCCCACCTGCACAACATCAGTAATGTTATTCCCTACTAGAGAACCTCTGTAGGGGAAAAGCATGTTGTTCTTTTATTGGGACTTTTATTGGATTACAAAGCCTGTTAATTCACTGGTTCCCATGCTGCACTCCTTGTAATCTTTCTCCCTTTTGTTGTCCCTGTAAACTTAGTGGAAATTGCTAAGAGCGATGAAGCTGGCAAAATAATACTTTATGTTCAGACGCAGCATTTGTTGTTGTTGGGCTAAGGAATTAATCATGCCACTAAGAAACATGATCTAACCCCTTATTATTTGATTCAACAATGACATAAATGGTGTGTGAGTGTGTATACCAGAAAGCATCCTCCCTCTCAGCTCTCCCTCTAACTGAATATAACAAGCCCTGCATAGCCACGCCACATACACCTAAAACACACGCATGACATGACAAGCAGTCTTATGAAATGTAGGCAGCACCCTGTGGCAACAAGACTGCTCAGCTTTTAGTAATGCACTTGGCTAACAGGGTTAATAACACACAAGCATTGATATATCTGGGAGGCAACTTAAGATTTACATTCCCACCCTCTGCTGTGGTTCCAAGAAATCACAGTGCAAGTCACATTTGAAGGAGTGTACTAGGCAAAGTACAAGGAGGATGGATTTTGCGCAGAGAGCAGGAATTTTTAAGGGACCAATTGGCTTTAGTCTTCTTTTGGCTCTTGATGAAAGGAAAAGGACAAATGGTTAAGAGATAGGAAGGTTTGGAAAGAACAGGGATTAATTTTAATATATATTGAGTGTGCACACATGCACACACAAACACATATATATTCCCAATTTCCAACCCTGATTGTTACCTAATTAAGCTCTTACGCACAGAGATAATTAAAACCTAGTCATTAACGTCTCTTCACAATGTAATGATTATGGAAATCAAAAGATGTTGCTCAATTAGGAGATGGAGCTTCGCAATTCTTACAGATTTGGACTCAAGAAGCAGTGTGGCTCTTAGCCACCTACCTTTCCTAGCCAGATGGCAGCTGCTTAGAGAATTGACAACAATTATGTAACTGTATACAATTATATTATGTAGGAAACATAATAAACATTCCTCGCAAACCGGGATGGCTTTCTCTGTTAGTTCAGCTGACAACTTGGCAGCCTGGGAAGTTAGCTGGGCTGCTCCACCTTTTGGGTCCAATGTGGGCAGAAAATCCTGCCCAACTGCGAAGTGTGTCTTGTCATGAAAGGAGGAAATGGCATGACTGGGGAAGAGACATTCTACATTTCACCACCGTCCCTGACAAATGCTCAGCAGGAAACAGTATAGCACTGGGAACACCCTGTGAGTTGTACTTGCTTGCCAGGCCTGGTTCCTATGGGTCTCTGCCTTTAATCATCCACTGTTCCCAAGACAATTAGGGAACAGACATCTATTTCTTTCCAGAAACGATATGCTATCTTGACAACAACCCAGTGCTGCTAAGTTCTTTTGCACGGCAGCTTGTTAACTTTAATTCTCTGAGAATGCAGATTACTGCCAGAAAAGGAATCCAAAATGCATTCTTAAGGGAGGAAAATGGGAAACTGGAGAAACATGTCTGCATGGGAGAGCAATCTTTTCTCTCAGATACCAAGTGTGCAAGACCAGAGCTCCAGATCCTTTGTGTACACTGTAGAGGGGAATTCAGAGTTGGGGGCTCCACATCATGACCATAACATATGGGAGCTGTTTGTTATGTCAATGAATATGGGCTCCATGCTAGAACCATTGGACTATCTTGCTCCTGACATGGAGGCTCTTCATGCAAAGGGGCACATTGTACAGCATGATAGCCACCATGCATAGTCAGCAGCAGCAGCAGCATTTCCTACAGGTTCTGGATAACTGCTGTAATGACTGAACTGGTCCACAACAAACCTGGAACTTGGAAAGGACCATAGCCAGGGGTGCCTAACCTGTGGCTCTCTGGATGTCATAGAACTCCAACTCCCACCAGCCCTAGTCAGCATGGCCAATAGTTAAAGATGATGGGAGTTGTAGTTCAACAACATATGGAGGGCCACAGGCCATTCACTCCTGCCACAGACTTTTCTCACCTTTCCATATTTTAAAGAACATTTGCAGACTCTGATTGGCTGGGAATTGTATATAATGCTGGTCAGTTTTGTTTCTGGTTATGATGCTGTCAACTTTATATCATAGGGAACTGAAAACATGGCACCATAGGGTACTGTCAATGTGGTGCCAGTGTATTAGGTTTGTCTTCCAGCCTAGCCTCTGTTGTCTTTTTACTCTCATCTACTTATGCTCGCTCAGCCAATGGACAACTTTGATTTATATTGACTCCAGCCTTCAAGCACACAAAGCACCTAAGCCTGGAAACTGATGCCTGACAGCTCCCACCTAAAACTGTCAGCTCATGGCCCAGACAGAACACGACGACACTAGACATCATTCAGGGAGAGTAACTCCTATTCCAGTACAATAGTGGGGAAAATGGATCATCACAGTTATCAAGGCTGGAGTCAGCAGGTGTCCTGGATCTGTTAATGTACCTTGCTGTGTCTTCAGATCAGGAGCTAGAAACCTGAAGTCAAATAACTAGCCCAGCCAAGAGCATCAGATTCACCTACAGGTGGGCTCCCGTCCTATCAAGCAACACTGAGAAACTGCACCTTGTGACAACATGCCACATATTCAGTTTCACTCATTAGTGCTTTATTTAGGCTAGTTCAATTCCACAGGAAGATGAATTCTCAATATAAATGTTTGGAATCCTTCCAGTTGTCTCCCCAACCAACTATGTCTATTGGAGGTGAAATCATGAGATACCTGTAGAAATGAATAACCACTTTACCTTCATGATGTATACTAACCATGTAACTCTATGTATGTTTTCTCAGAAGTACCGGTGAGTTCTGACTGGGCTCGCTAGGACTCCCTAGTAAGAGTATTTAGGATTATGTTATGTTAAATAAAGGAGGAAATATTGCTGCAATGGAAATATTCTGCGATTGCAGGAATGTCTCTTTTTATGCCATCACCAAATGGGTCACAATAGACAGAACACTGTGCATTCCCAAAATACCCTATGAATACAATGAATACTCAATGAGCACACATGGGGATTTTAAGTTTCCCAAAGTTTTTTTATCACTGGTGTGTGTGTGTGTATCTCACAGATATCTTGCTATAATGATGAACGCATGGTTACACAGAAAAAGGAGAAGTTACACAGAACAAGGAGGTCAATATTGAAATACAAAAATATAAGTTATTTTTATTAATTAGGTGGCAAAAGCCTTACACACATTTAAAGTGCCTGCTCAATAAGCAAACCCTAAGATCAAAATTTCCAGTGATTATTACGCCAGTCAAAGCAAGTGGTCTTTTAAAGACATGAATATTTCAAAACAGATGCACTCCATAGATTAGCTGCCAAAATATGGCTTCAAGGAATGTCAATCCAATCTGAGATTTTCTGACTTTCCCCTCCACCTCCAAATATGCCAGCCTCAGAGCAGTCCCCTTGGGGCCAGTAAGTGTTGCTGTGCCCTCACTCAGGACCTCTGGAAAAGTAATGAGGCGCTTAAGGCACTTAGGTGAAGAGATCATATTTCACAACAGGGGTGTGAGATCTGAAATCGTGACAGCTCCAAGACTGCATTCATTCTCTTTGGAAGAGCTGGCTTTCTGCAGATAGCAAGGGGCCGTGGGGAAGCGAGTCAAATTCAGAAAATAGAAGAACTACAAGCTTGACTCTGCTGCAGATACTATTGATGTGCACAGCAACAAGGTGGAAAATGAAATAATAACAATACACAATCCAAATAAAGGATACTCGACAAAGAAAGTAAGGGGTGGGGAAGAGACACATTCCCCCAATTATGTTCTGTAATTTGTTTCGGCTCAGACCAGCAACTCTGATTTAGACCAGCTCCACAACACACTGGGATGTATGGCCGCTGTACTTAAGAGTGGCAGCCAGCTCTTGTTCCTAACTCTTCCCGGGAGTCCCTTCCGGGAGAAAAAGTGAACTGTCAACGCGAGGGGTTTTGTTTGTTTGTCTGCTGAACCGCCCGAACAAGCCAGCAAAGGACGGGGTTGGGCGCGCGCGAGGCGGAGGGATTCCCATTTCTGGATCAAATCAAGAGGGCATTTTTAGACCAGATCCGCGCAAGAGGTCAGACCTGAGCAAGGGCTCCCACAGGGACAAAGTTGGGGTGGGAGGTGAGGAGAGGCATCCCCAACGAGTCCGGAGAGGGAGCGCGGGGAGGAGAGTAGCAACCAGCCAAGTAAGTCCATGGGGTCAGCCATGCCTTCTCCGCCTTACCTGTGACAGCCGCGACGTCCCGCAGAAGGAGAGCCCATAGTGCCGGCAGCAGCAACAGGAGTCCCCGGATCTGCATAGTCTGCTTCATCTCCATCTCTTCCACATCATCATCTTTGTCATCCTCCTCCACGCCGGGTTGCCTCCGCTCGCTTCCAAGGAAGAAATGAAACGGGGGTGGGGGGCGGGGGGGAGAGGAGGCGAACGAGAAGGAGAGGCGGTTTGGGGATGTTGGGGGGAGAGCGGGATCGGGAGGGAGGGGAAGCAGCAGCGAGGAGAGCCAAAGCGATGCCCTCAAATTCGGGAATGCGCTGGGCGCCTCCAGCAGCAGCAGGGCTGGGGGTCCCGTCGAGGGTCTCTCCTTCCCACGCGCTCGCGAGAGAGGGACCTGGCAGGGCAAGCGAGGCAGGGGAGCCTGAGGTGGCGGCAGATTGGGGAGCCGCACCAGCGCTCGCTCCCGGCTGGCTGACCCGCCTCCTCCTCCGCTCGCTGCGCTTGTAATCCAAGATCCGCGAGCCGAGTAGTTCCCCCCCTGCCGGCCTCGCGCGGTACGCGGAGTTCAGTCGGCGAGCAAGCGCCGCTCGCCTCGGCCGGGCTCGGAGCTCCCCCTCTCGCCGCTTCTGCTCTGCCGCCGCCGCCGCCGCGACTTCCTTCAACAAGTCGCCTTCTCCTCCTCCTCCTCGCCTTCCTCCTGCTCCTTCTCCGTCTCTTCTCCTCCAGGAAATGGCGCTTTCGCGAGGCCACACGGCCGAGCCCGGCTTCTCATCGTGACATCACCGGCCTCATCATGAATATTTATCCAGCCTGTCTATTTATTGCCCTTCTCCCTCTCTGCTCCCACCCGCCTCGCCGAGTGGGAAATGGCGGGCTTCTTCTCGGGGGTGGTCGCGGCCTCTCTACGCCTTTGGAGGGAGGCGCGAGAGGGGCGCTGGAAGCGCGCGCGCCAACAACCCCCTGTTGCGCCAGCAACCCGGGGAAAGAGACGCAGTTTCGTCGCGCTGGCCAAGTCGGCCTCACCCAACATTCAGATGAATACACACATTGGTGGTTTCTAACAACGGGAAAGGAAAAGCCAGTATCAGACACCAAGCCCAGTTCTGAAATAAAGTAATACGTTTCCTCCATGCAGGAACAGCCGGGGAGGAATGTATACTGAGTATACACACGTGGCAGTTTGAAAGCATGAAGCACGCATGTGGCTTTGGGCGAGAAATCACAGATCTAAATTCTGTCGTCCTTAGTTATTTCTTTCAAAACCTGCATGGATTTTACGTTCTGCATTTTAAGTTTCTGGACCATGTTTAAAGGCAGCCCCACAAAGAGCACATTACAATAGTTGAGTCTTGATGGAACCAGAGCAACTAAGGAAGGGCCCATCCATACCTTGGCGTAATGAGGACTGTGAACCCTTTGTGTCTCTCTTAATTAACACCCCATCTCGCATGTGGTGCTCTCTTCCAACTACCCATGGGGCAAAAGATTCCTGCATTACAGGGGGCTGGACTAGATGACCCACAGGTGCCCCACTAGATGACCTATGGTTCAGCTGCTCTCCCACAGTTCCGACGATTCGCCATGCAATCAATGTAGTTCTCCTATTTGGATTTTCAAAGCATAGGAAATGGGTATGTAGGAATTCAAGGAGCTGCAAGGGTTTCACAACCCACATTCTAAGTGAGGTCCTTTCTCTTGATAGGGTTGAGATGGCATATCAGCTGGTTAAGTTGGCAAAAGTCACTTCTCGCTACTGCGTAGTCTAGGAGGAGCCCCCACAGCTGTGAACCTGGGCTCTCGGGAAGTGAAATCCCATGGGTCAACCAGGAGTTTCCAGGTTTCTTTTCTACACTTGTATCATATGGCAACTCTTACTCACATTTTCTCTGAACTAAAATTTCTTCATAGGTGAGTTGCTCCATCCCTTTGATCATTTGGGGTGCTCTTTTCTGATTAGTTTTGTATATGTGGTTCAAGGCAAGCACAGAGCCCCTTCAAATGAATGTACACATGATGTTGTTGGGGGCTACAGCACACATCAGCAGGAGGAGAGGGTAGAACTGGCCCACGGAGTCCCAATGACATCCCCCCACGCGTGGGGCCCTCAACTTCTGACCCCACTTTTTTAGCTCCAATATGTTAGTAATTGATTTCTTTGTTTCTCATGAATTTGGGATTTGCCCAAATATTGTCAAAATAAATGGGAACAGAGTAAACATTCTGACTCGTAAAAATTAAATGAAACAATGTCCAAAATTCATATACAGTGGTACCTCGGGTTAAGTACTTCATTTGTTCCGGAGATCCGTTCTTAACCTGAAACTGTTCTTAACCTGAAGCACCACTTTAGCTAATGGGGCCTCCTGCTGCCGCCGCGCTGCCGCCACACAATTTCTGTTCTCATCCTGAAGCAAAGTTCTTAACCTGAAGCACTATTTCTGGGTTAGCGGAGTCTGTAACCTGAAGTGTATGTAACCTGAAGTGTCTGTAACCCGAGGAACCACTGTGTATATAGTCACCTTTGCTTACCTCTCGCAGAGACTGAGATTGCAAGAGTTTCTTCATAGCACAGGGAACATAGATACTGACACAGTCATTAATATTATAATGAAGGAAGATGTGGTTTGGGGGCATTTAGAGTAGAGAAGCAACAGGCAACTCCTCTTCCTTTGCTATTATTTCTGAAGCAAATCCCCCTCCTGTAGATGAATCCAAAGCAGCTACTGGACTTTTATAACACAAGTTTGTGTGTATAACTTGAAGTTTAGGCCTGTAATGAGCCAAACTATAATGCACATAATCCCTTAGACTGACATTCTGGCTTCCATTGGTAAAAAGATCCAACCCCTCCCCCCTTTTTTTACTGCAGCCAACTCTGCCAGCCTATAGCATGTCTCACATGCATTTCTAGTCTGTTGCCATAGCAACAAGAACCTAACTTCCCTCCCACTTCTTTCTGCCAAGTTGGTTGTTGCCCATCAACACATCAATGATCTGGAATAATGCCCTAATTTCTGTCAGATTAACTCATGGGCTTTCAAGTAGCCATTATGTGTGTGTCTCCCCCCCCCCCCCCCAGTTCTGCCTAGTAGTTAAACATTTTAAGAGTGCTCTGTTCAGATTACCCTTTATTTGCATAGGAAATAGAGACCTCTTATTAACCTAAGATTCTATGATTGGTTTTTTAATAAGCCCTGCTTCTAAAGCATTGAGATCCTTACAGGGATTTTGCCAATTTTGCCAATCATTGAGGTTTCACCTGATAAAAGGTCACAGCTCTAGTTCCCGGGATGTTCAGATTTGCAGGTGCAGATCAGTATTGATATTGTTATAAGAAAAAACTGTTCCTTTTCCCTTATGGGGTACCCAGTAAACGTGTTTGTTCCTGCTCATCTGTCCTGAAAATCTAGGTAACTGTATCCAACTGGCTGCTTCCTATTCCATGGAATCTGCTTCCTGTTCCATGGAATCCTTTGAAAGGATGAGCCTTGTTCTTTTTAAGCCAACTTTCCTTACCATATTTCTACATGCCTACTTTCCTTTTATGATTTAGTGCCATGTGATTCTGATTTCCTAATATAGAACCTGTTGTTTTATTTTACTGCACTACCATGCTTATGGATTTCAGCCCCTGTGGCTTAAAATGCTCCGTTCTGTTATCTGTTTGGTTTTTACATGACCAAAAGACAATTCAAAAAGCATTAAAATCTATTGAAATCACCCATTTGGTGATTACTACTTTTTCTGAGGCTAAAATCTCCTACATGGCCCCCCAAACTTAAAAAATAAATAAATTGCAGAGCATTTGCTTTAAATGATTTTTGGGACTTTAAGGCTGCAATCCTATGCACACTTACCTGTGAGTAAGTCCCACAGAACTTTAGACGGCTTACTTCTGATAACTCATTCTTAGGATTGCACTAGTATGCCATCCAATGGACATAGCCTGACTCTGTTCTAGGCTGCTGTGGAAAGCTTTGTGCAGAGCAAAAGGCAAGGGTACCACTTTTAATAAAATGACGAAGGCAGGCAGTTATTTTAAACTCACTGGTGACGTGTGGCACTTTAAAGGTGCCTGCTTGCTAAAGCAATCTGTACGTGTTCAGCTTAAATTTCTCTTTGTAAACATGGCAAGTCCTATTGCGTCCCAGCATGCAAAGGGGCCTGGTTAGAATTATTTTGCTCTGTTAGTTGCCAAGCCTGCTCTGCAATCATACTATTACTCATATCCTTGAGGAATCCCTAGCATTGGAACAATGCCAAGCAAACTCCATGACTGGAATAAGAATGTGTGTCTCTTTTGCTCCTGTTCAATGGAGAATCACCAAAAGAGAGGCTGATAAACCACATGCAGGTGAGAGACTGAGAAGATGTCCTGTTTCTCTTGGGGCATGACATCCTTTGAAAGGTCTTGTTCAGAGGCACGGTGTTCTCAGGTACTTTCTCAGGCTATTAAATATATTCTTTGCATATATTTGTTACCAAGCTGTGGATGGTTGCTGGTATACTAATGGTTTCTTCTGTGTTGGGCTTTTGTACTTCACAATGTGCTGTTTTTCATGGTCATTATGGATTTCTGTGAAATAATAATGATTAAAAAAACTCACAATACTATTTGCTGAATAAGTCCCCTCAAAGTCCACAACTGGAATGCATGTTGGTGAAAACTGTAAATAAATATAAGCAGAGCCTGATTATGGAAAGCACTTTTTAAAACTTCAGTATATTTTTATGAATTTATATTTCTTATTATTTATTTATTCAATTTAGATTCTGCCCTTCCTCCCAAAGGAGTGCAGGAGTTACACATGTATATTTTTCCATATGCAGACAGTATTTGTGCTTTCAGATTAATGCCTCCTGGTGCTCATTTAAAGTTCTCTAGTGCATACCACTCTTGCAGAAACTGCGCTGTCTGGGCATTGACCTGGCTTCCAATTACTCTGAACAAAGCATGTTGGCAATGCAGTCCAGAGCTTTAATGAGTTGTGCTGACATGATGTTGTTGCATGACATTTCTCCTGCTACTATTCCTCCTGCAATAGCTGAAGTGATCTCAGGGAAATTAATTATTTCAACCAAACAATTTTTACTTGTATTCAACATATAAACTTCTTTTTTTTTTTTTAAGATCCTACAGTTGTCTCACAATGTGTTTGCTGGTGTAAATTGGCATATGTTCATTGACTGCATTTAACTGGGGATCCATTTCATACATCCATTGATTACATTTAGAATCATAGAAATGTATGGTTGGAAGGGACCTCAAGGCCCATCTAGTCCAACCCCCTGCAATGCAATGCAGGAATTTTTCACCCATTGTGGGGCTCGAACCCAAAACCCTGAGATTAAGAGTCTCATGCTCTACCGACTGAGCTATCCAGCCTCAACTAATCTTTTGCACTGGCTAATGGTTGGTTCTTCGTTAGGATTTTTACATTGTTTAAGTTTAGTAAGATGAAGGGAGTGCTTAAATCCAATGATTTTAATGGATCTACTCTGAGTATAACTTAGTCAGATATAAATGTGGGTTGATAGCTATGCGTAGTTCAGGTACCTGTGCTATGTGGCAATGTTGTAATATTCAATAAAAGAGTCTTCTCGAGACTTGCTCGAGAGATGCCTCTCACATGACACTTCCTACTCGTCTGTCGTTATTTCAACCCAACATCTGGTGACCTCCGCCGTTAGTCTCCACTATTAAAACCATCTCAAAGGATACACACTCTGATTTTACCATCGACTTAATTAATCAAGAAACCAAAGACACTGTTTTACCTGGTGAAATTGTGCTTATGCCCACCCAATTGGCAGGCCCACTACCTCCTAAAATCGCAGGCTTAATTTTACCCAAATTTTCTGCGGCCAAAGAAGGAATCCAGGTTATTCCAGGAGTCCTGGACCCTGACTATGTGGGCACAATAATGGTTCAACTTTGGAGCCATATGCCCATGCAGTTAAAGAAGGGTGAGTCCTGGGCACATTTGGTGGTGCTCCATTCTCACCCTACTGCTTCTATTATGGATAATAATTTGCACGAGCTCTCTCCTTTTCCCCCACAGCTGTTACCTGTAATCCAGCGGATTGGTGAACAGAAGCTTCTTCGTAAGTATAAAATCAATGGCAAGGTTCTGGAAGGCTTGATTGACACGGGAGCGGACATTTCTGTAATTTCCAGTAGTTGCTGGGACCCCACGTGGCCCCTTGAGTCTGCCTCTGCAGTTTGGGGTGTAGGTGGACCTCAAACCTCTTCCAAAAGCGTACAGTGGCTGCCTGTTTCTCTGCCTGATAGCTCTGAAACCATTGCATATATCCAGCCCTGTGTTCTGAAAATCCACCTCAATCTGTGGGGCAGAGACTTACTACAACAATTACAGGCTACCATTCAATTTAATGAGTAAGCTTGCACTCCCCCTCAACTGGAAGTCCACCACCCCGGTATGGGTGGAACAATGGCCCATAACGGGGGAAAAGCTACTTGCTTTAAAACTATTGGTGAGTGAACAATGAAAAGCATCATTTGTCCCGCTCTCGATATCGCCGCTCTGTGGAATTGACTAATGATTGTGATGCTTTTGTCTCTCTTCCCAGTAGGACTGAATATATCTCTTTAGCTGTTTCTCTCTTAGGAGTCCCTGGATTGGCTGTATGGAATCGTATGAACATTAATTCTTTAGCTTGTTCTGCAGCAAAAGCCCTGAATTTTACTTCACAAGCTCTTCACCTTTTGAATAAAGAACAGAGTGAACTCCACCATGGACTTTTACGAAATCGTGCTGCTATCACTATTTGCTCATGCTTCATCATTATGGCTGTGAACAAGTGGCTGACATGTGTTGTTTCAATATTACTGATAATTCTAAAGCCATTCAAAGCCAAATCTCTCATTTGCAAAATCTTACACACCACATTAAACAGGACGTTGGATTTTCTGGCCTCTGGGATTCCTTCACCCAGTGGCTCACCAGCTGGTTGCCAAACCTGAATTGGCTTCGTAATCTCTTTCAATATGCCATTGTCATAATATGTATATTAATTTTGCTATGTTGCTTCATCCAATGCGTTCCTGGTCTCATAAGTCTTTTGTCTCGGCTTCTTTCTCCTCCTCTACCACCTAATAAAATCTTTGCCGCCTACTATGCAAAATGGCAGCACCAACAGTAAACATTAGGAGAGATGTGGACAGACTTATTTCGGGCATGCGCTGGCATACCACGTATCCCGAAGTATTTTTGTCCCGTCAACCCTGGCGAACTTATTTCGGGCATGCGCTGGCATACCACGTATCCCGAAGTATTTTTGTCTTATTCACCCAGAAATCATACAGTAACCCCTCGCAAATAAGAAAAGAAAGGGGGAGATGCTGGGAAGTTTTTGCCTCTGCACATGAGTCTGAGAATGTTCTGAACAGTTCCCATTGAGTTCATGAAACAGTGTACCCTGACCTGTTCTTAATGCATTGCTGACCACATCTACGGAACGTGATTGTTGTATTCTTTCATGTTATGATCAATCATTAGTAATTGTTTTAGTCTTGCTATATCAATCATTAGTTATAATTTAATTAGGAGGTTTCATGCCTGTCTAGTTCTGTGCTCCCTTTCCCAGCCTTTAATCTATTGGTGATTAATGCCTATATGTAACCTTTGCTTTGTACTTGTGTCAACCAATCAGCAACGAGCGCACCTGTGGCAATGTTGTAATATTCAATAAAAGAGTCTTCTCGGGACTTGCTCGAGAGATGCCTCTCACATGACACTTGCTACTCGTCTGTCGTTATTTCAACCCAACATCACTGTAGAGTGATTGCCTTTCAGAAAATAAAATAAAATGAATCAGATGGTTCTCATATCCAAAAAAACATTGTACTGATTTCCCTTTTTCCTCATTCCTTTTAAGTGAATAAGAATGAATCCCATTGCATGATGGGTGACAGGACAATATCTTCCACCGCACCGGAGTGTAGTAAGCTAGTGGTTGTCTGCTCTGAAAACAGATTTGGGTCAGATATTACACAATGGCACACACAAACACAAATCCCCTATTAGAATACAAGAGTATAAGAAGAGGACTGCTGGACCAGGCCAATTGCCCATCCAGTCTAGCATCCTACTCCCAGAGTGACTAACCAGATACATAGAAGCAGCCCTGAAGCACAAACAGCACTCCCACCTTATGCAATTCCCAGCAATTCATATTCCCAGAGGCATATTGCCTTGAACAGTGGAGGAACCCACTTTGTTAATGTTTTTGTCTCCTCCTTGACTTCCTTGCACACTTTTTAAAAAAAAACACGAAATATTATAGTATGTTGGGCTACTGAATGGAATGACTGTTCTAGGAATTGTTAACATTGGTTGCCAACTGATTCCGTTCTTCTGCTTTTGATCCACTTGATGGTGATTATGATTGTGCTTTTAGAGGTGAAGACCTTGCAGCTCTTTTAGTTAGTTTTGGTTTGCTAACAAGGGCTCTGTTATGCTGTATTTAGTTCATCGTTGCATTTGATTACATTGGGTGTTTCTAACCAATTCTTCTTGTAGAAGCTTTGGTATAAGATAACGATTCTGTCAATCATTATAGTTTAATTTAAAACAATGTTTTATTTATCAATTGTTGAATATATATCTCTTTTCCAAAGAGCTTCATGCAGTGTACCTGGATTCCTTGGAACACACCGAGTGCCGGATTTACGTATAAGCTAAAAAAGCTATAGCTTAGGACCCCACTCTCCTGGGGCCCCAAAAAAAATTAAAGGAAAAAACTGGATGTACATTTCCAAAATATAAGATAAAAGAACAAATAAAATAAAACCTACACACAGCAACCGTGTTTTGTGTTGTGTATGATGTAAGTAATGGGCCCTTCCTGCTAGGCTGCTCCCTAAAATATCACTGGCTTGCTCATTTCTATATATAGGGTGCCTAAATTCTGCATGGACTGGTTGCATGGCAACATGTACAAATGGCTTTAGATACTTATTAGGTCCATAAATTACCATATAGCATATATTCAACACAAAAAAAAATACAATTTGTTGTTGACAAAGGACAGCTGGACATATAAAGGGCCCCATTACCTTCAGTAGCTTAGGGCCTCATCAAACTTAAATCAGGCCCTGAACACACCTATCGAAGTCATAGTGAGGCCCAGATTGGCTCAGTTTCAGAGATGCAGCTACACTGAGCAGATGACAAAAGTGGGAGCAGAGAGGAAGTTGGACATCTGTTTTGAACACTTCCTTTTGATGACACTATGCTTTCCTTTTGCAGTGCAGGCGCTGCTGTTAATTCATTTTGCCCTGTAAAACTACCGAATATTGTAATTCAGATATAATAAAGGACTGAAACCAGTTTAATATCACTGAAATCAATGGATCTAAGCAGATCTCGCTACAAATACTTTGGTTCAATGCACGTTATAGACTGGGCTGCTACTCATGCTGGAAAACAATTATCGAATGTTGTTAAATATAAACAATTGTTTGTAATAACCCGGAACACTTTAAGAAATGTGTTTTTGTATTTTTCTTCTTCCAGATTTTCAGTTAATAGCAGACATAAATAATAACTTTAAAGGTGCTAAATAGTACAGAAATACCAACATTTCTTTTGATATACACATGTGCACCTGTTTTGTTCAGCAGGAATCCAAGTGCTGGAACAAAGGTAAATTGGCTGTTTCTTAAACCCTGGCATAACCTTTAGCTACTATAAAACAAAGCTTTTGTGAGGTCATCCCAAGCAAGCATACCTGTTCTTTTGCATGCAATACAGTTTCCTAAAGGAAGTCTGCTGCGGACTCTTACTGAGCTGTCTGTCACTGTTACCCTCACTTCAGCTTGTATGGCAGCTGGAGCCTTATCTGTTCTTCTGCACTAGTTTGTTTCCTGGGATATGTCTTGGGGACTCCTGGTACCATTTATTCTAGATCCCTGATGAAGTCACTGTTTAGTGCTTCACTAATGAGGTTGATAAGCAGAGGCACACAAAAGACTCAGTGATTGCAGCTGCAGAGAGGAATTAGTTCCCCTTACTCATTATGTCCTCTGCAGTGCTTATCAAGAGGTCTGGATCAGCAAGCTTATCAGGACATATAAGCTAGTTATGTATCCTTTTCAAGAAAGATTTTATTTGTATATTACTGATAATTGTTTCATATATATCTTTTGTATATCATAAAAATCACCACTTAGGGATGTTTTGATCAAGCTGTTTAAAAATTGTCAATGAAACAAATAAGTAGAAATTATCACTAAGCCGACAACAAACATCGGACTAAAGCTGGCTAGTGATTGCGGTTTGTTAGGACAAAACAAACCATGGTCATGTGTTCGGATGACATACAAACCTTTCTGGTTTGTTTGCCCACTCACATGAGAGGTCACAGTTATTCCTTTAGCAGACAAATCTTTGCCTTGGCTCGCTGGTGGAGTGAAGAACAGGACAGTGAGATGGCATTCAAGCAGCCTAGGAATCTAAATCCAGAATGACTCCTTGCTCTGCTTCAACAATGTGATGCGTTTTAAATTTCTTGGTTATTGGTTTATTTTGCAACCAGTACATTCAGGATCTGATGTTAAGGAGTGTCCTGAAGAATAGATACTATTGATTTGTTATCTGTGTGGTCTAGGTGAGCTTTGATATATAGTGGAAGGCATGTTCGAACAGAAAAGGACAGGGAGAATTCTTATGGCTTCTTAAGATTCTCAGAGGACCAAAACAAAAAGGAGGAGGAGAATGCAAACTAGGAACATTCTGTTGGGCTGAGTGTACACAAAAATGATGAGCGTGGTGATTTCACCTGGGTGGTGATGGCTTGCCCTGCCCATTCCAATAATGGGATTTCTAAGACTTGCAAACATTGCATAGCAAAATTGCACAATGACAACTCTGACTAGGGATCACGTTGCAACGTAAGTGCCTCTTCCTTGACACAGCTAAATCTTTAAATACTCTGGATTCTTGCAGTGCATCTTGCATGATGTGTGTTGTTCTCCATGCTATTCTCTCCCCTCCGGTTGCTGCCCCCACCTATGTCTGGCGATCTCAAGTAGCTGTCCAGGCGCCAGAAATTCTGCCCTTGGCCCACCTTAAACATTTCTTCTTGATGCCAGACTTCACTTGATGTAGTGCCACTCCAGCACATGGTAGGAAATTTAGGTGGTGGCTTGCTGGCTCCTAGTCGCTCTGCACTGCTGCCTGCCACTGGCACCGGCTAAGCTTGCTGGAGGGGGGGCACTCCTGCAGGAGAGACTCCGTCAGAGAGGCCATTGCCCAGTGTTTCTTCAAATCTAGACCTGCCTCTGCCCCTGCCTAATTATACCACATAGCCTTGGGCCTGCCACTCTCCCACCTGCACTTTGAAGTGTTACCACTTTGGTGCAGTGTTAACACATGAGTTGCTGTTTGTGCAGTGGTTTCCAAAGTGGATAGTACCGTCCCCTGGGAGGATAAGGTAAAGGTAAAAGACCCCTGCACAGTTAAGCCCAGTCAAAGGCGACTCTAGCGTTGCGGCACTCATCTCGCTTTTCAGGCCGATGGAGCCGACATTTGTCCACAGACAGCTTTCTGGGTCATGTGGCCAGCATGACTATACCGCTTCTGGCGCAACGGAACACTGTGACAGAAGCCAGAGTGCATGTAAACACCGTTTACCTTCCTGCCACAGCGGTACCTATTTATCTACTTGCACTGGCATGCTTTCAAACTGCTAGGTTGGCAGGAGCTGGGACAGAGCAACAGGAGCTCACTCCATTGCAGGGATTCGAACCGCCAACCTTCCAATTGGCAAGCCCAAGAGGCTCAGTGGTTTAGACCGCAGCACCACCCACGTCCCCCGTGAGAGGATTATATAGGTGGGCACTGGAGGTGTAAATGACTATCACACTTTGAAAAGATTGTATCGCTGATCAAATCAAGAGTATATAGTTGCACACTGCCCCAAACTCTGAGTGGTGCGAGATTCCATGTGTTCCAGGCACTTACCCAGGGTTCATGTTTCCTTTTGGAATGAGGCACAGCACAGCGGAGACTGTAGTGTCTTTGTGATATGTGGTTTATTTATACCAGTATACAACCTAAGCCTGTGATGGAGGAGTTCACATCGTCAACACCCCTAGAAGGTCTTGCTTCTCCCATAGCCACAGCCTTGGATTCCAGCAGAAACCAGGCTTGGCTCTCTCTCTCTCTCTCTACCTTTCCACTCTGGCCTTTTGTCTTTCTAACTAACAGATAGTTGGGGGAGAGAAGCCCACCCATTTGTCCAGCTTTGCTCCCTTAATGACTCATACTTAGTGAGCAAAGTACACGAACTAATGTCAGTGTATTGGAAGAAGCAAAGATCACCAGTGTTTCATTGGATTGGTCATGTTCGGATGCCTGATTATCGTCTTCCAAAGCAACTACAGTGGTACCTCGGTTTTCAAAGCATTTACTTCTGGGTTTTCGGCATTCGAAAACCGAAATGTTTGACTTCCGAGACGTTCAAAAACTGAGGTACCACTGTCCTTTGTTCTGAACTTAAAAATGGAAAGCGTAACAATGGTGGTCAGCAAAAGAGGTTTAAAGATTCTCTTGAGGCAAATCTAAAAAAATGTAGTATAAGCACAGACAATTGGGAAACACTGGCCTGCGAGCCCTCCAATTGGAGAACAGCCTTTACCAAAGGTGCCATGAACTTCAAAGACACTCAAACTCAGGATGAAAGGGAAGACTAAGAGGAAGGCAAACCCTCACTGTGATCAACTCCCGCCTGGAAACGTATGTCCCCACTGTGAAAAGACATGTGGATCCAGAACTGGCCTCCACGGTCACTTACGGACTCACTGTTAAGACCATATTAATTGAAAACAATCTTACTTGATCTCCAAAGAAGAAGAAGGTTTAGCGAGCCATTACCAGGCTGTCCTGGCTATTCCAGCAATTGAATCTATGCTGGAGCCAGGAATTAGATGGGGGCCCAGGCATTCAGCACACACTCACTCACAAATATATACACAACTCAATACTGACTCAATGCTGTAGTGATTCAGTCTTAAATATTTCTCAAAATTGAAATGTGAAACAGAAAGAACCACATATTTTAATATGGACTCTAATGTACCTCCATAATTTAGCTCGTTTGTCCATTTATGTTGACTGATGGACAATTATGTTAAAACTGGGCGTGTGATAATCCATAAGAATGTCTGTCAAGATAAAGGCATCATGATGTAAGCCTTCAGCTTATATAACAGAATACCATTTAGCTATCAGGAAAAATCCCAGAAAGACTTTTTGCACTGTTTCCAGTAACCTTCCCGTGCAACCAACCAAGTTGTGTAAGACAAACTCTGCGTCTTCTGTGGTGAAAGGAACACACCATTGCAAAACAGGATCATTATACCAAAAGGAATTATATTTCAGGTGATGCAACAGTCAGTGCCGTAAGAAACAATCGTATATGTGCACAGATATGCATATATAATTATCTACACATACTAGATACTACAAATTTCAACATACAGGTAGAAATAATGGAAGCGAAGACTCACTCCTTAGTTGGACACCGCTTGCTAATGACATTTGCTTTGCTGTGGGGTTGGAACACTTTGCTCTGAAAAGACAACAAATAACATTTGGCCAACAAGGATCATCAGCATTCGCCACCCATATACAAAAAATAGCTTCCCAGGGTTTCTTCAGTGTGTGTGTGAAGACTGATGATGGGAAGGGAATTGGTGTTTTGAAGTAGTCCATAGCTGTACCTGAGAAGATCACACAAAAATGAATGTTTGATTTCATCTCTGCTCATTGTGTTCCTTGTAAGGTGTATGGATTGGAAGTGTGAGAGTGGACCAGGGTGCATAGCTTAACACACCACATTCTGTGTTTGAGGACAAGAGGAAGAAAAGCAAAACTTAAAGTGCCCAAGGCTGCTCTAATACAAGATTTTTACATCAGCACCTGATTGGCACTAAAGGATGCTTAACATAACATGGCTTTAAAATTCAAAGTGTAGAAGCAGAGGAATCAGGGCAACAAGGGTGGACACCAGGGCCAGTGACCGTATAGACAGTAACAGTCGTTGTGCAGTGAGTCAGTGAGTCAGGCTGTTAACCAGAAGGTTGATGGTTCAAGCCCACCCAGAGACAACTGCAGGCAGGATTCCTGCATTGGACTAGATAACCCCCTCCCCGGGGTCCCTACTAACTCTAACATTCTTCTCTATGATTCTAAGATCTAAAGAGATTGAGTGAATATTCAGAAAGGCGGGGAAAGCTGTGTTTCCCACGCTTCTTAACAGAGGTCAATGCTCATGATCTTGATTCAGTGTTAGCTGCTCAGGCTCTTTTCATATGAGCCATTGTCTGAGGAGAGCAGGGTGCTGGTGTGGTCCAAGGGGGAGAGCACTGGACAAATGACCTGAGTTCAAATCCCTGTACAGTCATCATAGATTCACTAGGTGCCATTGGGTAAGTCACCAGAGAAGAATAGCAAGCATATCCTATATCACAAAGAAAAAGTGGCAGGTGGCCCAGTCCCTATCCACTGGAAGTCCTCCCCCCACACACTTAGGATCACTCTTGCCTTTAGGATGCCATATAGGACCCCCCATGGGCTGTTTGGAGGAGATTCCCTAATCATAGTTTTCAGGGCAAACTGTGACCCATCTATGCATCTCATCAGTCTATCTAAAAAGGAATGGGTTTTGAGTTGCCCCGACCTTCTGTGCAGCCCCTGAACCCTGAAACACTCTTTAGGTTTTTACATGATTCCCTGAAACAAACTCTATGTTCATTGGGCCCCGGAAACCCTGAAGCCACATGGAGGATTGGGGAACACACAAAACATTTTATTTTATTTTATTTTATTTTATCAAGGATGATGGCATGGGACCGTAGAGATGGCAACCAAAAACAATCTCTTCCATCACTGGGCATGTAAACTGAAAGTTAGTTTTGGGGGGGACTCAAAACCTGTTTCATATGATTGGGGGTGATAGGATAGTCATGTAGAGGGGTTTCAAGCCATCCTGAAAACCATATTCCTGCTCATCAAGCCCTTAAACCAATATGGGGTTCTGGAGTCACATGATTGCATCACATGATATGAACACATGGAGGGGTCATAACATATGTTGAAAGTTGTTTAGGGTAGTACCTCAAAGTAGCCTATGGGGGGAATCTTCCATGGCATCCTTAAAGCAAAAGCAATCCTAAGAGGGGGTGGGACTTACAGTGAAAGGGAAGTGGGGCAGCTGTCACTTTGGTCTGTGATATGAGATATGCACCTCACACATATCTTTTTCACTCATGGACTATAGCATCAAGTAGCGACTTGCAGGTTTGAATATGGTATCACCACAATTAAAATTCCATAATGCAGTTTTCCCCCCATGGAAACAGTTCTGTGTTCACATGAGTCAGCTAATTGAGTAATGAGACATACATTGAAGCATATGTGTGCATTAACCATCTTCTCAGTTTCCTATATGTAAAATGAGAATCAGAGTTAGGATAGGTGTTGAATGGGGCCTTGAAGGTCCTGTAGCCAACCCCTGTGGGCAGGGCAGGATATATTATTCATCAGCTGCTCTTGTTGGGTTGTTCTAAGGATAAACAATATAAATTCTGTAATGCATTTTGCCCACTAGAAATATAATCAGAAACATACATAAGACTAGGATCCCAGCACTGGCGCATAACTAAGCCTCCACATTTGTTCCGGCATCCTATCTAAACCTCATTGCTGGTGCACTGACAACCTTCGATACTATTGTGCACAAAGGCAGAAACGGAGCTTCTTGCTTTTTCCACTTCCCTTGCACAGACTCCTGTGTTGTGAGACAGGATGAGTTAGGCAAGAAATAGCCATGTAGTCCAACACTCCTTATAAAAGGTGTGGGACCCAGATGCTCCAATTACCACTTCTGCCCCCGCAGCTAAAGCCAGCTGATCTTTTCTAGCTCCCCAGAGCTCCTGCCCAGTTAAATCTAGGTTGAATGGAAACAGTTTATATCAGAGCCAGCTGAAAATGAGGACACTTAGACTAGGTGTTCTCAGGACAGATCTTGGAAGGACTGGAATCACCACAAAGCAGTGTCACCCACTGCTAGCTCAGACAGCTGCTTCAGAAGGATATCATGGTCAATGGTATCGAAAGCCACAGAGAGGTTGAGGAGACTTTACAGGGACACATTTCCCCTGTCTCTCTCTCCCAAGAGGGGTCATCATACAGGGTAACCAAAGCAGTTTCTGTGCCAAAACTGAGCCTAAACCCTACTTGAAATGGATCTAGAAAACCAGTTTCCTCCTAGAGCGCCTGGAGCGCAGGGGAGTAGGAAGGGGGGGCAGATCACCCTGGGTGCCCTCACGGAGGGGGGTGACATTCAGTGTGCCGCCTGCCTGCCCGTGACTCCCAAGCCTACCCCATCTGTCGGGGTAAGGGGGGGAGCTGCGCCACTTTGCCGGTGGCATTCCCCCCTCCCCTTTTGTTTTGACAGCTTGGGGGAGGCTTGGGAGTCGTGGGTGGGTGATGCGCCGAATGTCCACCATGGGCAGCTCACTCTGCCCCTGGTTGCAGGGCGCGCATGCTGCTCCAGGCACACAAGCAGCTATCCTGCACCTGGGAGGGCACCCTCCGTGCCACGCCCCCCTCAGGAGCACGCCTGCCCTGGGCAGAGAGGGCATATGCTCCGCCACTGTTGGAGCATACTGGTTCTCTTTTCACAGTGATGGGTAAAGGTAAAGGTAAAGGGACCCCTGACCATGAGGGCCAGTCGTGCCCAACTCTGGGGTTGCGGCGCTCATTTTGCTTTATTGGCCAAAGGAGCCAGCGTACAGCTTCCGGGTCATGTGGCCAGCATGACTAAGCCGCTTCTGGCGAACCAGAGCAGTGTACGGAAACGCTGTTTACCTTCGCACCGGAGCGGTACCTATTTATCTACTTGCACTTTGACGTGCTTTTGAACTGCTAGGTGGGCAGGAGCAGGGACCGAGCAACGGGAGCTCACCCCATCACGGGGATTCGAACCGCCAACCTTCTGATCGGCAAGCCCTAGGCTCTGTGGTTTAACCCACAGTGCCACCCGCGTCCCACAGTGATGGGTAGAAGATGTCAAACATGTGGATGCCAAATGCATATACTTAGATGAATGCAAAAAAGAGGGGGAAATGAAAAAGAGAAGTGCATAAGAATGTGGGAAGTGAAGGGGAAAGGCTGTATTAAAGAGGAAGATGAAGTTAGATGGAGAAGGGAATTTCAGACAAATGTTTCAGTCATGTCTTGCGATCCAGTCACAATAGTTTCCCCTGGGTGGAAATGAGATAGCAAAGGGCAGGATTCAACTAACTAGTCTTCCTGGTGGATGCTTGTGAAAGGACTTCCTTTAAGACAATGGGGTCTTCTCCCTCTTCTCCCCTGTTCCTCCCTGAAATTGACCCAGGGAAACCACAGAACGGCAAGCAGGGAGAAGAAGGGAGAACTGAAAAGTTTGCACTGACAGAACAATTGCCATAGCGCTACAATGAACTCCTCCCAATGTCACCATGGGTGGGTTCTGCCACCTGATATCTAAATGGGGGCTAGTGTTGCATACTAGACAGTGGGCGGAGGGGGGTCTTCAGCTGAGGAAACTGGAGCACAGATTGCTATTCAGACATGGAGCTCACTGAATGGCCTTGGGAAAGACATTTTCTCTCCCCCTGGCCCAAATCCTTAAGCACTTGGTTGAACTATGGAATTTGCCACCACAGCATACAGCAATGGCTGCCAACATGGACAGCTTTACAAACAGATAAGACACCTTCATGGAGGATAAGGCTATCAAGAACTACTAGTGTCTAGGGACATCATGATGTCTAGGGACTACCTCCAGCTTCAGAAGCACGTTGCCTCCCATTGCCAGTTGTTGGAGATCACATGCAGGAGAGTGCCATTGCCCTCATGTCCTGCCTGTGAGCTTCTCATGGGCATCTAGTTGGCTACTGTAGGGAGCAGGAGGATGGACAAGATGGGCCTTCTGTCTGATCCAGCACCGCTCTCCTTAGGTTCTTACTGTTAAACGGGATAATTCCACGTTAAAAGAGGCTAATTCCATGAAGACTGCCCCAAGCTCCTTGGAAGAAGGGCAAACAAAGCCTGGTCAGTTTTCAGCACCGGTTAAAAACTCTTTTATTTGCCCAGGCCTTTGGTTAAATTTGCTAATTTGTTCCTTGGTGGAGACTTACTGGATCAGCCTGACTTGCACCGGTGCTCTTTTAACATTCTTTTGGTTTATGTTATTTATGTTTGGATCCTGTATATTGCATCCTATCCAGGAATTGTTTTAATGAAGAGTGGGAAACTTTTAACTTAATAGAAACAAACAAAACACGTGAACTGGCTTAGAACTGACCCTTCATAGGCTTCTGGGGGAACATGCTTCCTTATTTGGAGAAGTGGGCAGCTGGGACTTTAAACCAGTTGCATCCCACAGCCGTCCTAGTATTGCTGTCACTGGCAAGCAGCCTTCTGGCAGTGAAGTTGTCCCGGGAAAGTGACAGGGTGCCCTTTCATAGTGATGTTTCCAGGCAGGACGCTCGGCGGAGACAGAAGTGCCTCGCTTCCTGGCCTTCAGGCCTGTGCACAATGAGCACTGGGAAAAACCGAGCATCATGGTAGGTGGGTGGGTTTTCGTTGAGGGCCAGTTGACTCGAGTGGGAGCAGCACGGGTCGTCCTGGCCACCCCGGTCAGCGATGCTGCTGCTGCGGCTCCTCCAGAGGCCTGTCCTGTGAGAGCCATGGATCCGGCACAGGGAGAAGCGGCTGGTGTTGAGGGAGAGCTGCGAATTCCCGCTGCAGCTGTGGAAGGCATGTCGGGAGAAGATGGAGGAGGTGCTGGAGGCGTGGTGGCAGCGCTCGCAGCCCCGCGTGATCTCGCTGTACCTGCACATGGAGTAGCCGTTGCAGACGGGAGAGCTGGTCAGCTCCATGAGCATCGCCTCTGAGTAGCTGGGGATCAGCTGGCGATTGGTGCAGATGTGCCACTCGAGCTCTGTGCTGTCCTGAGTGCTGACCCTGGGGATGCGATATCTGTACAAGGGCTCCTCCGCCCCGGTGGGCACTCTGTACTCCACTCCAAGGAGCTTCTCCACGTGGTAGTGCACATAGG